TTGTGATTCAAAACACTTGCATTCATAGATGCGTGATGATGTACACGGACATTTTCCAAGATCAGCTCATACCGCGAATGCCGATGACGAGGAGTGGAGAAATTGTCAAGCGATCGCCACTCGAGAAATATTTGACGTCCAAATATTCTCGACATGTTCTTTTCACAGAGTTTCTCGATGAGGAGGATAAAGCAGTGCTGCGCGCAGCGATGAGCCGGAGCTACGAAGTTTCGAGCTCGAGTCTAGGTCTTGGAGACCTCTTCGTCAAAGGCGGCCTTTTCTGTGGGAGCAAACGAGGAAGTCGTAACGCAAGCTTTCGGCGGTCATCTTCAAGTGTTCGAAAGCAAGGTGCGAAAGACGCGCCCGTAGTGACAGGCCCTTCAGGTTGTTCGAGTTCAAGTTCATCATCTTCGGCATCTAAGACGAAGCGAGGCAACCGCGTATCTGCATTTCTCACAGAAAGTCGGGCGTCGATCAATCGCATGATTCAACGTTCTCAACCGGATGAGCAACGCATTTGCTTCGACGGAGCACTGCGCTCGAAGGCAGAGCTCACTGCGGCAGTTGCGAGGTGGGCGACACAGGAGGAAACTGAATTGCTCTGGAAACGCGCCTTAAAACGCGACGTCAGCCTTCTGAGAACCATCAGACAAAGTCCAACGCGTTCGCGTCATGACTCGCAGGTGTTACCAGCGTGCCTTACTCAGTGTGCTAAGTGCTTTGATTCAAGCTGCCTGCGTGGCTTTATTTGCATCGACTCGTCGGGCTCTGAATTTCATAACCGCCGTACTCGCCTCGACAGGAGCAGAGGTGCGAACGCAGATCACAAAGACGGTCGTGGGGCGAAGAAGCGCTTCTCAAAGATGGCGTCGAAAGTCATATTATCCCGGAAACTTTCAGGTTCTACAGACACAGAGCAGACTAAGAAAACGAGGTCCGTTGACGAAGAGGACCAGACCGATACCGAGCAAAAGGCGGATGATGTCAATATAGTATCGCTTTCTGTGTCAACAGCATCGGATTTGCAAACCAACGAAAGGGCTGAGACAGCGACTACAGGTATAGGTGGAGGCACTGGTCAGGAAAATGATCTCGGCGTTGAGCAGGAGCTCGATGGCCGTTTGATTCGCGACGTGCCCTTCTTTTTGTGCTGGCAATGTGCCACTGACGCAGCCTCTTTTGGGTCGCGGGAGGAGCGTAACCGCCTAGTGGCTCTGGCAGATCCCTGGTTTGAGCGCTCGTTTCCATCGGACGAGGTACTTTTTCCTGCACCGCGGTCCTACTCTGATATGGACCAACATCAACGCAATTATGATCACAGGAAATCAAACCAGGACCCATCTTCGAATGATATTCGCAACGATGTTTCGTCTCTACGTACAACGGCCCCAAAACGGGCGGAAGCCGGAGACCTGCATCCTCAGAATAACTCTTCTGGTCATCTGCAGCAAATCTTTACTTCTACTTCCAAAGATGTTCCCTACGCCACGATCGATGTGGTGTTTCATGAGGGTAACACTTTTCGAAATTTGCAGCATCATGACCCGCGTCGCATCTACTTCGATCTTTGGGACGCCAGCTACTGGATGCCGTTCTCCGCTACGAGTCTTGCAGGCAGTCGCGACACAAGCTCACATTGGTGGCCCCGGGCACCTTTGGGACCCAGTCGTGCACCCGCCTGGCGTGATCGGCGCACTGCGGAGATCGTGCGCTCTGTGAAGCATGGCGTTCAGACGACGAGGAAGGCCCTGCATCTCGGTACGAACTGGATTCAAAATGCGGTCCTGACAGACTTTTTGTTGCTAGGTCTAGATCTTCTTCGAGAAGTCCAGCTGTTTTCATTTGATAACGATGCAGCACCGATCGATGCCGCCCCACGTGTTTTCAGTAAAGCTGCAGCACTTGATATTATTGAGTGGCGTGAATCTAGATCCGAGGGGACGGCGGCTGTGTCGCAAACAGAAAAGAGAGCGACATCACTTACGAGAAAAGCGAGTGGTATAGGGGTTCCCCTCGGTGGTGCGCCTGGAGCTTCACCTGGGAAAAAAAGCAGCGTGACAGAGGAGTTACCAAAGAACTCAAGAAGCCAATCTCCTGGTGCCTCGTCTTCTGAATCGAGCACATCGAGAGTTTTGCCGCAGTCACGTTTTGAGCGGTCGCGACAGAAGCTTGCGGAGTGGTATGCCAAGTTGCGGGAGAAAGCGGCTAGCGCTGGCCATGGATCAGAGTTGCACTTGATCCCGCTGAAGCTAGCTGACAGCAGACCCGACGCGGTGTGGACCAACACGGCAAGAGCATCAGCGCACGCCTTGCGCCTTCCTGTAGAGCGTACCCAGTTTGCATTGACAGTTGCCCTCGACTGTCTGCCGAACGCTGTCACTGTTGTCTACCTTATGCTACTCGCGCTGACGCCCCCGCCGCCACACCTGGCGCGACACGGTTCCGGTTATCGCGCTCCAACTGTCAACATGACAACTTGTGCAAGCAAACCCCTTTTCAAAAACGACTACGATAAAATGAATCAGGAAGAGCTGGAGCAAGTGGATAATCGCAATTTTGGTAATGATATCGGAGCTCCACGATCAAACGAGATGACGGGAAAAAGCGAGACTGTTGCAGTACCATTAAATAGTATCCTGGATTGGGGGATGCGGAAAAAAGCCAACAGGACGACTGTAGAACGTGAAATGCGTCATACTAGGGTTCTTGCGGAGGATGAGGTAGCGGTTGACGAGAACAGCTCCCGATCGTCAGATTCGAGTGATAGCTATGAGTCGGACGACAAAAAAGGGCAGGCCGCGGGGGCGTCGGCGGCTGGGGCTGCTGGAACGGCAACAGGTGCCACGGATGCGAATGAAGGACAACAGGTTGAAGGGTTGATGCAATTTGCAAAGGCACAGCGAGGCTTCTCTTACGCGAGTCAGGTGTTGTTGATCGGAACGGAAGCGAGCTTTCCCTTACCGCTTAAAGCGCTGCTAACCCCCTCGCCGCAGGTGCTCCCCCCTCGGTTGCAGTGGATGGACGGCGCCGAATTGCATAGTGCAATTGCTGAGGATCTGCAATGTAACTCGCAAATTACAAAGCTGACGAGTGCTGATTTACAATTGAGCGTTTTCTATTTGGAGATAGAGATCCTTGAGTGCGACAGTGTCGTGGTGGCGGCAGATAAAGCGACAGGCTCGGCAGCATTAACGCTCGGCTTCACGCTAGCCGAACCTAAGTCCGTTGCCTCAATGCGGTTCGCGTCTGCACAAGAGTTGATGAACGCACAAAAACATACATTCTTGTGCTCGGTGCCGCCACCTCTACAGCCGCAATCGCGTGTTGGGATTTTGCTATCCAGAGCCTACGACTACGACGTTTACAGGTACAACCATCTTCAGAGCAAAGATGGCGACGAACGAGACGACTGGGGAGAGGCAGCTGCGGCAGGTGTCGATCGGCCAGATGAACTGGCTCCAAACTCGTGGCGAATTACAGTGTTCTTGGACGGCCGCGCGGTGAAGACGACAGCGCCATACACGAGTGCAGCCGAACTTGAACAGCACACACCCGAGCTCGTTCGTAACGTTTATGCACCACAGGACTTGATGACCGGTTATAGCACCGCGGATGAGAACAGAAGCGAGGGGGAGGCGAGCGTTGGCCATGATTTTGAGAAGGAATTGGCACAACCGCACACATCGTCTAGTGCTGCTCATAACAATGTCAATGCGAGGACGAAAGATGAAAATAATAGAACTGGCATTGCCGTTCAGGGGCCGGCAGATTCCGTCGCGAGACGGCTTTATCCCGTAGTGGAACTGAGTCATGGCGTGCAGCGAGTGCGGATCGCAAAGAAGCGATCTGCTTGTCCCTTGTTTGCATTAGAGGATGCGTCCAGGCGTGTGCGTCGCCGCGAAACAGCCATTAATACTCATTTCGTCCACCATAATCTCACGGGATTTTGTCCCTTTTCTGCAGATAGAGCCGTTCGATTCCACGAAGAAGGACATGACAAGTCTGCATCGTCTTCCTCAATTTCACCAGTTCCCTCCACTAGTGCAGATGGGGTCTTGTTGCGCAACGCTGGCGGCCAAACGGTAGCGTCTGCGCGGGTCTACATGGAGGCAAGCGTTACCGTAGATCTGATTCAGAATTCATCAGCCACAAAGAAAAGTAGACACGGAAAAGAAAAGCACGACAGTGGAAAGCACTTAGGTAGGCGCTGTCTGTGTGGCAACGGGGCTCTGCCGTATGGCACTGGGCGCCTTTTCCAAATCGAGGTAGTCGCAACACAGGAAAGTCCAGGCCTAAATCCGCCGACTGTACTTTCATCGAGCACGACTCGAAGCGCAAGCTTAGGGTTCAGTGATTTGATGATCGGAGTGACTTCCGCCCATCCAGGAGAGCTCGTGGATGCGCTCTCTTCTCTTGACGACCTCGTTGCGTTCGAAGACGTGCCTCAAGAATCTACATATGGAAGAGATGATTTGCTGGAAATCGAATCCAAGGTGAAGCGACTACAACGATCTGCACCGTCTTCAGCTTTACCTCCTATATCAAGTTTCGACGCCGCGATCTTCCGACTCGAAAGCATGCAATACGTGGGCCGTGACCGCCACATGCAGACCGAGCATGTGTCCTCAAGACCCATAGTGGAACAAGCGGTTGCTCCGAAGGTGAGGCTGAAAGCTGGCGATATCCTCACGTTTTCGGTCGAGGATGCCGATGACCATGTCGAAGTCTTTGTCAACGGCAGATGTTACTTTCGGAGCTCTCATCCATTGTTCTGGTCCGAAGAAGGGGCTGCAGCAGCATCCAGGACGAAAAAACAGCATTTAGCAGGGCTTCAGGATATGTCATTGTATCCCGTCGTTTCCATGGGAACTGATGTGACGCGTTTACGGCTGATCGAGCACGGCGGATCAAGCATGGGCCTGTCACTCAGAGACTTGATGAATAACCGTTTGAAATATTCCCCAACTGCGCCAAGCAAGCTTACACGCTTTGCGCCAATTCTAGACTTGATCTTCGCTGCTTGTGTGAGTAGAGGCAAGAACGACCATTCTTCTCCGTGCCAACCACTGAAAGTGGCAGCGAACAATCGCATCAGTCGCGTCTCCTCTGTGACTTTCTCGTCAGAACTGCACCAGAATGCTCCGGGAAGAAAAAGTTTAAGCAAGAACATTACCCTACGACCTGTAGCAATTGGCTTGGATGGCTCCATAGACTCACTCAGGGACGCAGGCGCACAACGAGGCAGCCTCCCATTCGCATATTTCGAAGTTGAAGTTGGATCGCTCTCGATCGCAACTCAGAAAGAAACGAAGCCGGGTATCTTTGCGAACTTCTTTGCACCTTCGACTGTATGATGCCAAATTTCAATTCTGTAATAAGAATATGTCGATTCAGTATTCGGATAGTTCCAGCGTGTAATAATTATTACACGGCGGCATAGTTGGACTTAGGTTAATGGGGAGACCGAGACTGCCGCCGGGTAATAATTATTACGTGGCAGCATGCTACTGGCCCTGCGGTCGACATAATTATAAAAAGCTTCCGCGCTTTTTCTTTTGGCGTCGCTTTTTAGAGCTTGGGCCCCTGGTATTCAAAAACTTTACTTTATATCATGTCGATTTGTCCGAAATTGGGCCGATCGACATAATTTTGAGAAGCTTCCGCAGTCCCGACATCCGTTTTGAGAGCTTAGGCCCCCGAAATTCAAAACTTTCATTTTATAATTATGCCGATTTTCTCGCGTTTTCTTGATTTCCTGCTAAATCGACATAATTGAGACGACATAACTGAAATTTGGCGCCATTTATCGACGCGCACGGAATCAAACAGCAAGAAGGGAAGCAGCAGTGCCTCCGGAGATTCGTCCAGCGCCAGAGACGAGCATTCGGATTGCTTCGGAATTGGGATCACACGTTGTGGTCCACATCTCTTTGCAGACAGTCCTACTCGTGCGCCATCGGGGCTACGAAACACTGCTGACCACATCGGATCGAGAAATGAAAAACCGGCAAAGCATGTCATTCTCGACGGTCGCAACGGGCACCTACCGTATAGCTTGGGCTTTCGAGGAGGCTCTTTCTGGCAAAACTCTGGAAGAACAGCTGCACAGACTCGGCCTGTCGAAGAGCAAGCTGAAATGGAGATGCTTGAGCAGACCGACTGGGATGGTTACTCTTTGCAGGCTGGCGATCGCGTTTCCATTATCCTCTACCGCCGCTGCATCTACTTGCTAGTCAACGAAATTGTTAAAGCCGCCAAAGAAATAATTGGATTTTTATCTCCACCTTCGTCCGCTTCCTTAGAGAGCCAGCCTGCTTTCGATGACAGCGTGCTCCAAAGCCTCTTCCCAATAGTCGACTTTCCAGATGAATCAGCTGGTGAATCGGGTTCGGAATATAGGTGTTCTTACGTGAATGACGTTGTAGCCGCCGTCGGCGAAGCTGCGTCCACAGATCGAGCGCGAAAAGCACTCGCTCGCGTAGAGGCACTTGGTGAACGGTTCGCGATTGATACTCACAACTCTGCAGCTGAGAATAATTCCACAAAAAACAGAAAAGTAGTAAGCCTGAGCGCTGAAGAAATCTCTGCTGAAGAAGAGTGCGCCTTAGTTGACGCTTTCGGGGGAGAGGGAGGCACGTCGTTCAGCATAGGTTGTTCCAGCTGCAGTAGAGAAGGAACATCAAAAACGTCGTCCCAATCTCCAGGGTCTGTCTTACCTTCATCAGGAGTTGCAACCCGAGGTGCAGTTGTTTTCTCCGACAGGCCGCTACAAAGAGCTACGCGAACACCGAACACAACGTCGTCTATTCTGGTTTTTCATCTTCGCGTTAATGAGCTGGAGACGGACGAGACAGGTACTCGTGGAAACTCCGCGGAGCTGACGCGAGGTAACAGGATGCCGCCATCATCTCTATCAGTAGCACCGAGGCTTTCGGCCGCCCTCGCGGACGGCCTTGGAGTTGGAATAGTCTTGGGCTCAAAAAGTGAGCTTGTCGACTTGTGTTCTGAAAACAAATTTGCTCAGAGCCTCCTGGACAGCAACTTGGGCATAGAGGTGTACGGCACTGGGTTTAGTGGGTTTTGGTTTCGACGACCAGGAAAGCAGAAACAGGTAACGAAATGCCGACCGTGGGGACACGGCGACGAGGTTGAAATCCGTCAATTGGCGCAACACTCGACAAAAGTTCGCGACCCTGAAGGCAATGAAACTCCCCACCATCATCACTCAAATCGAGAGGGCCAACAACATAAGAGCGCTTTGCCTCAGTCCCATAATTCCTCGCCTTCGCGTTCTAGCCCAAAAAGCGGCATCATTCCACCACCGCCTCCTCCCACCCGATCGCTCACTGAGAGGCGTGGCGAGGATTCTTCAGAGTTTTCTGCCTCGGAAAGCGATGAGGAAGAAGCGCGTGTGCGGTGGCTTGGATTGCGTGCTCGCGATATTATCGCAATAGAGATCGATATACCAACTGGCGTGATGTCGCTTTTTGTGAACGACGAACTACTGCAGATGTCACAGCCAGGCTTCATTCTTCCAGATAAGTTGCAGAAGGCGCTGGAGCGCAAGGCGGTGCATGCTGTTATGGATCTTGGCGCGGCGTCGAGCGCCTCCGTTCAGGAGCCTCGAAGCGGTAAAAAGAGTGTGTCGAGCATATCTTTCATCCCAGGTCCGATGGCCCTCGGTGTATCTCGACAGCTGCAGATTTTCAGCGATAAGTGCGGGCCCGATGGTTCGACGAGTCGCAGGTTCCATGAATTTTGTGGAACTGGCGTCAGCCTAGGCAACAATGGACTGAGTGTGCGTCGCGTGCACGTTCCTGAACAGCAGGTTGCAAAAAACTTGTCTACTCCTGGCGCACCAAATCGGCGACAAACCAATTTGGGCGCACTAGGACGAAACCCAGTACCGTACTGGCCTCATTTGGGCGGAATCTTCTTCGAATGCACGATAGACATTCTTGCCGAAGGTAGCAAAGGGGGTACAGCGACGAGTTCGTCATTCTTCTCTAAAGAAAGGACTACAGCTGGAACTGCTGACAACAGTTGTAGTAGCGAGCAAGGCTTCACGATCGGATTGACTTCGGTGAGCCCGTCGCGCCTAGCACAGCCGGGCTCAGCCTGTCCTGGTCAGATTAACACTGCCGACCTGGATCCTGCGTGGGGAGTTTGTATTGATGGTCGGGTGTGGCACGGAGGAATATCGCAAATGAAGCACGACTTAGGTGCCGTGAAAATCGATTTGAAGCCTGGAGACCGATTCGGATTGTTCCTGGCGACAAAGAAGACGAAAATCGCAAAAGATAGTGTCGTCAACACAGCAAGCGATTTTGGTACAACTTCTAGGAACTACTTTTATCGTGGGCAACTGTTTCTCGTTCTCAATGGAGCCATCGTGTGCCGGCTGTGTTCGAACGTGCCCTGCACTCGTGCCGTCTATCCTTTCATCACGCTAGGTGGGAGAGTGTTCCAAGTATCTCTTGTCACGTCGCGGCCGGTTTCGTTCGGTGGTACAGGCGCAGGACAAGTGGACGAAATAATGCCTTCATCGCCAAGCGCAAAAATATCGGATAAGACAAGCCATGACCCTTTGGACGACGCCAAGCTTCTGGAGCGTGCTAGAGAGAGCGTCTCCTCGCTTCAGACTTTGCTCAAGGCTCGATCGATTTCCAAGAAATTAGCACAGAGCGCATTCGTGCCGCCACTCACAAGATCTTTAAAATTGCTAGAACTAGAAGATTCTTCATCTCCTGACCGCGGAAGAGAGAGAGACGCTGCAAATGGGCGGGGTTGCGTTGTCCGCTACGTGGGAGAACCGCGGCAAGTGCTTTCGATAAACAAGGTTGCGACGCATGACCCCAAAAGCGACCACGTCTATGGTGATGATGGGAGGTGTCACACTGTTACGCAAATGCCACTTGTTTACAGTCAGGAGTTGCGGGGATGGATATTGACCGTGCGAGTCGATAACGTCCGAGAAGATGGGTAATGATATTTCTCAAGTCGGCAAATTCAATTTCAAATTGTAATTCATTCTGTTTAATGAAATATCCTGTCTTTGGTCTTCCTCGGGTCATCAACGTCATTGATGCTAGCATGCTGGTTGCTGGTCAATACATCAACAAAACTTTAACGTCGTTTCCTTTCTTTTCAAACGATCATTACGTCGATAACAGGTTCTGCACGCACGGCGTCACATTGGGGTTCACACGGGAGACACCAGCCGACTACAGTGCACGAGAAGTCATTCCGGATCAGGCAACTCAGCTGATGGACTTTTGCGGTATTGGCTTCGACGGTAGGAGTGTTTCCTCCAGTGGTCGCGTGCACGACGAAGCGATAGGGTTCCATCCTTCGGTAGACGTACGATCTGGCGCCATTGTAAGCGTTTTTCTAAGCAGTGTCACCGGTGAGATGCGGCTTCTCGTCCTCTACTCTTCCAAGGAGCAAGAGGCTCATAGTGCTTCAATAAAAGCGTCCAAGCGGGCAGGGAGTAGACCGCCTGCAAAAAGGCAGAGTCGGTCAGCGAACACTCCAGAGGAAGTTGAGATTTTGTTGAAGCATTCTCGACCCAGTACAGATCCGAACCCCTTCGCTCTGCAGCCAGAAGCGGTTAACTGGTACGGCGTGGTTGAACTGCGAGGGAACTGTCTCCAGGTCTCGCTTTTAGATTCCACAATCTATTTGCGGTCAGCTGAAGTTTCTTGTTACTTTGCCAGTAGAGGTTCCGCTAGTGGCGCAGACATGCTCGGCCGCGTGAAAATGAACCGGCATCATGCGGAAAAGCGTTTTGCCCGAATGCTGGAGCTGAACGCCTCTCGGGAAGCATTCCACTTGTTGCAAGCTCGCGGGATAGAGTTACAGAATCCAAAGCAGGCGCGCAACATCGCCTCCTGGTTCCTGCGGGACGATGGAGACCACTCGGAAGAAGAAAGTCCTGGTGGCTTCGAAAGGAGCCGCGCAAAGAACAATACAGGCCGGAATGTAGCAGGAACCGGAGCAATGCTGTTTTTCGCCGATGGCGTATCGGAAAACAGTGGCAATGCCGATGCCAGTGTATCGTCCGCATCATCACCGCAGTCGGATCCGAACGTAGTTGACCTTTCAGCGTACTTCTTATAGTTGGATAACGCACGTGGTCCACCTGTTAAAGATAAACGACTCTGGTTCTCGTCGTCCCTATTTATCTACTCATCATCTACTTGCACTTGTGCATGTACTCGTCCATCTACTTTTTCACAAAAACATCTACAGTAAAGCTATCATCGTCATCATTTACTCGCAAGTAAAAAAGCATCTACGTACAATAGACATCTTCCAGACTGAGAAAAACTGTAATTTGTCATTGAGGCCATTGAGAATTAGCACGACGAAAACCAGCTCCAGCAGAATAACGCAGAAGGTGGGCTGCGTCAATGTCAACGTGAGAATCTTCTCCATTGATTGTCTTTTTTCATGTTAGTGTTCGTGAGAATGATGCTTGCATCTACATACTTATATTATATGGCCCTTTCGGCTTCCGGTATGAGATGCCCGATTATACTGCCGGGAACGAACTGCAAAAATTGATGTCGTTCTACGAATAAGCAAAACAAAATTTGGGTTTTTCGAAGGCAAAAAATGGAACTCAAGTTGACAAAACGACACCTAAGCGACACTGTATTGAAGATGTGACGACGTTGTGTATTCTGGTGACGAGACAAGATCAAGATGGTCGTTCAGTTGGTCGCAATATACAACGCCCCTAATCCAGTGGTTGTGGAGGACGGGTATGACGAAGCTACTAGCGACCTGTACTGTGGTCGTCCAAAATTTCTTGCGGAATATCTGGTCAACCGCGGTCTTCGACGTCTCCTTGTCATCAAGGAGCTTGATGCCCAAGAGGGAGCAGATCTGATCGCAAGATTCCCTCACAAATACTTCCAGCAGAATGTGACGGACCACATCAAGCAAGAAAACTTAACATCCGAACAAGAACCAATACCAAATGCAGCTGATCATAATTCTTCTCCAGAGGCCGAAGCTGCTGGGGTAGAGTTGAGGAAGGTATTCACCAGGATTTTCACTTTGAGAACGTTATTAAACAAAAATACTTAGAGTTAGATGTTGACACTAAATCTAAACATTCTTCTCTTTCTAGGCCTTGCTAAAAAAGCAGACTTGAGAGTCTTGTTTGAAACTTCCAGATTCCTTCTCCTTCGCGACGACGACAACGATATAGCGTTCCGAAGTTCAGTTCAAAGTTGAACCTGGAGAGGGAAGATGTATGGAACCCAAGTATCTCGAAAGGTCATGCAAACGGGCTCCTCATCGTGCGACGCAGCTGTGACCGGATGCCCTCGGAGTGCGAAAAGATCGACATCAGCGGGAAGAAGGGACAGATGATTGAGAGAGAGCAAGAGACGACGTGCTGGAATGCCACTAGTAGGAGAAGAACATCTAGTTCTACTTTATTGCGAATGATATCCGAAGAACTGTTGACACCGACTTCGCGAAGCAAACGTCGGCGACGCCGTACGAGGAAGACAAAGTCGCAAATGCTTCGCCACAGAGGAGACGAGGCCGCGACTGGGTCTGGACCTCCTTCTATGCCTGCTTTTCTGAGCTGTGGGGTCTTCGGCAGGACGACAGTCCCCTTTTGTGGAAGTGTGTGTGGCGGAGCATCATCATCATCATCATCATCATCATCATCAGGCTCTCGTGGCGTTTATTTCTTCAATAGGAAAAATTCGGACAACAAGACAAGAAGACGGACGCACGCACCTCCCGACTCTGACTCTAGCTGGTGTCGATCAGAATCAGGTGCAGCAGCGTGCATCTCCTCGTGCTCTTTCAGCTCTACTGGAAAATCTTCCTGGTCATCAACGTCGGATCGGAACTCAGTCTCATCCGTGGAGAACGACGCCAGTTCGACTGCGAGGTGGTCTTCGAGCAAACCAGGAGATGAGAAAGCAGAGCAAGCACGCAGAATGTCGGAAAGGACCTTAAGTTCTCACCTTCAGCATCGAGATCCTTCTCAGTTGAGCACTAGTCCAATCAGCAGGACAGAACCAAAAAAGACGATGAATGGCAATGATCAATGGCAGCCACGACCTGGTGGTACGGATAAGACAGCTCCGTTGAATAGCACGAACAAGCCGAATTCATCGACTCCTTCCTCGTCTTCGAGGACCATGTGGCAGGATAAGCATACCACCCCAGCAGTAACAACAAGTTCCCCGCCTGTCAGCGAAATACGCTACAACCTTCACCGCTCGCCTATCAGGCGTAACAGTCTCCTGTCGACATGCACCGAGGCTCGTACAAGTTGCGCTAGTGATGCTGCACTTGATCTTGCGATCTATTCTGCACAAGACGGCATTGGGGTCTCACCCATGACATCAATCGCATCTGGGCAGCTTACTAGTCAAATGCCAATACTAAAGATCGCCGACATCGATGAGATATTCCGACCGCTTGATGAAGAAACTCAAAAGTGAAGAGACAGTAAACGAAGGTAGGCCCCATAGGCTTTCAACGACAGACGATGGAACTCGATGCGATTCAAGTTCAATAAGTCATAAGCGTCTCAGCAAGGCTTGAGCATCTAGGCGTAGCCCATCAGAATCACTGATGTACACGAGACGAGACTGAGTCACACCATTGCTGTGAATACTAGGTGGCAAGGAGATCATGAGAAGATCATGCTGTGACAACATTTTATATAAATAATTACGACGACCAGCACCAGTTTTATAGATGCACAGTAGTCTACATCTACTTGTACATTTACTTAGTATACAACTTGTATAGGCTTATGGTTTTTGATGCTCACTCTAAGATCAGAAAATGAAACAAGACGACAATAATCGTACATGTGCACGTGCAGCAACTCCACATATGCATAACAATGATGAACATGAAAAAATACCAATGTGCACAGCGAGGATTAGATTCAGACTCTATATTAATGAAAGATCTTGATCGTGCTCGAGATGGAGATGGTGATGGAGGGTGAAGATAGATTTCTTTGGGAATATTGATATTGTATCGACATTGTGGCGATCATGATAATATTTCTTATTCTTCAATCTGCACTCATGGTCTTTTTGCGAACAGGCGGAGATTTACAATATATCGTTTGATTCCTTGATTTTGATAGATAAGAGTGCCTTGGCTGTTGGTAGGACTAGGAGCGCGCTCTTCCTCGAAAAGCTTGTTGAATTTGATCTTGATACTCCAGCAGTCTTCAATATTTCCGTGTCTACTGCTACTCTATGCATACGCATATTCATTTGGCGTCCTTGCTTAGAGTTCGAATTTTGCATGTGGTCCATTGGAAATCCGTTTTTGCGCTTGAATCACATTGAGTGAACTTATGTATGCTCTTCATGTCTTTAACTGGCAAAGAGCGAGAGCATCTGCACTGCTTCTATTCAATGGTACAAAAGATGGCACGGATACGCAAAATGCATGAAATCCAAGAAGAAGGAGATACCACTGAGAAAACGGTGAGCGCCTCATGGATAGAGGCTTTTTTTCCAATATTTTCCGTTGAAAGAAGCAAAATCAAAAATGTAGCATCCTTCCCTCGATGGCGCTAGAAAGTCTACCTTCCACGATTTCAGAAGGAGAGGTCTCACTCTCACTGGTTCAGCTCATCATGACAAACTCAAGGATCCGCGTTGGTGAAAACTGTTGCAATTGCATGTGGTACAATTAAAGGATACCAAAATAGTAGGCAGATATTGTCTGATAGTGTTGGACCACAAGAACACAGGCCTCCGTGCCTTGGTTCGTTTCTCAGTGGAGACACAAAGTCAGAATCTTGAATGCAAGCAAATCCTGATGCTCCTGCCTGAGACTTGCGATCTCTGGCTGGTGTAATCCCTTGACTGGTTCACTGGGTAAGATGAATCACACATCAGCAGCATAAACATGTCAGAAGGGATCGGACTGAACATGCATCATACGACTAGGATCAGCACAGCCGTGCCCTTGATCATTATGATTATGCATTGAATGTGCGTTGAGGGTAGCACTCATGATCATTGGCATTCGTGTCTTGTGAGATCATCCCGATGACAGTCGAGCGCGAGGCTTTGCGTGAGCCACTGAGAACAGAACGCCACGACATCCGAGAGGCTTGAGCCATACATGACCAACGCCCCTCCTCAATCGATGCGGGTTGAAGTCCGTCTCACATGACCGCCTCGCTGTGTGTTGAGTCACGGCAATCGCGTCTCTTGTTTAGTGTACGGCGGTTTAGAAACCAAAATAAACCGAATACATTGCGCTATAGTAAGCTAGACCGTCCTCATCTGGTTCATCATCAGAGGAATCGCAGTCATCTTCTCTACTTGTAGTTATCGGGTTATCTACGTGGTGTAGTATAAGTCTACGCCGAGTGGCACTGCGGGTTAGTTTCGAAAGTGGGTCGGCCTTCATCAGGTTGGTAGGACAGAGCACGATCTTACTAGCAGCGTCGCGCACTCTTAGGTAACGTAAAGCATAGTGCCTACTTTTAGGGCGAGCGTCTGTTGCTTTGGCTGTCTATCCACAATACAGCATTGTCTAAGGAGGGAGACAAGCCGCTCTGTGTGTGTACCAACTGGGTTGGAAGAGGCTCATAGGAGTCTGCGAAGTCATGCATCTCACTGAGCACTATCGTGTCAGAAGCTGCAATATACTCACTTTCAGCCGTTGAGTAGGCTCTAACCGTTTGTCGGTTACTCCTCCACGCTATGGGTGTACCTTTGTAATACATTATGGAGCCACTTGCGCTTCTCATTGTTTTGATGCAGTTGGCGAAACCAGCATCACTGAATATGTTTACTTCTGGCATGTCTCTGCCTTCTGGTAGAAGTTTCTCGTATATTTTGTTGAATTCTTCTTCCTTTTCTGGTGGGTATTCTACTCCTTGGTCTTTTGTTGACACCAGGCATTTTAGGACTTTCTTGGCTGCTTTGGCCATTCTTGTTGACGTGGGTTTACTGACATGTCTAGCCAACGCAGCTACCGGAGCAGAGATATCCGGGCGCGCGGTTACAGCTACCCATAGTAAGGCACCAACTACCTCACGAAAGGGATACCCATCAACTATCTTGATCCCGTCTTCAAGAAAAGTTGTTTCGTCAAAATTGGGCGAGTAAACCGGTTTCCCTAGTTGAGCTTCATACTTCTTAGCAATTTTATCGATGTGCTGCTCCATGCACAGTCTGAACGACTTAGCCTCACGGCCATAGTACACGATCGCACCTAAGAAGTCGAACTTTAGCCATTCGAGACCCCAGGGGGTTAGAATTGGCTCGACTTCAATCGCAAGGCCTGGAGCACGTGTGAAAATGAGGTCTAGTTCGGTCTTGGGCTCATCTTGGTCAGGACCTGTAGCAAGATTGTCATCTACATAGACAGACATCTTCAGGAACTTCCCCGGTGCTTTGCTGCTCGGTTTGCGCCACAATCCAGGCGCAGAAGTGCACGGCTCCCAACCTACCAAGACTGGCTAGAATCTCGCGATACCTCTTGAACCATGCTCGTGGTGCGTCCTTCAAGCCGTATAGAGTTTTCTTGAGCTTCACGATCTCGCATCCATGCTGTTTCGCCCAGATGGGTGGAAGACGGCAGCAGACATCTCGATCGAGTTCGGCATTGAGGAACGCGGAATCTAAATCGAACGGGGTCACATAGTCCCCCTCTGACGCAGCAGAAGTGAGGAGCAACCTACTAGCGGCATGTGATACCACGGGAGCAAAGGTGTTTAGCTCTCCCGGACGATCTAAATTACCGAGTACACAGGCTCTTGCCTTGTATTTTCCACATCTCTTTCGTGTTAGTATGATGGCAATTGGTAGAGCCCGCAACGCGGTTGCTAGCTGCTCGCCAGTAGCTTCTTCCCACGTTTTAAAGGCTAGTAGTCTCGCGTGCTCAATGTCAATGACTTCCTTCCACTTTTCAGCTTCGGGGCTCTTTAATGCATTGGCAACGGACAGCATCGCACGTGATTCGGCGACTTCCTCATCTTCGTCTATCTCACACGTGCCACCAATAGCACTTGCGAACAGCGCCAAACTAACTCTTTCTGAGTTCTTCCATCTGTTTCTTTGTTCTACGAATCCTTCCTCCAGCCTTGTCCTTGGCTCCTTTCGGTCGGCCGCGCTTCTTGCCGTGTGTATGGCGTTCGCCTGCCACAACACGTGCGGGAGATAGCGCTTTCGATCTAATCGGACTAGGTGAGTCAGAGACTCCATCCTTCGTCTCAACTTTCCCCTCCTCAAGTGGAACACCTTCAGAAGAGTCAGCCACGTCGGATTCAGCCTTCTTGTCTAAGGTTTCAACATATAGTTCTTCGGGAATGCCGATCGGTCCACCTGAGGCGCGCTCCGTTCCAGAGAACCCCGATTGCTGATCCAGCCTCTGCACTGACTGCTCAATCAAGGGGGAGCCCAGCGACGACGCTCCACGCTGCAAGTTTTCCAGTTCATCGCACTCATAGTAAAAGCCCTTTCTATCTGGCGTTAGCCAGTCTATGTCCTTTATTAGATAATCCTCTCTGAACTTGACATCTAGGGTAGAGTATTCCGCCCATCGATATCCAAGCTCGCAACGATCGTCATGAGCGAAAGTAGCAACCAACCAACCAGATGACTTCGGACAGAGTCCAAGGAAGACGCCACGGCGGTATTTGGCCGAGAGCTTGGGTTCAGGAGTGTTGGCTTGAATTTGTTCACGAAAGTAAACAAGACAACCAAATCGGCGGAGCGTGCCGATTTTGCTTTTGGAAGAATTTCTACCAGTTCTTTACTCTAGGATCTCTATTGGACTACTTCCATCGTGTTCTGGCATTTTAGCGTAATTATGCGGAAGACGATCCCAGCAGTCACTAGCGTACTCAACACAGTAACACCAAAGACGTCGACCAACCTTCGTTAGCATTGTTCGCACGCTGCCAAACAAGGCCCGCATAAAACGTTCAGCAGTCCCATTCATTTCCGGACTATAAGGAGCAGCCGGATTGTCTGAGACCCGCAGCGATTGCATGAGTTTGGTCATGTCATCACTACCGAGGACTGGTTCTCCATCCCTCCGGATGAACCGCGCTACCTTGTCATCTAGCGATAAGGAGTAGTCCTGTCGAATGCTTTTTATGACTTGTTCTATTTCCTCCACGCAGTAACTTTTAAGCTTCAGCGGTCGACAAAACGCCTTCTTAATTACATCACATATGACGACTAGGACACATCTCATAGATCTTACTGCAACAGGTTTTACCCCTACAGCAAAGTCTATTGCAAGTAGTTTGAGGGGTTCGGGTTTGTAGGTAGTCATGCCTGTAGATTTTGCATGGGGTTCGGTTTTCGTTGTCCTTTGTGTAGGTCACATTCTGGGCAGCTAACTTGTAGACCATCTATGTGAAAGTGGCCACATCTCCTGTGTAGTTCTAATCTCGTAAGATAGCAACTAGAGACGCCTTCTTCTATTGATGTACAAGCGAAACCACTTTCGTGCCTGTCTTCAAAGAAACTACATGCGAGTGCGGGTAGCTGCAAGCGTGGGCGAGCTCTGATGGGTAGCATCTGGCCGGTGTCTGTGTGCACGATACAACCACCAGTGTCTTTGGAGTTGAATTCCCACCCTAATTGCGAGCAGTTTCCGTTTCCTAACCATGGCAATGCGCGATCTATGTTTCCAGGTAGAGAATCGTAGTAAGCTCCATTCTTTAGTCCAAGTGCGTTGCTCTTGAGTTTTCCGACTTTTCCGTCTTTAGTGCCTGCGCTACCTGTTATTCTACAAATGTTGTTACCAATTTCATCGAAATCGTCTCTGTGTCGTGAAAGATATTAGTTTGCACAGCTATCCGCTAGAGTTGCGGCTTCTGATGTTCTAGCATTCAAGGTTGTGAAACTCTATCCATCTGTAATGGAGCTATCAGCATGATTAACAGCATTTGCCATTATTTCATCTTCTTCGAAATTCAGCGAACACTTCCCAAATTCGTACGGTTCCGTCGCTCAGCTTCGATTGTGCAAGTTCATGACTTTGAGCATCTCCGCAACCTGCGACATGTGGATCATGCCACTGCTATTACCCTTTCCACCTTTGCCTCTAGAACTACTAGATGGAGCTCCGGTAGTCCAGCTTCCCTGTCCCTGTTGAGGGGCTTGTGTGTTATGCCAGCACTCGGAGGACTTGTGTCCGACCTTGTGGCAGCAAGCACAGCGGGGCGGATAGGTATTCTTATTTCCTTTTCCTTTGTCTTTCTTCGGCTTTTGTCCACCGTTCTTTCCTCCTTTGGGTTGGTACCCGTAGGAGTTGTAGACCTCGGCGATTGCCTTCTTCTTTTCTTTCTGCTTGAAACGCTTGAGGGCGTTGGTAGAAATGAAGGTCTTACCATCTGCCTTATTGGCCTCTACCTCGTCACCATCCTCATTCTTGTCATCACGAGGACGCTTGTTCGAGGTTTCCTGAACATTGACCGGAAACGCTTTCCCGAAGGAGTCGTTCTCAATTTTGTAGGTTCCCTCCTCGATCAACGTTGTAAGACGTTTCTCAAGTCGGTCTCCAATTTGGTCAAATGTCAGGCCATCTTCTTCCTGCATCCGCTCGATAGTCGCTTTGAAGTTCTTGCAGAACAACTCGGGCAACTTCAGCAGGATCGCTCCGTTCTGTTGATCAGCTTCGGGCAGATCTGCATCCGGCGGGAAGACGGTGGGCGATTGGTTCACGATGTCGCGGATCTTTGAGAGGAACTCCTTGACATCTGCAGGCTGGTCGCTGTTGTGGAACTTCGTCAGTCCCTCCGACAACGGTTTGACCTTCATGCGCTGCTCCTGGCGATTGTTCGCGTTGAAGTTCCCTTGGTCACGAAGTAGAGCAACGACTTCACCAGCATCCGTCTCGTCCACCGCGCCATCGTTATTCCGGTTGTCGACAAACGACTTGGCCGCACCTTTCAGACTTCGTATGATTACGTCTTTCAGGTTGCGCCACTTCTGGCGGATCGCTTCTTCGCGGCTGGTATTACCTTGCGGCACACCATGTGGAACGGCCGGTGCGTTGACTACATTCGTGTAGTTCTCAAGTAAGCCTAGGCGACTAGCTTCTTGGCGTGCGGCTCGTTGCCACTCGCGCCAGTCGGACTTCTGTCCCAGCTTCTTGAGGATCTCCTTGGCCTCGCAGGACATTTGATGGATTTGCTTACTTTACTACACTTCTTCCAATTGATTTTACTTTTGCCGCTCAAGGGTTAGACCAGTGTTGGACCACAAGAGCACAGGCCTCCGGGCCTTGGTAGGTTCGTTTCTCAGTGGAGACACAGAGTCAGAATCTTGAATGCAAGCAAATCTTGATACTCCTGCCTGAGACTTGCGATCTCTGGCTGGTGTAATCCCTTGATTGGTTCACTGGGTAAGATGAATCATACATCAGCAGCGTAAACATGTCAGAAGGGATCGGACTGAACATGCATAATACGACTAGGATCAGTACGACCGTGCCTAGTCTACACCTTGATCATTATGATTATGCATTGAATGCGCATTGAAAGTAGCACTCATGATCATTGGCATTCGTGTCTTGTGAGATCATCCCGATGACAGTCGAGCGCGAGGCTTTGTGTGAGCCACTGAGAACAGAACGCCACGACATCCGAGAGGCTTGAGCCATACATGGCCAACAGATAGGGATACGATTGTAATTAATTATTCTTTTTTCTTCCTATGTATACATTCATAATAAATCGATCTGTTATTCAATTTGATCGACATTGTAGTGCTAGTGGTGCAGCAGCAGCGGCGGCTGCAGAAGTGTGTTGTGAATTGATCTCGTGTTGTTCAACAAAGAAAGATCCCAAATGAAATATCGGCAAGGAGCTCTTAGATGGTAGTTGTGCGCTGAGTTAGTAGCAACTTGCTACTGAATATTTTTTTCAAATTATTCTTAAGTAGTCCCATGTAGGTTTATTTTCATTTGTATTGTGTTTCGGTATTAGTATCCTCGTACAATCCTTCGATTCATTTTTGTTATTGAATACCAGCAGTACCATCATGTCATCCTCCAAACCACTCGAAGTCTACTGGATAACTTATCACTCTTTCACATGTGCTAGATTTGATTTCATCTAGTTAATAGGCCGCAAACCAACGTGGTGAACATTTTTTCTGATCAATTCTCTCCCCGATTTTTATGTTAAAGTTACACCGCTGTCAATTATACACATGACCTAAGTAAGTGGAAGCATAATTAGGTTTAGGCCCGTGGAGTCGTATGCGAGATTGCGCCGAGACGGCCCTATTGGCGTTTGGAATAATGTCGGGTAGCTGCTTCTGTATTTATCGAAGTCTATCAGACCGTCTTCGCGAGGACTTCGAGATGGTGGAGACAGTTTTAGTGGAGTCGTATGGAACCCTCACCACGGTGCCTCGAGTGTTCTTGTATCTTCCGGAAAGCGTGCTTCAAAATCGCACCATTGTACATCGGATAATCGCACAGAGTCCTGAGTATGCATGGCACGTGCTGTATCCTGCTATGAAACTTCACACATGTAAAATTAGAGTTAAATTCATCATAGAGTCGGTATGATCTGGAACTTTGCTGAAGGTTGGCCTATTTGAGTATGGACTCGCATCGCTCCTTCAGAGCTGTACTATCCTTACCAGGGCTGATACGGTTCTTTTTCGATTCGTGTGTTCAGAATTTCGCTGTCTAGTTCAAGGTCCTGGCCTAGTCCACCAAAGCCCTGGCTGTGTGTCTTCTCTTTTGTATCTATTGTATTTACATATCTGCCTCATTTTTTGGCATCAGTATTTTTCTAGGAGGGGGGATTCGACGCTTCCCAGGATGGTGATGATGATGGTGATGGGTGTGTATTGCTGTTTTTTCATAACCTACGAACGTGAACGCGAATTAGATTTTGCGAACGACCCGCCACCGCCTGCCGTGCTAGTCGAAGATACCCGAATCGCCCTCCAGATGCTTCGGCATTCGCGGGGCAAAGCTTTTAACCTCATCCCATTGGTGTTGCGAGGTCAGAGAGTTCTAGCAGAAACTGGGAGGGACGAGAAAGACCGCGCGTGGCGTGGGTTCCCGGCATCTCCAGCATTTTCTTGTGATTATGTTGAGAAAGTTTGACAGTGGAGGACCCCTCCGCGCCCCTTGTTCACAGCATTATATATATATATATATATGGCGGGTTCTGTATTATTGGGCCCCCCTGCTCCTCTGATGAATGAAAGAACGCGCTAAAAAATGCTACGGGCTGACTCGCTGGGTCGAGTGGTGTCGATTCCGGCGCCTTGTGAAAAAGATAAAGTCAGACCGCTTTTGTCTTGTGTGCGTTTTCAGTTGCGTTTTCAGTGTGCTACTAATCAAGTTCGCTCTTCTTACTGCTCACTTACTGCTCCAGGGATTTGGCTCTTTGTTGCTCAACTCTCAACAGATAAAAAGCAAACGTCTCCAGCGGATTGATGTAGTGCGGACCGTTCTCAGCTTGTCTGTGTTTAACCATAACAATCGACGGCGGCGCAGTATCCTGCTTCGCCGTGATTAGGTGACTTTATTCTGAGGCTTTTGCTTTTTGTGTCTGTTTTCCTGATGCGATGGTCTTTCTTTCGATATGAGGCGCCTCCCCGCTAGGCCGGGCCTTCTGCTTTTTCTGCTTCTTCTTCGTGTGTGCTTCTTTATCATATGGGTCGTCCCTTTTTCTATCTCTTCCGCGTGTGTGTCTCTCTGTCAGATTTTTTACTTTTTAACCGGCTTGTTAAGCTGCGCCCTTTGCTTTTTCTGCCTCTTCGATCGTCGTGTGTTCTCTTTTTCAGATATTAGGCGCCGCCCCGAGAGGCTGGGTCCTTCGCTCTCTCTGCTTCTTCTTCTCATCTTGTCCGTTTTTGCTCTTTTTTTCTTTTTGGTTGATGTCGTGGACCACATCAGACCAGGCGTGCGGCTGGCGACAACGCGGCCGCAGCGTTTGGCCTGGGCGGCGTATCTGATTGCCCTCGCCTGGGCTCAAGTCGCCTGGCGCTGCAGGCTTGTGGATGTCGAGGGGGTGTGATGCCATGCTTTGCCAAGCCAAGCGGCTCCAGCCCGCCTGGGCTTGCTGTGCCACCATTGGACTTCCCCAGGGGGGGATGGGTTTAGCAGGCTCTGGCTGGTAGTGGAGAGATGGGCGTCATTCTGAAAGAACTGACAAAAAGATTCGGAGTCAAGGAAACAAAAAGGAAACTCGACATCATCATAGACATAGTTATTTGTCGAAGAACGAAGTAGTAGACAACAAGGGCGTCGCAGTAGTCATTATCATTTCTTCAATTTCTTACTCGATAAGGAGTATTTCCAGGCCGAAAAAGAAGTGTCAAGATGGCACATTCGGAGTGGTTTGGCGTGTCTGCGGAGAAGAGGCTAAGGAAATCGATTGGGCCTTGAACTGTTTTATGATCCCCCATTCTTGTGTTCGCATTGCTACCTATAATCTCCTCGCTGGAGCCAAGGGACTCGCACTCGAAGACGGTATCACTGCCACAAAAGCCACGCTCTTCAAGAATTGGTATACTGGAAACTTATATCACGTCATCTCTGCTTACCTTTAGGTGCTTGATGTTCATACACGTTGCGCTCGAAGATGTTTTGTAATTGTTGCGAAGCTTCTACGTGATGTGTCCAACGATAGATAAAATCAATACACGCTAAGTTTTTGATTATGTGTTCATTTCATAACGATGATCACCTTCAACGAGGCGCATCTTCCAGGTACCACGATTACTATCTGGATTTCGTTCATCATCATCACCGCAACGAAGAGGACATCTACTTTCCTTGGTTGAACGGTGTGTTGCAAGCTAAGAAGGACACTGATGGAGAGGGGCAGCTACCGAAAAAACTGGGTGCCGCCCATGTTGAACTGATGGATATGATGGACAGAATCGAAGCACAGTCGCAATCTCTGGAAGAATTCGCAAAATCAAAAGCAGAAAAAGCAAAAGCTTTGGTACAACTACAACTAACTTCTTGAATAACCGAAGAACTTACACGAAAAAAGTTGTAGGTTGTAGATCCTCCACGACTAGTACGTCATCTTTTTCCCAGTCTGAGAGCAGAAGCAGTAGCAGAACCCTTTTCAGAGCGATATGTTCATTTTCAATCCTTCGTTCACGTCCATTTCCTACAAAATAACTTCGAACAAGTACAACAAGAACTAGTAGAACTAGAAGTAGAACTATGATAGATATTTAGTTGTATCTCAAAAAAAATACTATCTTGCCCTTCCTGAACAATCATCCAGCACGCGGATTTGCTTGAGCTAGTCGAGAAATTTTCTGCTTTAATGATCGCACATTTGGATGAAGAAGAGGTTGTCATCGTTCCCCTGCTTCGCAAGTATGCTACGCCCAAGGAAGAAGAAGCAGTGGTGCAAATAATCCTCAAGGCGATGGGCTTAGGTACTTCTCATTACTGAGAACTATATATTATTTATATCGAAGGCAACCTCACCCATGCTTCGGCATGCAACGTCAGATTGTAACCTTTGTCGCGAACAGCTTCGTAGAGACTTCACTGTATTAGTATTCATAGTCTAGAAAAAGGAGAAGTATTCCCATCCGTGTCCCCATGTTCTGCATCCGGCTTACTAAAGCATCACCTTTTTTGTCATAATTAATCAATCGCACCTCCGATACTCATAGGTGGCGCAAAGATGAGTATTCCGTGGATCCTCGACGCTATGGATCAATATGATCCGACGCGGGACAAAAAATTCGTGAAGAGTTTCTATGCTCAGTTGCCACCGCCCTTTCGCCTGTTCAACAGCTGCTGCTGGGTGAAGAGCTACACCAAATTTAACAAGAACGTAATCCAGGGACTAGCAGCTGGTAGGGCAATACGCGTACCAGCATGCTGCTGCTGTTAAACAGGGTGGATGGGCTCTATGAAAAGAACCGAGCATGATTGTGACTCTTTTAGTGCTGTAGTTTCTTGTTGCATTAGTTGCAATTCATGAGGTCGTGTTTGAGCATGTTTGATTTCATTTTCCTCTTAGAATCAACAATTTTTTTTTATCTTGACGAGGGCTATGGATGCGGCCAAGAACTTGAGCAACGTCGATTGATTCCAAGAATTGGAATCTCGATTTATATGCTTATGCTCACTAGCCTCAGCACTTCTTCAATGTGTAACCTTCGACAGTAGCGATTAGCCAGTACAACAACTAGAACTCTCTTTATTTCTTTGATCATGTTCTCGCTGCGTACATAGCTAGCGCTGGCAGAACGCAAGTAGCAAAAGCTTCGGTGCTGGTACTCCTTAAGAGGTATTCGATATTCTTCCGCTGTCATTCGTTGAAGTCCTCGACTATAATGAGAATGGCCAAATGTTATCCTTTCTCGTCTTTTGACTTTTTTTTTTGAGTTTCTGATGCTTGAATAGGTCTGCGGCTTTGCTCCTTAATTTGCATCTGATGATGAAAGAAGATGAGGTTGAAGTCGTGACGCCCTCTGTTGTAGTAAGCCAAGCAACGACTCATCCGCGAACAGTGCAACGTCAGCAATCATATTGCGCATCACGATGACATCAGCATTTCAGTGATGTGAGATGACCCATCTAGAATCTATTGGGATAAGTACCACGCATATTGTTTTTTTTGGGGTAGATGAACAAGTCTACCGATGTTATTCTTACAAGTCTACCGATGTTATTCTTACAAGTCTACCGATGTTATTCTTGGTGTTAATATATTATTCGTTTCTTCTTTGGCTTTGGGGTCGAATTCCATCTCGTTGTCTTCGTGATTATACTTACTATTGCAGTTGGATGCCTTTTTTTTATCAATCATTCACAATCTAAAACTCCAGCAAAACCGAAATGGGGAGGAATAGTTGAAGTTTGTTGATACATATTTAGTTTTAGATACAGACGTTTTATGAGATTCAAAGTCGACCCATGGCCATGTAACGCTAAATTTACTTTATTCTTAATCGTGAAGATGAATTTGAATACCTTTTCATTTACTTACTCTCTTATCCCAACGGTAAGCTCGACGATCTACTAGGGACACGAATGCTGGATGAGTGGAGGTTGTACAGAAATTATTGCACAGTGATGAATAGATCAACAATCGATACGCAGTAGTTATCATTCGTGAGCATTCTACTGATGCTATTTGTAATATTGTGCCCCTCAATAATGGACTGGGAAGGCCTAAGAAAACTACAGGCATGATTTGTATGAAGATTTGTTTTTGTTAAGATTTGAAAACCTATCATGTTATTTAATGTGAATGTATGTTTAAGTTTATCAGTTCCAGGTTCGCAGTGGCAGTATTTCGCACAAAAAATAATTCTTCAGATCTCTATTTTCTTTTTCCAGTATTAATAGCATTGGTGAGCCTCAGCGTTAGTTCGAAACACGACGATGTCATCATCAATGAAGACACAGGATTGACAAGGAATACATAGGATTGACATCATCAATGATCACACAATGAATACCCTTGCTGGTGCGTCGAACGATTCATGATAGATGGAGCGGATGTGGTTGGAGAGGACTTTTCCATTCCGCAAGGAACCTCAACCAGCAGAACAGATTTTAGTCTACCTTCTGGTATGTCAGTCATGTAGTTGGAAAAGACGAAAAACCTGGACCAACCTATCTGAATCTGTTGGGGAAAAATGCATACATAGGAAGCAACTTAAACTTTACGCTGAGCTGGCTAACTCCTTCGCAAGTGAATACGCGACACTAGATATTGATCAGATCATTTTTATAGATTTATTAATTAAAGGAAACAAACGCAAAAGCATTTTGATCTAGCACAAGGTCAAAAGATACCTCAAGACCAGGTAAATGAATGAATGAATGATACGGACGGGGATGTTCGAGGGTTGAAACATCACGCCGTTTATGAAAATAAAGTCAAAAGTCGCTAAGCTATGGAGTACACGTACATAATTACACTGTCAGGATTAATCATCTTGTAGTGTGTTCTCCACCTTATTCATGCAGCGGTCTAGATCACTGTATTGGAAGACCACGTGCTGATGATGCGATAAAAAGATATCGCCTCTACCTAGCAACTTGATGAGGCCGTACTGGTGTTGTGTGACCGCGAACCAAATGAGTTCCTTTTCACGACGAATTCCTTCCAGGCGATTTGTTATCGGAGTGATGTTCGAGTCATTTTCTTGTGATCGTTGCGCTCTTACGTAAACGGTTTTCTCCTGCTCCCGGACATCAAAACGTGAGATTTCTATCGCGATCATTCTTATTTATTGGTCAATACCATCTCCATTACCATGGCGACCAGTCCCTGTGTGGTTGTTCTCAGTGATGCTACGTTCCGGCTCGAGCAGCAGAATGACGCTGATGCAGCCTGGGGGCTGATCGACGCGTGTGAGGAGACGGAGCTAGACTTGTGGGGTGGAGAGATCGACGCCGATAGTCAGGGCACAGCAGCCACAACATCGACTCGGGTTCTTGGCCCAGAGGACCTGGGGTCCTTCTTTTCATGCTTCTTTCTCGCGTATCTGTGGCTCGATGGGGGATCCTTTGCAGCCGAGCGGGAAGAGGGTGTGCGAAGAGCGGAACTTTTGACAGAACGCATACGCTGGAGAATAATGCAACACGCGCCACCCCCTGTCATTGGCAGTCAGAAATCGGCTGCGTCGTCATCGATACCAAACAATATGGATAGAGTGGTATTGCCTAATACCTCCGTTGATCAACGAGTCAATCCGCACAAAAATATCTGTACCGCTTTCAGTATTTATTGTTCTAGTATCATGTCCTCGTGTGGTCGTATTTACTATCAAGCACTACTATCTTCACTTGGCAGATGTAAGAATAGATCTTTCTAGAAACACTGTTAGATTTAGATACATGAACAGGTAGAGCGAGGAGTTACAGCTTTGGCGGCGCGTAGACGACATGACTACCCTGACTATATTGCGCGGGTGCTAGCCTTCCTTTCGCCGCTTGAGAGTCACGGAGGTTCTGCGTCTTCCTCGAGCACCGTAGATTCAGCAGCACCGGCGGCGATGCTTGCATTAGCAAAAAGGATACACAGTCTTGTAAGTAGGAGAATCGAGAAGCGCATATGCCTAGCGCTAGCGGACCTTTACCCGAATTGGGAGAGGGATATCGAGACTTCAATAGTGAAAGAACCGACTACGCCCGCGCAGATACGTGCCTTGCTTACTGTCGCGAAGGGACGGGGGCTACTACAGCGTGGTCATGTAAACGGCGCTCAGGCGGGGCATGGTCGTTCTACGTCTATGAATCTACCTGCGAGTGCAGAAGCGAGCATGGCGCAGCTACAAAAAATTTTATCCTTTGTACAGGCAAACGAGCCGTTCCTGGCAGCATCACTTCTCTTGGAAGAAAATATAACGCCTCCAATGCATTAATAACCCACTTCCGCATAGACATGCTTCTACTTAATTACATAAACTAAAAAACTCTGCGAAGCAGAAGTACTATCGCGAAGGCATCTAAGCAAGGCCATCACTCTACGCGGCCCAGTCACTGTCACATAAGGCTCAACAAGAATCATGTGTCACCCTCTGGCCGTTTACACGCTGCTGCTTCTGAGAAGCGGCTCAAGATCAATATCTTGCTTGTTTTGTTCACATTTCTATTGCAGACAGAACGGAAATACGATTACTCACAGAATGAGTAGAGTGACACGGTTCCGCGTCCGGCTTCTATCGAGTTCTCCTTACTTTTTTTGAACAAGCCTTTGGGCAACCTGATGAAAAATCTGAAGATCTTAAATGCTTCAAGAATCACCAATCAAGAAAGACAAGAATAGCATGTCGTTATCTAAATGTCGCAATTCTGATGCATGAACCTGTCTCATCTTGGATATTCAATTTGATGAGAGTGTGTTTAGATCACCTTCATGCTTTCAGATCAGTAAACGAAATTGCGAATCATGATGAACTAAGTTCTGCATTACCAGCAAATACTCCGAAGACTGTTGTCGTGCTGTTGAAGGGATAGAGGAAAAGCTACTTCATCAGGCAAGACAATATTATCGTGATCATCATATTTTCCTGGCTAATGACGATGCCCTGATTTACTGACAACAATAACAGGCACAGAGTTGCAAGTGCTACGTTGTGCTTTCCTTTTGGTTACGGCAACGTCCGTGGTCTATTTGATTTTGCATTTCATTTGAAGCAAGATTGTCTCGAATTTGATAAGGCGACTGGTTTTCGTTGCAACTACCACCGAATTATCATTTTGGGCGACATTTTCCACCACTGACTTTTGCAAAGACGTTTAGAAGGCATTTCCTACTTTATTTTATTCTCAATCTCGACGTTGTTCGTTGTAGCAACAGCAAGTTATAGTTTCAATAATTACTAAAGAAAATGGCGCAGTTCGGATTGCGTCCGAACATTATCCTCCTGAGGGATGGAACAGATTCGTCGCAGGGAAAGCCGCAGATTATTAGTAACATCAACGCATGTTGCTCTGTTGTCGACATAGTTAAGTCGACGTTAGGTCCCCGCGGAATGGATAAACTTATGACTGACGCGGGAGGCGAGACCCTTGTTACGAACGACGGTGCGACGGTTATGAAGCGACTGAACGTTTGCCACCCAGCGGTACTATTCCTTTTTTTGTTGATTTGAGCGCAAGAAGAACGACGAAAAAGATAAACACGACATGCATCGTGAATTTACAAGGAACAACATCAGTGAAAGTGAATAAAGATGTTACTTAAATTTTTGAGAAACTACATCTTGAAATCGCCCTGAACTTCTAAGAGCAAAAATTACAGGCGAAGATCCTTGTGGATATTGCAAAGTCGCAGGATTACGAGGTGGGAGACGGCACGACATCAGTTGTCGTTCTTTGTGGTACTTTTTAGAGCTTGTGGACTTGTTTTCTCGACAAGGATCTTCATCATTGAATTAGGAAGCTAACATTTATTTTTTTCGATAGTGTTTTAATCGAAAAATTCGATTTTTATCAAAAAATTTGATGTTGCTCTTGAGTTGTCCATGGACCTACCGAGTTGAATAGCCATCCTCCGCAATTGTACCAGGTGAGTTCCTTCGGGAAGCGAAGAATTTCTTGGAGGACGGCGTTGTGCCGCAGACAATTATCAAGGGTTTCCGAAAAGCATGTGAGCTTGCTATCCAAAAGCTAAAGGATTTAAGCATCGACCTCTCAAACAAGAGCCAAGAGGAGAAAACGCAGATGCTCCGAAAGTGTGGTAAGACTGTTTATCGTTTGGCACTAATCTTGCCAAGTCGTGCGTATTGAGAGGTACGCTACCTAGTCGATCCTTGTCGCTCCTACTCATGATCGGCAATCAACCAAGTAAACCACGATCAATAAATAAATCCCCTCAGCTTGCATCAGTCTCTTCAATCTTCAAGTGTCACTTTGACCTTGACCTTGACGATCTTACTGCTATACATATATTTCCTCACTGTCAAACTCAAATTTCTTCAGCCGAAACGACGTTGAATTCGAAGCTTGTGGCGGATTACAAGGAGTTTTTTTCCGAAATTGTTGTGAGGGCTATCGGCATTATCGGTGCTGACTTGGATTACAGCGGTATTGGTATCAAGAAGGTCACAGGTGGTTCCGTCAGGGATTCAATGCTGATTAATGGTGTGGCTTTCAAGAAGACCTTCTCCTACGCAGGGTTTGAGCAACAGCCGAAATCATTTGTCAACCCAAAGATTTTGCTTTTGAACTTGGAGCTAGAGCTGAAATCCGAAAAGGACAATGCAGAAATTCGTATCTCGGATCCGTCCAAATTTCAGTCAATTGTCGATGCGGAATGGAGTACTGCAATTTCTATTTTGGATCCGGCGTTACTTAGAGTCTACTTGTGGTCTCACTCACTACAATAGTACCTTCAAGTTGCGCTACGAATTCAGGATATCAACATCATGACGTCGACCTTTTCCGCTCCTCTTACGCTATTCTCGTAATCATTTCCCAGTCACCTTCTAGTCATCCCTTACCCAACAACAACTCTCCTTCTACAGATATCATCTACGAAAAGCTTGACAACATCGTCAAGAGTGGCGCAAATGTAGTGCTGTCAAAATTGGCTATTGGTGATCTCGCTACGCAGTATTTTGCTGATCGTGGCATTTTCTGCGCTGGTCGCGTTGAGCATGGTGATTTGGACCGAACAAGGAAAGCAACAGGTATACTGGAATACACTTCGCGCATGGAATGACAATGAGCTTGATTTTCTCCTTTATCAGCACAAGAACTACTTGATGTTCATGTGCAACGTGAAGCTATGGAAGTGTACAGAATCCTGTCATGTTGACAACTCTTTTTGTTGAAGTATATACAGATTCAGATCGTCCTGAAACTTACTGAAATATCTCGTCGTAAAGGTGCACAAGTCCAGACAACAGTGACCGCCGGACTTGAAGCTGGGGTTCTGGGCACATGCGCCAAATTCGAGGAAGTGCAAATTGGCGCCGAGAGGTATGCAGCTTTTAGAAGTTATTCTTACGATTATTATAGGAGTGGGGACGACTCAACAGTGGTGTTTAGATTGTTTCATTAGCATGAAACCTCATAATGTGAATGATGCATAAATTTCAATTAATCTTCTTCCAACATTTTTTTCTCTTCGTTCAGGTGGAACCTTTTCAAGGACTGCGAAAACACGAAGTCGGCGACACTGATTATTCGTGGTGGTGCGCAACAATTTATCGACGAAGCGGAGCGCTCAATTCATGACTCGTTCATGATCGTCAAGAGCGCAACGAAGAACACAGCGGTACTTGCTTCCTCACTTCTTACAGAGAAAAATGGAGCTTCTTCAAGAATAAGAATGTTCGAAAGCTGAAATTTGATGCTTCCTTAGTATGCTGTTCTGGTTCTCTGGTTTGAAAAATTCTGCATCTTCACTGGCTTCTATCTAGAAGTATCCAATTTCGATTTACCTCATCTTGCAGATTGTTGGTGGCGGTGGTGCCATTGAAATGGAGATCTCACGTTACCTGCGAGAATTCGCACGCACCGTCCCGGGGAAGCAGCAGCGCGTGATCGAGTACTACGCGCGCGCGTTGGAGGTGATCCCGCGCACGCTTGTGCAGAACAGCGGGGGCGACGCAACGGATGTGATGAACTTGCTGCGCAAGAAGCATAGTTCCGCATCCGGCGAAGGCGGCGAGACCTCGCGCTGGTTCGGTGTTGACTGCATCGAGAACGGTGTCAAGGACACAATGACTAGCTTCATCTGGGAGCCGACCACAGTGAAGGAGAACGCCCTGAGCGCTGCGACCGAAGCTTGCTGTCTCATCCTTTCGATCGATGAAACAATCAAAAACCCGCAGTCCGAGAAGCCCCCACCGATGAAGGGAAAGGGAAAGGGAGGCGGCTTCACCAACCAAATGGCTGGCATGGCCCGCGGCGGAAAGGGACGTGGTTTTAAGCAGCTGCGAAACACCATGGCGTAACCTACTACGTTTTCGCACTAGGAGAAGTTGCATCATCATGTAGACTAGAACTTTCAATATTCAGTACAATATCCCGGGATGGACTTGATGGTCGTGTCCTTTTGGCCGGTAGCAAAAGATGGTGTTGTCCGTCATGGTAGGAACAGCTGAAAACGGAGTTGTTACCGGGTCTACCAGGACTAGCTCTGGATTTCGATACTGAATTCTGATGACCTGCAGATGACGACGTCAATGTGCACAGACTCAGACTGGCAACGCTCATGAGGAAGTAGAAGTTCGCATTACAGAGGGTCTCACAGAAGAACGACGAAGCAAGAATATACGCTTTGATGTGTTGTTTATTGCTATGCCTTGAAAACTCCATGTCTCGTTTGACGATGCTTCTTCATGGGCGTGTATCGTTCTTTACACGACTTTTGAGTTGGTCGGGAATAATGTCCTCTAGAATCACAACATCATGTTTGAACAAGAAAAGAAATATTGAGTTACCCGCAAGTGCACCCCTCACAAAAGGCGATTTGACAAATGACGACTTCTCCCACTTCTCCCCAACTGATCTCATGAGTTCTTTGTATCTAAATCTGCTGTGTGTTTGTATTTTTTTGTAATTGGTCAATCTTATTTTATCTTGGTGCGACTATCATTGATGATGAGCAGATAAATGAAAGTGAATCAATTTCAGTTTACTAGAATTTGAACTAAATAGAAGTCGAAAATCGGAGGGTTCCCTCAGTGTGCTACTGACGGTTCTCGGTGGGCAACACCATGGCCATGCCTCCGATGTTCGTTACTCGTTGTGTGAAATGTTGAGAAGTGAAAGTGTTACCACAAGGCTTTAAAGTTTAAACAGGATGAATCAAATTGACCAGAACTGGGTCCTTTAATCGCTCGTACTTATGCTGTTTTTGCCACGAGATGCGCCTTTATCGATGTCAAAACTAAGATCGGTTTCTATCTTCGCTTCTCGACGAGTGATTGAACTGATTGTGATTTTGCCTCGCAAGCGAAGGATGATCGCTTTTTACCCCGCTCATGCTGCAAAGCGGTACCTATTGCTTATCCCTATTCACAAGGAAAATTGGCTATGGTGATTCACCGAGAGTTCATCTGCGGAAGGCATTTTTTCGTGAATCGACCTACATGCGAGACCAAACTGTTTTTGGATTCTGGGTCACAACTGTAGTAAAAAGGGTGTGTCCCACTCCGTATTAATATCATACATTTACATACTTTACATAAACATAATATATCCAGATGCTACCTGGCGCTCGAGGTGGCAGCGTGAAGGAATGAAATGAAAAAATTGATTGTATGCGCGACCGAATTAAAGCCTTTTTTCTTCGCTCCGCCCTTTGCTTTAATATATGTTGCAGGGTTCAGGGGAGCGGCCCCCCTAGCGTAGGGGGGGCCGTAGATAGCCGGACCCCTTTGGACGGCGTCTGTCGGGGGTGGAAGGCTTCAAAAGGGGCCCAAGGGGCCTCCTCCGCTCCCTTCCAGCTGCCTGCATGGACCCGACAGGCCTCCGATTTATGTGGAAGGCCTCAAAAGGAGCCCACCCCATGGGGCCTCCTCCGCTCCCTTCCAGCTGCCTGCGTGTACCCTACAGGCCTCCGATTTTGGTGGAAGGTTTCAAAAGGGGCCCATGGGAACTCCTCCGCCCCCCTCCAGCTGCCTGCGTGTACCCTACAGACCTTCTATACGCTTCGCTGCCGCAGCGCTGCGCCGGGTATGGAAGGCCTCCGAAGGCGGCAAGAGGCGCAAGGCTGGAGCTTCTCAGCCGTGTGGCATGTACCCTCCGGGCCTTTGGTCATCGGCCTGCTTGCTCTTGAGACCATCAGCCTGCGAGGGTCAGCAGAGGCCAGGCGGCCTCTTGGGGCCATGCTGAGAGGCGCAAGGGGACGCCCGCGCACGGTTTTGACGCCTTCCACCCTGAGGATACGCGAAAAGTAAGCAGCGCAGAAAAGAGCGCGCGAGCGCCACCGCAGGGCCTCCTTGTATCATATATTCGCCTTACATCTGCGCCCTTTTTGCCTTCGCTTTTTGTCTCGTGTGCAGATATCTTGCATACCTGCCTCCGCGTGGTGTATTTGGGGACAATTGGAGTACTTCACCGCGTCACATCTTGATCTTCATCTTATTGATGCAAATTGATGATTTCATTGATACTAACTAGACTATTCCTTCCACTTGGAGTTGTGTTGACCACTACAAAGATTTATGAGTTCCTTCATCTACTTAAAGATGTCGCAACATCTAAGTACAACATATGTTAATCTTCGTCTTAATCCACCTGCAATATTATATATTGTCTTTGACGCCAAGGCCAACTGGTCAACATCTTCGCCACTGCTGAGCTCTTCAGAAGATCAAAAAGATGGGTTTTGGTTTACCGCATGTTCTCTCGGATGAGAGTCATTATCGAGAGTTCGTGTGCAAAATCTGCCTTGACTTAGTGGAGTTGCCTGCTGTCTACACGAGGAAGTGCTCGCATGTCTTCTGTAACAGCTGCCTTCGTGACTGGATCAAGGCCTCAGCGGAGGTGAAGGCAGATCATGCAGATGACATGGACGCTGGAGGACTCTACCAAGCACCGTGGGAACAGACGTCGGGAACATGCGCCACTGCGTATGGCACGGCACCGTGTCCAGCGTGTAAGGAGCCGCTCGTCGTGAATCGCGATGTCGCATACTTGTCGAAATTTGTGAACAAGGCTGTCACATATCTTTGCTATTCGTAGTCTTAATCCTAGACTTAGAGTCATTTAATAAATTTCATGTTCTATTATAATTCCACTTGGGCGCACACGCATCATTGATCGGGAACGAGCTTCCAGGACGGTACCCTCCTTTTCCAGCTTGACGGTCACCTCTTTTTCCTCATTCATACAATGCGAACCACTGGCATATCGACTTTTGCTGAGTGTTCGATGTCGTTGTCCTCTCGGTGGTGGTTGCACTTGGGGTGGAGACTACTCCGAACTTCAGGCTCACCTGACCAATAGCGACTCGCATGCAAGAGGCGCTTCATCACGAGCGCAAATCGATAAATGTGGTGTCGTCGGTAAGGATGCTGAGACCAAGAACGGGACATCAAGTGTGTGTGGCGCCTCTTCGAAGCCTATTGTCACTGCTGAGCAAAATGGGGGCGCAGCAGCGTCCAGCGGCCAGCAGTATGAGCCTGCACAACCCAAGTCGACATCGAATGGGCCGCTTGGTGGCACAGGCGCAGCGACAAACTCTAGTATACCCAGCAGTAATTTTTACGCCCAGGAGAGCAACCAACCTGGCCTCAATAGAAAGCCTGAAAATGCAATTTCGGATGCGGGTCTCCAACAGGCTGAAGGGTTGAAGGAGCTTGGGAACGGAAAGTATAAGGCTGGTGCATTCCAGGAAGCCACGCAGCTCTATTCCAAAGCGTTGGCTTTCGTGGACCGCGGGAATAGTGGAACCGATGGTACATCAAGTAGTAGCTCGACGTCACAACAACTTGCTTCACGATTACTCGCGAACCGTGGAGCCTGTTGGATGGCCCTGGGCGCCTACAAAAATGCTGTACAAGACTGTCAAGAATCTGTGCGTCGCGATCGCAACTTTGCAAAAGCCTTCATCCGCCTTTCGAGTGCCTTTTTTCTCAGCGGTGGTACACTGGATGAGGCCATTGGAGTGTTAGAAACCAGACGAGCGGCAGAGCTTCAATCACCCACTTCAGCCGATTCGAAAGCTAGTAATGCGTTTACGAAGGAGCTCTCTGGAAAAGTCACAGAATTGTCACTGCTGGCCGCTGCGTTGATAGGAGGAAAGGAAGCCCTGCAGCTGGCCGCTCGCGCGTCAACCGCGGGCGCCGGTGCGTCGGACCGGCAACAGCTGCTTACAGTGGCAGCAACGCGATTCCAGCGGGCGCATGATATTGCTGTGGCTGGGTTCGGCGCACCCCATGTCCCGCCTCAGTTGCAGCTCTGGCTCGCTCGTGCCCACATTGCTCGCAGCGACACAGATAAAGCCAACGTAGTCACGAGAAAAGTGCTTCGTGGCAACCGAAGCAATGTGGATGCCCTTACCGCGCAAGCGGCAGTGCTGCTCCTAGACGGCGAATGTGTGAAAGCGCTTGATGTTGTGAAAGAAGCCTTGAGGCTGAGCCCCGACAATGACGAAGCACAGTATCTCTTCCGTAAACTGGCGAAGCCTTTAGCGCAGGCTCTCGACCAGGGAAGGGCTTGTGTTTCTGCGCGAGATTTCGAAAACGCGGCTGCGCACTTCGAGACCGGAATCAAGACGATAGAGCAAAAGACCAAAGCACCTTCATCGCAAGCAGATAATGGCGGAGGCAAGGATAGTTCCGCGACGAATACTAGCAACTCATACGATCCATTTTCACGCTCACGTGGTAATGAGCAAGCATCTGAAGCGCAGAATCGCGAAAGTTCGCCGGTGCTTCGACCTGTAAATACGATGCAGGATCATGACAACGTGCCTGAAGGCGCGTCCTCGACTGCCACCGACAATTCAGATGGCAACTTCATGGATAGCAGTGATATCAACACCAGTGCCAGCTCTGCTAGCGTCGGCGCTAAACGTCCACGAACGGAAGCGATAACATCAACAGACGAGGGTCCCCAGCGAGGGAGCTCGTCTATGCTTTCGAGTTCATTTTCGGCGGCTTCCTCCGCGCCTCAGCATTTGTCCCCCGAAGAATCTGCATTACATCTCGGCTTGGAAAAGAGCCTCCTGTACAGCACGCTGCTTTCTGAGGCAGGAAGCGCAAACTTCCGCTTACGTCGTTTTGAGATTACTCTGAAGCGTGCCCAAACTGCACTTTATATCCGACCAGATTTTCGGGACGCTGTTGTTCTGCGCGCGAACACTCTTGTCGCTCTAGAGCGCTACGACGAAGCTGTCGCCAGCCTAGAAGGTGATACCCGCCTCATGTTCGAGAGCGACACGAGAGTCCAGCACGCGCATCAGAAAGCAGTTTTCGAGTTGCGGAAGTCCAAGCGTCTCGACTACTACGATCTCTTGAGTAAGCCGTGCACTGCAATCACCTTTCCGGAATTGCGTATGGCAGATACGGAAAATCTCACTGGTTCTGCGGAAGATAATCTTCAATCAGCAGAGTCCCAGGCGCAAGAACAGCACGCGGAACCAGGAATGGAAGCTGCATCACCAGCTGCCTGTTCATCAAATTCAAAACATACGGCTCGGCCTCGGGCCTCGGATTCTTATTATAAATTGTCCAGCTTTTCAACGCAAGCGGATATCAAAAACGCGTACAAGCAGAGGTGCCTGGAGCTACATCCTGACAAACATGCTGGGAACACGTCAGCTGCACAAAAATTCGCAAAGGAACGTTTTCAGATGGTTGGAGAGGCGTTTGAGATTCTAAATGATGAGGCGAAGCGTAAACTGTGGGATGACGGTTATGACAAGCAAGCAATTGAAGAGCGAATCCGTGCTATGCACGAAGCGGCACACCGAAATCAAGGCTGGGCGAAGCACCACCATCACTAAACAGGGAACGACGCGTGAGAGACTTTGTTTGTGCATGATTCGTCGATTAATTATGAAGTCACTGCAGCTTTCGCTCTTCCTTCCCTCGCGTTCTTTCTTGGTGGACTGTTGAGAGAAGTACTTCTTTGAGACAGCGCTGATATCTGTCCAAGTTTGTTATACCGAATGTCTTCGAGGACTTCGGGGACTTACTTACAAAGATTGATATGATAAGCGGACGCTCTTCGTCCATGCTCAAGAACAAAGAAATTAAAATTATGTTCTTCTCGATTTGATGATTGATGTCTATCCGATAGGCTCTATCGTTAGTTGTAATTGTATTCCGTGTGTGAGTTGTTAGAGTTTTCAGCGAGATGAACCATTCTGTCTCGATAAGAGATCCCTATGACTGGTCTTTGAACACATCGACTCCCAAACAACACCGAGATCAGGAAGATTAGTAGATGAGATTCACGATCTGTAAACTGACTCTGACAAGATCCATCATCGATCTATGTTTATTGGGTCCGTGAAGGTTCGACGATCCACCGTTCACACCTCCAAAGATCGACTAAAAGCACGATATAACGGATGCAAAAACCAGATCACAAGAGACACGGGTCTTTGGCAAGTTCACATGTGCGCCACTCGGGTGTTGATCTTCATCAAGCTTTTCACTCAGGGTCTAATATCTTGAAGTCTTTCTCCTTTTTTGAATGTGTGGATAGTTGGACTGAACATTTGAGAGAGTCTTATGATTCATCAGTGTCAGTGTCTGAATTCCTTGTTTATTTCTACTTTTTCACACCAGGTGCAGGTTCTGCGTGTTTGCATTATTGACCTACTGCATCTGATAGTGAGTAGACCACATAAAGAATCTAAAGTTGGAATGCATAATTACGAGACTACTGACTTCCAAGTAGAAGCAAAATGAAGCAAAAAACTTCCACTTCAACGCCAAAGGCCGCTGGCAAGGCCACAACCGGCAAGAAGATCTTGAAGAAAAAGGTCGTCAAGAAAGCCGCCAAGCCTGTCGTGGCGTCAAAAGAACAAACAGAGGACGAGAAGGCTACGCCTGCTGTCGTTGCTGAAGACGTTGGAGAAAAGCCAGAGCGTAAAGTCCTCTTCGAGGATGACGACGATGACTCCACTGAAGACGGAGAAGACGACGCTCTTCTCGGTAAAAAGCTCAGCGAAAATCAAGACGAGGGCGATGTCGATATGAGCGATGACGACATCGAGACAGCTCAAAGAAGGCTCGAGGCGGAAGCAGCGGACGAAGCCGCCGCAGCGGAAGCCTATCAGAAAGACCGAGAAGCGGAACAGGCCGACGAAAGCGATGGAGATGATTTGCATGCGGATGATGAGGATGGGGAGGAAGAAGACAAGACAAAAACACCAAGGGCTATGGACATGGCGAAGTTGAAGGAAAAGCTGGAAAACAGCATCAAGTTGTTGGCTGACTGGAGTACTTCTGCTTACTTACTTACTCTTATAAATATATTTTTCATGCCCTCGCAAAACATCAATGCTCACATTATATTGCAGCGAAGTACTGGCATCTTCTTCTTCATTATCTTTTGAGTTGGACCACTCTTTCATCTCTTTCTAGACTCACTCTCACATCAATGAGGATGTGAGTTCTGAAAATCATTTTCCCGAATTTTTTTCTGAAAACAAAACCAGAAACGCTCGGTGGCAACCGAAGTAGCCGAAGCAGACAAGAGGTGCGTGAGGAGATTGCCGAATTGATTACCATGTACTACGGATACAATGCCGAGTTAGCAACATACTTTTTAGACATGTTTCGGCCAGAGGAAGCGCTTGCCTTCTTCGAAGCAAACGAAAAGTCGAGACCTGTGACACTACGTTGCAACACCCTGAAAACTCGTAAGCAGGACCTCGCAAAGCAGCTCACGTCACGAGGTGTGAACGTCGCAAATATTGGCGAGTGGTGCGCGAAAGAGGGACTTAAGGTACAGCCAACAGCTTCGACGACTACGTTCTTTTTTCAATCAAATACAAGTAGGATCGATGGAAATAACTTAAGCCTACTTACTCATGTGATTTTGGGTTGTAAAGAACAAGAAAATGACAAATATGATTTAATAAGCGAAAATCCTCCTCGCGCAAACAAAAGGTATTGGACGCAACGGTCCCTGTTGGAGCGACACCGGAATATCTCGGCGGCCAGTATATGATCCAAGCAGCTTCAAGTTTCGTGCCAGTGTTGGCGCTCAACCCTCAGCAGGGAGAGAGCATTCTGGATATGGCAGCAGCACCAGGAGGCAAATGCACCCATATCGGCCAAATGATGCAGAATACCGGAACGCTTTACGTCAACGAGTTCCAAAAGCAGCGACTTAGCTCTCTCATGGGGAACATTCATCGTACTAAGATTTACTTTTAGCTGACGAATCACGACTAAAGCTACTTCGAAAAGTAGATGAAGCTACTTTCTTACTTATCTAGTGTTAGGCGTGACGCTTCCCCATCCCCGGCATGATGCCTTTATTGATGAAGCATTACGAGAAATAGAGAAGCACCAGGACCACCCTCTTGGAACCCTCGACATCAGCGTTTGTAGCCCGATTTTTGCACAAAATAATTTCAAGGTCTGGGATTGACGAATACTGTCGTCATGAACTACGATGGTCGTGACCTGAAGGACGTCCTGCCAGTGCACTCGCTGAACCGGGTGTTGCTCGATGCTCCGTGTAGTGGTGCTGGTATCGTTGCTCGTGATCCTTCTATCAAGAGCAAGAGAAATATCCAGGAATTCGAACAAACTGCACAGTTGCAGAAGCAGCTTCTCCTCACAGCAATCGATCTTTGCGATGCAAAGAAAGATGGTAATACTGCCTTTTTGAGTCAAGAAGTTGAACTTTCATATTCTTGAAATGTTGATCTTGATGGTCTTTCTCTTCATTATCTGATAAACAAGATGTAGTAAGAACTAGACGACCGCGATGAAGTTACATATGAAACTGAAAGAATCAACTGAAGCTAGAAGTTACCGCTGGATTTCACTTCCGCCAGGTATCGTGGTGTATTCCACATGTAGTGTTTCCGTCGAGGAGAACGAGATGGTAGTGGACCATGTTCTGCGAAAGCGCAATGTGAAACTTGTCGACTTCCGATCAGAAGTCGCCTTTGGTGTGCCAGGTTTCACCAGCTATCGAGGCAAGGAATTTCACAAGTCTGTAGAACTGACGCAGCGCTTCTACCCGCACCGACACAATATGGACGGTTTCTACGTAGCGAAATTCCAGAAACTGAGCAACGAAATGCCGCAGCTCCAGGCGAGAGAACGGGGAACGAGGGGCTCCAATACTGTCCATTGGGGCAAAGAAAAGTGGAGCGCGATGGGTGAAGGCCTCATCGAGTACGCTGAAGATGAAACGGAAAAAGCGCAGAGCAGTTCTGCTAAAAAATCTTCAGTGAAAAACACAGAAACAACTGGAACTGCGTCATCAACTTTCTCTAGTCCTAGCGCTCTTGAGAACAAGAAAACAGCGTCTTCTTCAGCAACAGCAGCCGTGAGCGCAGACGCTAAGGCTAAGCTGCTTGAAGAGAAAATGATGCTTTTCCGATCAGGCAACACGTCAAAACTGAAGAAGTTGGTGAAGAAGGAGAAGGAGGTAGCCGCGAGAAAAGCTGCCAAGAAGGTACGTAAGCCTGAAGAGACTCACGTGCCAGCCTGGAAAGCAGCTGCGGCTGCTAAGTCAAAAACCAAAACGAAAGCTAAGAAGAAGAAGACAAGCGTCGTCGATAAATAGAGCCTACTTACTACAACTACAAGACGACTCTCCTCCTATTCTTTGAGCGTTGAAGATATTCGAGGTCAAGAAACGCTAATCAATACTCGGACGAGACGAAGCTGTAGGACATGTGCGCACCAAAGTCATATCATCAGTACTAGGTCAGCGATCTTAAGTACTACACGTAGAATATGCTTACACTGGAGCCTAACGCCAGAACACGTCTCCAATCCATGCAAGAATTTAATCCTGAAATCGCCGTTCTCGTTGAGAAAAAGATGCGCCTCCGATGTCTTTTTTGTGTTCTGTCTCTTCACGGACCCCGACCCACCACGATCGACGTTGTCAAAGTTGGCTGTGGCGCAAACAAACCCAGCATCTGTAGAAACTAGATCGCTGAAGACCGTGAAAGCCGACCAGGATGTGGATGAGATCAAAAGGATGCCAATCCTGAAGGTTCATGTGATCTGTAGATCATGATCGTTCTTGGTTACCCTGGACCTGGAGATTGATGAGATAGAATTTTCATTTTGCACCTTCTAGAGATAGGGAAAAAACTCATGTTGAAGAGCAGTGTCTGTTTATGGTGTTTTCTTTGTTCCTCATACAGAAATACACATGTCGGTAATGCGCTAGTTCTTTTGATGTGAGCGTGAGCGGTTCTCCTTCACATTCTTGTATTTCTTGTTCTACTTTTTCGGTCTAACTGCGTCTACGTCCTCTAAGAAAGATTCGAAGATGGTAAGTAACGTGGATCAACGTCAAGAAATAAGCTTTCTGCATCGGTCGCGACTGCGAATGTGAGCTGGAAGAGAGTTATTTTCAGCTCCTCTTTTCCTGGGTTGTCTGGTGTTGCTACTAAGACTACTAGAAATTACTTAGTATGATGTCTCTCACTCTCCGCATCTCATATGTGATGATTGTTTCTCAAGTGGCCCGAGGACATGACCGGACAACTGTGGCATCTTTATATTACCCTCTACTATGATGTGTATGTTGAAGATGATCATACTTCATGCTTATGCGTAGATACATTTCACCGGATTTTTTGATGATTTTTTTCTTTCTCCACTGAATCGAAGTGATTTTTTATAAGTAAGTAAGGAGCACATGTAGATTAATTTGAGTTCTTCACAGATCATATTAAGATTAAAGAAGTAGAAGCATGACGATGACCCACGATTAAGACTCCTCAATCCTCTTGCTCTTGTTCTAACTAATCGTCAACATTATCACGATTTCAAGTTTAAGATGTCAACATCAGGGGCCAAGGCATCAATTAACGCAACTATTGCGCAACTGGGCGCGGACTTGCGGAAACCGCGTGCCGCTCAATGTGGGCTTTATCTACAGCAAGCGCTCGAGAACCTCGCTCCATCGATGGAGCATACACCGCACGTCACAGTTCTGTGGAAGGAGCTCCGTGGCTATGTTCGTGTCGGGAAGCTGGAAAAAGCAGCGCAGATTTGCGACACTATCAGGCTCGTCTGGCGGCATCTTGACCCGGTAGAACTGTTTGTAGCGTCCTCACTGTGCTTGTGTAAGTATCCACAGGTACACTTATCTTGGTCCAAGGCGAAGTAATGTCCACAACTACTTGCTGTTCGATTGATACTGACAGTAGAGTGACGTGTCAAAAAAGTAAAAGGCATACCATGTTACTAGTCGTGACCCGAGGGCCCGGAGGTGAAGGGGAAGTGTTTGGACGAGTCAGAGGGCGAGACTGCTCGTGACGGCCGCGCCGCGGAATGGGTTGGCCCCGGAAGCAGGTGAGCGTGAGCGGGCCTGTTTTGCTGAAGGCGGCCAAAGGGGGAGAGCTTCTGGCCGTGCTCCGTTGGTGCGCGGGGCGGCCGTCCCCGCCGTTGCACCGGATTGGGGGTGCGAATGCGGGAGCCTCTGGAGCTGCGGCGCAACGGTTTGAAGCTGTTTGCGGCCGAAATCGGGCACCGCGTGCGCGGTTCTAGGCGCTAGCGGCCGGCTTGTGCCGTGGGTGGCTCTCGGTACGTAGCAGCGGGCGTGGGTACCGTCTGGAAAACGCTGACCTTCCGGCCTTCTGGCCTGAAGCCGCTGCTTCCGCCCACTGATTTGCAAACCTTGGCCACCCTGAGAAGGCCCGGGCTTGCCCCTGGCTCGCAAACCTTGGGAAACCCTGAGGCAGGCAGAGGCTGCCCACTTGCCACCCCTGTCGCCCGTGTCGCTCTCTGAGCTGTTTGGCGCCCTCCAAGTTGTTGGGGCAACTCGGAAAGGGCAAACCGTCACGGGGCAAAGCGTTGGGCACGAGAGGAGCCAGGGAAGCCTTGCTGCCTTGAAAGGCGACAGGCTGCGCGTGAGCCAACGCCATGCGGACGGCGTGGAGCTTTACCCGCGGCGCGCCTGGCGGTATTCGCGCGACTCTGTTTGCCCCAGAATCTGCTGAGGCCTTTCGTTCCCGCGCACCGCGTGGGCGATTTAGACCGCTAACGCCCTTGCCTTCTGTCGAGCGTTTTGCTGTCGGCCACCTGCTCGGAAGGAGGCCCGCCGCCGCGTGCGTATCTTAGTGCTGCGCTGGCGCCTCTTCTTTGGGCGGTCTTGTTGGTCTGCAAGGCAACTGGGCGGCATCCTTTTGAGAGGAGCAGCAGGCGCAGGCGCCCCCCTTAAGACCTTGAGAGGGGCAGACCGAGACCCTTGAAACCTTGCCAGAGGCATGCCCTGGCATTGGCGTGCAACTTTGAGGGGGCGCATCTTGAAGCGTGAACGCTTCAAGGCGAAAAGATGCCAACGCGAACCTTGAGGAGAGGGAAGCTCTGAGACTTTTGCGGTTCTTCGTCTACTCTGTAGCCCAAAACTCTGAAGAGGCCTCAAAGCCCGGGGACTTTCCGCCTGGTGGTGAGCCCTGAGATTCTAGACTCCCCGCCTTAAACTCTGGAGGCCGTGGCGTCCGTTTCTGTCCCTAAATGTTGACTAATGCTAATGGTAATGGTTAAGCAGGCTTAAGGCTATGGCACCGCCCCGGTGGCACAGCAAGGCTTAACTCCATCTATGCTCACGTAGGTTGCTTTGCCCAGTGCGAAAAGCGTTAGCATGGTTGGTTCCGCGGTCCTCGAGTCACCACCTGTGCCGTCGAGAGACACAGAGCACCAGGTGCAAGAATCTAAGACAAGACTAGCTGATCGAAAGAGAAGTCCTTGCGAGAGAAAAAGAAGCCCAACCAGCCCGAATGACCATAGGCATAGAACCGGAGGAAGTCCGGGCTGTATTGATAGGAAGAGAAGTAGTTCGCCTGGGAAACAAGAAAAAAGCTGTTTATTGCGTGCAGACCACGCGAACAGTAAGGTTGCTGCAGCCGTCAGTCCGATGTTAACTGGGGACGAATACAGGCAGCTGCCAGGGAGAGGGTCTTCGCGAGAGGTGTTTGCGCGGCATCTCTCTCCAATCCTTAATATCCGTCGGGGAGATGAAGACAGCCAACTCCTCAGAAGCGTCTTGAGTGGAGCGAGTTCTTCTGCGCTCGTGTCCGACGGCGACGGCGGATATGAAAACTATCATGGAGCAGGACGACAAGTAGTAGTTCTTGATCATGGCGATGGAGGAGAGCAGCTATTACCCGGTGCCAGAAGAGACCACGCTCAACGGAAAAATGAAATATCACCTGAGCAGCGATCAGTTCAACAAAGAGACCAGGGGAATTTTCACAATCGTCAAGATCTGCTGGAGGCAGACGACGTTCCTGTCGAGAAGAGCAAGACGTTTGACTTGAACGATAAGTCTGACACGGTTTTAGCACAGATGCGCATCGACTATGAAGCTCGCGTTGCTGCGAGATTGCGCGAGTTAAACGCACAGATGGAAAACTGTACACGCACGCTATCCGTCTCGCCGGTCAAAGTTACGCGTGAAGATATGAAGTCATACTCATAAGGGAGTAGGTAGGATCCACAAGGTGAATGATCCTTACCTCGGAAAATGTCAGTTGCAGTCAATATATAGAAGGAAAAAACACACTCACACTCAAAAAGTCATGTTTTGGCGGAACGAGGAGGCGGGAAGCGGCTGTTGGATGTTATGTTAAATATATAACGAACTAGCTAGTTAAATATATAGGTTAAATATGGTAGTTAAGAAGGCTTTTCCAATGGCTGGCAAAGTGGAACTCTCTTGAAATCGTGTCTGCGGCTCCTCGTTCCGCCAAAACATGACTTTTTGAGTGTGAGTGTGTTTTTTCCTTCTATACAATAATTAGAGTAGTTTGTAGTACTTACGCATGGAGAAGCAAGGAGCGCATGGAGCGCAGACCCACAAGGGACGCAAGAAGCGCCCCCTTTAGCTCCAGGCATTGCAACTCCATGCGATCCATGCACTCCATGCCATGCGATTACGAGCTGGCAAACCTTAGAAATTGCTCTGCAGTATGTCCGTTGTATTCTTCTAGCATAATTAGCAGTGGTGCTACAGTCCTCTAACTCTAAGCAACAACTCCAGAAAAACATAGAAACAAAAGGTGAAAGTTGTGATATGTATTTTCTTTTCCTAGCAGTAAGTAAGCAGCAGAGTCAGGGTCCTTAGCGTTATTTCTTGGCAATGCCACGATTTCTATATAGAGAAATGACAAACACGATATTTATTGTTATTCTTCATTGCTGCGGGACACAGGAGAAGCAGTCAAGCAGAAGGAGAGCCAGGTAAACCTGCTGCGCGATCTACTGAAATCACGAAGAATCCGGCAGGTCGAAAGAAAAACACCGATGAAGACGCCACCAATGCTGGCATTCAAGAAGGGTCGCCTGCGGCTGAAACGCAACCTCAAGGTGTTTCCCTGCAGGAGCAGATGAGAAAAGCTCTATTGTCTTCTGAAACAGTCGAGCTCGGCTCTGCATTTCCTCCTGCAGTCGCAAAGAAAAGCACTATTCTTATGGACGTCCGGAAGTTCATTGTGAAACGGGACGCGGATAAACGACGTGCGGAAATTGCGACGTACGGAACGAGGAGCCCTCGTTTATCAACAAGCCCCAGGACTACGAAAACGTTGGACGGTCGGAGTCCATTGCAGCGTATGACGAGTAGCCCTGCATCCTTTTCTCCGGTTCTTGGTGCTTCACCTCCCAGCAGAAGTAGGCACACCCAAGGTTCTTTTGGCTCTGTCGCTTCGAGAGCTGTAGTTGTGACGACGGAAGATCACATTATAGAACAGATATCAGATGGTGCCCCAGAGCAGCATGCTGAGAAAGAACCTTTAAGCCGCACCCTCAGCAACAGCAGGAAGGGGGTACGGAAAATTGAGCTAGATCCTGTTATCGAAGATTGCGAGGCCACGACATCTTCTAAGGAGAACTCTGTTTCTCCACTACGACCACTCCTTGATTCGCGGCTCCACGGCTCTCACGCTTCTCATTCTTCATCTTCGTTACGCCACCAGAAAAAGGTTAGCAGGTATCCACATGCACATCAGCTTTCTCTAGTGCAGCCGACTGTATGGAATCAAGGGAGCTATAAGAAGGCGGACCCGCTCCATGTATTGGACGTGTACAGGGACGGTTCTGACCACGCACACGACCTCCTTACAGCTGCCGTACAGCCCGCAAGCCACGGTGGCGTGCGCGCCGTGCTCAAGGGTTTGAACTTTGACGACCACAAGGAAACGAACTCAACATTATTAGGACGCGGACGAGACTCCTCCCGTAGTCGACGGATAACTGGTAGTCCTGCTTCTCGAGCCTCCAGCGCGACTTCGGCGTCGCGTTTTCCACCGTCTCCTAAAAATTTACATTATTCTTGGTTACACTTGGTAGATTCCAGCGGAAAAACTTGAGCAGCGGCACTGGCCAAATTTTGCCTCTGCCTGCCTACTGTGACCCAGACTCCCGCAGCTCTGCTTCACGCGTCTGGTCGGGGGAAAAAGTGCGGCAGGTCCCGGCCTCTGTGCCGAGGAGCAGGCCCGACTTTGAGGCATGTAACAAGCGTCACCGTGCGGCTTTCTGTGCGTAGTGCTACTCAAAACAGGCCGCAAAAGCCACCGCCTTCTGGGCCCTAAAAGTCTCAAACTAAATTTTGAGACTTTTTTTGAGTAGCGCCATTCAAAAAAATCCTCAAAAATCACAGCCACAGGTTTTTACGGAGTGAAAGCCTCAAACTTATTTTTGAATTGTCTTGTTGCGTCGGATCCTGAAACTGAATTCCATCTCCAAAAACCAGTGCTTTTTGAGGGGGTTTTCCTGCAGCTCTACTCACTGAGTAGGGACTACTCAACGGGTAGCGCTCCAGGAAAAGGGGCCCAAAATCGATTGGCCTTTGAGGATGAAACTCAATTTGAGGATCCGACACAACAAGACTACAATTCAAAAATACATTTGAGACTACTTTCAACCCGCAAAAACCGTGGTTTTTCAGGGTCGCTTTGAGTAGCACTACTCAAAAAAAGTCTCAAAATTCAACTTGAGACTTTCAGGCCTAAAAAACCACTGTTTCTTGCGACTTGTTTTGCGCGGCGCTACTCAAAAAAAGCCTCAAATTGAAGCGTGAGGCTTTCAGGCCTCAAAAACCAATGGTTTTTGCGCCTTCTTTTGAGTAGCGTCATGCAACAGAAAACCTCAAACTCGAACACACTGAAGCTTGAGGCTGTCGGGCGGCTTGTGGAGCGTGTTGGTGGCGCTTTCTTGTTGATTGTCTTGGTGCCAGTTCCTTCACTGGGGCTACTCAGGTTGTTCCGCTCATTTTCGAGTGCTTTCCGCGAGTCATAAAGATTTACGGCTTCAATATGCTCAACAATCGTGTATAGTTGGTTATGGTTGTATCAGCTCCTTCTTCATCTCCAGTACGACTGTGCTCTCGTAGTTGTAGTTCACGATGCTGAAAAATGTCACTCTTGTTTCTATCCTCGTACAGTTCTAACCTTATCAGGGACAGTGCATGTTACGGCTGGTTCGGTTAAAATGGTAGTTCCACCATTCGATCGTGACCTGAATGCACCCCCACAACTTATCGTGGCAGACATTCTAGACGGCGATCATTCGGAAAACGAGCGCAACGACTTGCAACTAAGTTTGCGGAAACACTGGTCGCGGTCTGCTGGGGACGACGAGAGAGAAGGTGCAGCTAAGGCCTAACCGGCATACGCATTTGCATAGTATCAGGAAATATGTACTACTTTCATTTTTTGCATTTTTCTTCGGTATCACTAATATGCATTTATTGCCATTTGTTTGCTACATCACGACTTCATGAATTATTGGGTTAGTAGTTGCTCTCAATCTATCTAGCTACATGAAGAAAAGTTGACTGCGGCTGTTGATCGCAACGGGGGCAGACCACGCGCCACCATTAGTTTTCAAAGCGTCCACTGGATTTGGCACAGCTCTGTAGTATGTCTTCTTAAGAGAAGTCGCTAACGCGTGAACTACTTACCCTCCGCCACCTGTGATCTCTAAGACACGAAGTAGACCGAATTCCCCCTCGCGGGGTGGGGGTTTCCTTTTGGATGAAGGATCCAAAGGCAGTGCCCGCGATGTACAAGAGTCGTCGACGACACCGAAGTCGCGGTCAGTGGTCGCATTCCAAGAGCAACGAATGAAAGACGAAACAGTTCGTATGCTAGTAGAAAAATACAACCGATCGAGATCGACGGAGATCGGCAAAGGTATCACAGAGAATCAGCTGCAGATGAATCACGCGGCACGCGAATCTCTTGCGAATATGACCAGCACGACTTCCGCTGCCTCGCCACAGCCAGGTGGAATTGCAGGAGGGCGGCTTCGGCCACGTGCGTCTGCACATCAAACGATGCAGCAGCTACTAGCGGCTTCTCCTCTCAGTTCGCCTATGCCCATGACGCGATCGCCTCTGGAGGGTGCTTCAGCAGAGCTCGCTGCTGAGCCGACAAGTGGGAATACACTCGTACACCATGGTGCGGACTCGATCATCGGAGAGGAGAATAGCAATGATGCCTCCACCGTCAAAATCAAGAAGGAGATTGCCACTAAAGACGCTGCTCGAAAAAGCCGAGGGCGAGCCGAGGCGCTTCTGAACTACGTTGCGCAAAACGGGGAAAACCCAGCTGCTTGGAGGACAGTTTTGGGAGACCCAGCCGCGATTACCACAGCAGCAGAGCAGAAGCAAAAAGGACACTATGTCACTGCAACCACCCAAAAAAAGCCGACAGGCAACGATGGCTATAATGATGTAAAATCGCTGGACAAAAATGGTGGTCGTGCTTCTAGGAAGAAGAGTGAAGGGGAGGCTCAGGCTCCGTTAGCCAGACGACAAGGAGAGCGCTCTCCTAGCAGCCCTGGGGGTTGGCGTAACCCTTTTGAGGTAAGAACTTCGCCAGAGGAATGGCTTCAGAGAGATGCGGCACTCGGCTCTCTAGGTCCAAACCATCGCCTCTATGCGTTAGCAAAAGATGGCGTGTCGTATGAGCCAGTGGTCGGATCTTCAGCTCTCTCTCTGTTGGAAACGGAAATTATTCGCCAGCACGGTGCGACGCAGGAGCCACATCCAGATCAGCACTTTGTCTTCCGAGATTTCAAAAAGCACAAGAAAAGCGGTGTCACCGCAGGCGTGATACTTATGAGAGGATAAGAAAGGCGCGTGTCAGTGTCTATTCCTAATGGCACTGCGACTCGAAGACAAGCCATAATTTTCACCAATTCATCGCAGTTAAGAATAGAAATAACTAATGGCTGGGAGCCCTTATCATTTTCGCTGGGTGTTGCAGCCCATGCATTTTTCTATTTTTCATCTAACATGCGAAGCAGCGAAGCGACCGGAAAACTAGTAAACGGGGCCAGTGCAACTCGTCTGGGGAAGAGGAGCGCTGTTGGGCGACAACCAGCAATGCCAGCAGCGCCCCCACTGCCCTTCCAAGCAACGAGTAGGGCAAGTCGCGATTCCGCGCCTTTGAAAGCGTCAGATGCTGCAAACACAGCGGCCAAGAGGAATCGCAACTCGCGAGCTAAAAATGGGAAACCGAAAGTCGCTGCGAGGACGATGGGAGCTTCTTCATCCACCAGCAATCTGGTGGAAGAAAGGTTGGCGTCACGAGAGAGCAGAGCAGGCGACACTGTAATATCGCAAAAAAGTGATCCACTTGTCGGCAAAGGGCCCATCCGCATGCGGAAACCAGCAGCGGCATCACCAACCAAACGCCCGACAAATCTCGGACAGCCAGAAGGGCTCAGCGCAGGCACTACAGGCGGTGATACGTTGGGCACGACGGGAGGTACCACGTCGCGTGGCTCTATACAAAATTTCGTCGTTGTGATGAATACATCGGATGTGGGAGAACTGTCACAAACGTTGATGAACTAATTCTAACGTTAAGCTAATAAAAATTGGAGCTGAAGGAATACGAATATTGTCTGCGTCTGCCCATTGCTTAATAGTAGTCACTCGTAGTTGAAGCTCTGTGTTACTTAATGTTTTTTTTTCAAGGGTGAAAATCCATTGGAGCCCGCCTCTATCAGGAGAAGCAATTATGGCCGAGTCAGGGAACACGGAAGCGCAGCAGTGGGGCTCAGCGTTTACAGCAACTGATAGCGAACTTGTTGCGCTGGTGGCCGAGCTGGACAACCAACGCTACTCCCCGACCGCCGCAGGAGACATAAACGTGTGTCCGCAGCTCTTCTATGCAGAGGGCCCATCTTCATCGGCCAAAGAAGGGGGCTTACCTGACGCGGAGGAAATGAGGGAGATGATGGAAGGGAGCAAGCTAACGTCGGACTACAGCGAGATCTGCGATGCCCGGACGACATCCTCCGCTGTAACTTCTTCTACCATGAATAAGACAAGTTCTCCTGCTCCTCCTGGTCGCGGTCAGAACGAGGAAAGTGTTCAGACCACACTTGACGCGAACCAAGAAATGACGAAGGAAGATCCGGTGACGGTGGGTCTCGAGAAGTTGCTCGATGAGGTTGCCCAACTTAGTGATCATGTAGGCGGCCTTGCATCGAAAACGAACCGGGCAATACGGCCAGGGAGTAATTCGCGGACGAGGCCGACGTCTTCGAGTACCACATCCTCCACAGGGGCTAAGCAGCGGGTGCGCGGCCGCGCGAGGCTTGACGATAAGAATTCCACACGGCCCTCCTCCAGGAACAGGGATATCGGGGAGGATGGAAGATCCACAAGTGCCTATCCGCGTTCCGTCTCGCAGTCACCAACAAAGCTATATCGCGTTGTCGAAGCGGGAAGAAAGTCCCCGAGCAAACTAGATAACGGACGCCGAATGCCCTGGGAACGCTCAGACGGGACAGCTTCTGCGTCGCCGATCCCAGTCTTGCGAGCCGATAGATCCCGGTCCCGCAAACCGAGTGAACAAACTGCCACATTATCGTCCGTGCATAACGAAACTAGTAGACATGATGGCTTTATTGATATTAGTAGCAACGTTGGAGGTACTGAAACAGTGTCAGGGAGTGCAGTAAAAATTGCGGCGACTGCTTCTAATCCTGGAATCGACGTCGAAGAGACTGTTGCAGAATCAAAGGAGCGCTTCGCGGATTTAGCGGAGCGCGTGCTTCAAGTCCACGGTCGTGCATCCCCGTTGCTGATGCTGCGACAAGTGGGAACGCCTAGCGCTTCTCCCTCCCGGAAGGAAAGAGGCTCCTTGTCACCTGCCCGAACGCGGAACAATATCGCTGCTGGCGACAGCCGCGAAGAAGGGCGACGCAACTCCAGCTCACCGCACGAAAAACGACGACAAGCTACGTCTGCTTCCAGCTCGAGTCATCGACAACGGTCTGCGAGCATGTCGCGAAAAGACGCGTCCCAGAGGACCTCGCAGGATCACGACGATAGCAGAAGAGACAGGAGCAGCTCTGCCAGTTCGAGCCGAAATATTCGATCTCCTCCTGCTCCGTTTCCAAACACACTTTTGAAGTACGACGCAGCCAATCGCGTAGGCCTCGACAAGATTCTGACAATTCCTGCACTAAACTTGATAAACACAACTTCATCAGCATCAAGAGCAGGCAGTAAGAACAAGATCACATCGTTGTCAGAAGCGCAAGGAGGGACCGCTAGTATAGTAGACGGTAGAAGAGAGAGCGTTGGAGTCAAAAAGACAGGTTTTGCGGATGCCGCGACGGTTCAGGTAACATCCTCACCGGGATTAGAAAGTAGAAGCGTTAGCGTTCTGCCAGCGCGCAAGATGGAAGCCCTATCTCGAGATGTCTCATTGTCTACACTCTCTCAGATGCTACTTCAAAACACTTCTGTGAAGCGAGGTTTTAACATACCCGCGGCGGGAAGTGCGTTTTCGAAACGAAAAATGGACGACGGCAACAACAACAAGAAGGCCACCAAGTCCACTCTGCGAAACGCTCCAGCTGCAGCAGCCGCAGGGTCTTCATCACTGCCAAACAGTCGAAGCAATTCCAAGACAAGCAGTGCTCTAGATGTCGCCGCACCTTCCCCATTCCTGTTAACAATGCCTCGTGTGTCGGGTGTTTCCTTATCCTCAAAAAAGGTCATGAGTCGTCTCGCCGGTGGTGGTAGCCGCTCGGTTTCGATCTCGGAGGACGTCACCACAGAACGCCTTCCGCCAGCACCCGTGGTAGACTCTCTGACTGAGGAAAAAAACATACTGGAACAAGCACCACGAACAGGGGATGCGCCAGTCGCTGTGAACAATACAGATCCAAATGTTGTTAGTACTTATGAAAGGCCACCACGGACAGTAAACAAGCCGGCAATTCCTAGAGCTGCAAGGCCATCTATGTCGGGGTCAATAACAAGAACTTCTGGAGCTGGTGCGAGAGAAGTAGGACCTGGAGGAACTACCAGCAGTACAGTCCGTAGCGACGATAAATCGAGGGGGCCATCTTCGTCATCACGTGGGCGGCAAACTTCTTCTTCCAAATCTGCATCGCAGGTGGCTGCGAACAATGTTAGTCGAAAATCAGTCCGCATCGTAGAGAACAAGAAAGCCTCCAGCATGGCATCGCATTTTCGCCGCGGAGTTTCTTCTGGTGTAGCTGGCCCAAGCGCTAGCCGTGGTTCGAAAACTGAAGCCAGCACGAGAGCAAAACAGAAGCTGTCAACCACATCTGCTCCAAAGAACGTGCAAGAACATCAGAGCCAAGAAGGAGAAGAACTTCTCGTCGATGAGGAGAATCTAGTAGCCCTTCTGCAACCAGAAGAGGCAGCTTTTCTTGAGGACAATGCGATTGGCACGTCTTCGCAGGAAGAGATCTCAGACATCCCTGATGAACATTCTGACCTAGCTGAAGGAGGCGCCGGTGAAGGTCCCTCCGAAATCATGACCAAGAGTGGTCGTACCAACTTTTCTATGTCTAAATCTAGCATTTTGTCCGCGCCTAAAATAGAAAGCAACCTCTTGTGGTCATCGGACAGTGACGGAGGAGCACGAAAGTTCCACTTTTACCCCCGAACACGATTCCCTGACCCGCGTCAAAGGACTAAAGAACGCTTCGAAGAAGAGGCCCATGATCCCATACCCATCTCATCTTCTCAGGAGCAACAAGCAGTACCCGTGCATCAATCACCTCCAGCTTCGGCGACGGAAGTTGTTGTAAGAACACAGCAAAACATGATGAACAAGGACGAAGATGTAGAAGTTGCACCAGTTCTTATAGTGAAAAACGCGCACAAAAAAAAATACGATGCTGGAGCTGCCCAGAGGAGAAACGACACATCGGAAGAACGTGAATGTGTTTTCGACTGTGTGGAGGCGAAGCCGATGAAGTTAGAAGATGAATACGATGCGATTAACATCGTTGACCACGGTGCTGTCGGTAGTCCAGAAGTTGGCTCCTGCACTAGGCTCACAGTGCCCTCCAGCTCGGGACGTGTTCGCCAGCCGAAGCCATTAAAGACGAGTGGGACCGCTTTTATGCAGACTAGCACTCACGAGTTCGTCGATTTTGGCGGACTCTCAGCCCTAATGGAAACGATGCCGTTGCGGCCAGTCAACAACTAGTAAAACATGTAATTGCCAACGCAGATGCAGTTGTTAGCTATGCATAGGATTATGTTTTGAGGCAAGATAGAATCTGTGAAGCAACAAGCTACTTAGAAGAATCTGCAATAAAGATTTGAATTTGGAAGCAAAAACACTTTTTGTTCTGTTCATGTAGACATTTTACGTTTGCCGATGCCCACCAGCCCTGAGCCCACGACGCAAGGGTAGGCGTACTAGGGAACAGGCTTATAGGGATTCACATCTTCGGCAATGATACAACACGAGCATTAATATCTCTCGTTCTCTATGCTGCTCATGCATGGTAGGTTGTGGCGTTGTGACCAAGCGGCATACGCATTAATGTCATTCCATAACCTTCAAGAATTTCTAGTTCCACACCAATTTTGATGTTGCAAAGAAAGCTCATCCTTGATACTGAGGAAAAAAACTTCAAACAACTCACCTGCTTACTTATTACCGACATAGACATTCGCCAACATACATTCATTTTCATACATCAATATCTATGGCAATCCGAATGTTGTACACAATTGTAGGAATAAGCCTCAGACTAAAGTTGCCTATTTTTTCTCACACAGTCAGACAGACACACAGATTCACATGCACATAGGAACGCGAACGCCAACACCTTGTTATCATCTGAGAATGTTCAAAAAGATAATCTAAATCAGAAAATTGAAGACACCCTTTAGTTAGATGTAGCAGTACTTTCTTTCAATTACTTAATATCAGTAACAAATTGGAAGTGCAACGTTAAAAGAATACTTGCACGGATGAGAAAAGATCATGGCATCGATTGCAAGATTATAGAATCAAAACCAATATGAGAAAGACATCGCTCAGGAAAAATAACAGGCAAGTCGTCGATTGAATATGCTTCAACTGGGAAACGATAACTCATAACATATGACTCTTCGAAATTTCGTGCCATCAGCATAGATTGTGGTTGGTGCGTCTACTGCGTCATGATTTTCCTTTTTTTGTCTGTCCAACTGACAGTCTTCCCTGAAAAGAGAGACCGGGCTTTTACAAGAAGTCGGAGTTGATGTTTTTGGAAGTTCAGTGAGAAAGGCACGGATCTCCTTCAGCCTCGTTTTTTACTTCTTGTTTCTTGAAACGGAAAAGCTTGCAAGTACTTTATTTTGGTCGGCGAAGGTAGAAGGATGAAATTTTCATCCTTCTACTTTCGTCGTCATCAACATCTTTGGTCAAAATGGACATGCGAATCTGTCTCGGTGGCTATCGGGTAAAGCTGAAAGAAGTTTCTATCGTTGGCATACCTACTTCACTTTGATGTCGGTTTTCTTGGATTCTCAGCTTTTTTTCGGTGTCTGATGCTGTTATTGGTTTTGTATCATGCAAAGAAGTGTGAGCGTCCTAGTCTATCCGTTTTTTGGATAGATGACAAATGGATTAGTGCCAGGATGAAAGGAGCCATGAAGTCTCCTGCAAAGTTACTCCGTAGACGAATATTTTTTTGATTTCTTCATAACTGTGATGCTGGTTGAATCGACTCGTTTGTCAAGCAGGGACGAGGTTTCCTATGTTTTCCGCTTTTCTATTTTCATTTGTTTCTTTGAGTTGAACGTTGAGCGAAAAAGTATAATATTGATTCGCAAGTAACTTCTAGGTTTCCGTGGGGCGGGTAGTTCTTTGATGTTCTGATTGGTTGCATGTGTCTGTCAATTGTTCTTCCAGTTGGTTCCATTACAGTTAATAAAGTTCGGTCTACTAGAAGGAGAAAAATAAATCTGTCATTCTCGTCATGGTGAAGGTGATTGTCATGGACGAACAGGAAAAAAGTATGTCAGCCTCAAAAATGCAGGCGGACTCCTTTCGTGCTTCTACTGGACACGAGCAGTTGCATCAGGCCAATGCCGACGAAGTTGAGATGTCTCTGAGACACTTGCTCTCTCGGACCGGTGAGGCGCGATGGCGTGCAAAGAGTGAGCACGGGCAGCCCCGACTTCGGCTCGTGCGTCGGGACCCCTATTTGGGTCGCAATGTACGTCGGTGCGACCGTAAACGCTATGCAGAACTCTTTATCGACGCGCAGTCCCGGAATGCAGAGGCTGAGGCAGCAGGCACTTTCGGCAAAGCTAGCATCAAACCGTGGCTTGAATACCCAGTGGTCACGATCGAAGTCCCTGGGTCACCGCCTCTTTCCCCCCGGTCGAGGCGCGAAGCAAGCCCGCGGGAGCATCACTCCTCGACCAATTCGTTATCGAACAGTCCGACGACCTCAACGAGTAAGAAGGCCGCCGATGGTGGTAGCGTTTTGGACTACGCGGTACCCTCAAACGGGTTCCGAACATTATCGCGAGCGGAAGTCCTTGAAGGTTAAGGCAATAAGTCAAACAGCAACAGTTACATTTCTTCAATGGATTTATAATATCATCTGGACCACGATCATTGTTCATTCTTGAGGATGGCGTTTAGAGATCTCTTGACAGCATCAAAAATTTATCATCGTTGTTTCTTGTTCGTGGTCTCTACATCTTTTATTGCGTGATCCGTGAGGATCAACTCGGTGCACAGGCATAGGCATACGAATCGCCGATATGAATGATATTTGTTATGACGACTACTTCTGTGAGAGAATGAGGACGCAGGTGTGACCCAGATGAAGAACACCGTCTAAGAACGCGAACGCGAGAGGCGAAGCCACAGTCCTTCCAGCTTAGCTGCGGTGGGGGCACTCGCGCCTGGAAGTTTTCGACAAAAGCGGGTACGAATATGCCGCAAAGATCCTTTTCTTGGACGGCTCTTTCGAAGGTCAGATTCGCGCTCCTACGGCGAGCTCTTTCACGAGTGTCAAGAACAAAACCGTCGTTCCTTGGGGGAGCAGGTATTCGTACTGTTTCGTTTCCGTTTGATTTGATACAAGTTCACAAGTTCGTGTCTGCCTCGTGCACTCTTCACCATCTCGATCATCTGCCTTCCCACTCCGAGTCTAGGACGCCTAGAAAGAGAAAGTGTACTAATCGAATTTCGTCGTCAATCAGGTATTGGAAAGGACGCAATTTTTGGCGAAGCCTTCAGTGTCCATGAAGCTCACGCCGAGAAATATGGCTATTGTACGAGTTGATGGCACGTCGCAGAAAAAGCAACAGGTACCGAAACGAGCTCTGCAACGAATGACGAGCGCACCTGCTAGCGCTGCTCGTATCGCGTCCTCATCCGTCAATTTGACCGCCACCCCGACTGTCAGCATCATTTTTATGTGTTTCGAACAGTTTCTGATTCCTTTCACTGATCTGATGGAACAGCTTCAGCTCGAGGTTCCTCATAAGTAACAGTAAGTATAATAATTTTTATTCTATTCTTAAACTAGAACTACAAGCAGTCTCTCCCTGCTCTGTGTGTTGAATGTGAAATACCTGATCTTCAACATTGATATGCTGGCGCCTTTAACATTCCTTTCCCATCAGCCTGGCTGTCTCGAGTCGCGCATCAGATTTGCAGTCCGCGAGATACTGTTGGTCCAGACGACGTGCTTGAAGTTGCCGCGGCAGATGTTGAAGCAGTCGCTCTGTCGGGAGCAGGTCCTAGAGGCATCACTGCAACGATGGCCGTTCAAACTACGCAAGACAACCAGGAAGGGACTCCTGTGGAGGCTGTCCTGCACTTTGTGCCACCCACACGAATGAGAAACGCCACGCAACATGTTGATAGTCTTCCTGTTGGTATTAATGGCGACGTCGCGAGTGCGCTCTCTTCCACGTGTCTTGCGGAGAGAGATTATGGACAGAGCTCGGATGTAGACGATGCGAGCCACGTTGCGCGTGTGAGTTTCAACAGTACCGCATCAAGCACTGCCACTCCTCCACTTGTTGTCCTAGCGAAGACGCTTCTGACGACTGAAACTGAAAGCCCAACCCGTGCTTCGGGCGACTCTCGTGCAAACGGCGAGCGCCCCCTTCCGTTTTACGATGATGCAAACAAGAGTAAGACAGCTGCAACAAGCAGGGTTGCAGGGCCCAGTGTCGGTCAGACGCAGAACACGCGAAAAAACAACGATGTTGACAAAGCCAAACAAGTCCATATGGAAACAGGAAATGCGACAAACCGAATGCAAAAAGCCGTCAAAAAAGTTGCTGATGTTCAAGCATTCCATGCTACACTTTCAAACAAGACTCCTGCGAAAACCACGGACCCCACGACTGGTAAAAGTACCTCGGGTAGTGGTTCTTCAATAATCGATGGCGTCCAAGATAAACATAAGCAAGGAGCCGAAGAGAACAACGACCAGATTGTGCAAAAGTTGGATTCGATACCGATTTCCCCAGTTGTAGACCTTTCCATGCGTCATGCAGCGTCTTCACCAGCGGAAGTTGTGGAAGATGGCTGGGTCGTATTGGATCTTCCATCTGTCGACGAGGCTGAAGAATCGCATCGCATGGCCGCTGAGGACTGCGATGTCGGTCGGCCTTCTTTATTTGAACAGGTAGAGGGCAAGTTGGGGCTACATATTGCAGAGCATGCTCTGGACCATGTTGAAGGTATGAACCACAGAATGAAGAAGAACGAGTCCGCGACAACCCCGCGGAGCAGTTCGCGCAGCTCGGCCAACCAAAACTTGAATAAGGGGAGCCTGAAGCATCGTCTCGTACGTCGCAGCCCCTCCAGTCCGCGCGAGGACCGCAATAGCCTGAAAAGTACTCTGCGTTACTTGCAGAAAAAGAACGCCGGACTGCCAGCGAGCCCGAAAGGGGCGGGCCATTCTCCTCGCGCTCCCGTGGTTTCTCCGCTTAAGCTGGCGCTTGAACAAGCAGACACGTCAAAGGCAAAGCGCAGTGGGTCAGAGAAGGGACTCTTTCGAGAAGACTTACACGCATTTGGAATAGAAGAGACTCCCAAATTTGGAGCCACGACAGGACAAGAGCAATTACCTCTTCCGAGAGAACTGAACGAGTCGAAGTTGCACTCTCATACAGCTGCTCTTCTACTGTCGGGTTGCGAAGAACACTACGATTTGGAGACTTATGGACACAAACCTTCTCACTCAGCGCAGAAAAATGTTGAAGAAAATGTGGCATCGACAACGAAAACCGACCTAATTTCGACGGCTCCTCGCATTTCTGAGTCTTTGTTGGCAGGCTCTCCTGGTGATCGGGAGTGCGCATTCGCCGATGAAGAAGCCTCAGTCTTGGGAGAGTTTCTAGGAGCAAAGAATGCAAGTTGTGCTAGTACCCAGAAAGTAGTTACTTGCGTGAAGAAAGACAAACAGGACAAGACTGAGAATTCAACAAATCCACCATTTACTCAAAAACCAGGACAGCTTCTGAGAAGTCCCTTGCTCTATCAGCCGATCGCGCTGCAATCACCTGCAACATACCTCAAGAATAGTCTGGCGGCGGCAGCGACTAAAACTATCGCGACATCAGCTTCAAAATTGTCGAAGAATATGAGCACTACAAGTACGACCAGGTCATCGACCGCTGGTGTTGGTGCTTCAATTAGAAGTACCATTTCGTGTGTTGCATCCGTATCTATCTCGTCCACGAAAGTGCATCATAAGGACGGCGCAGGAGTTCCTAAACAGAGCAATCCGCGATTGCAAATCCAGCAACCTCTACCGTCTTTTCAAAGTCAGGCGAGTGGTTTGTCCTTGCCGTTGCGCGTATCCGCTAGGTCGCCGCGTTCGACATCTCTGACGAAGGATCACGGCTTGCGATTTCGGCAAACGCTTGAATTTCCACGCTTCGCCAATATGCTCGATGGTAATGAGACGGTGCCCGGACTAAATAACGGAAGCAAATCTCCAGCTATGACCAGTACTAACACGGTGCCCAACAAGAGCAGAAATATGAGCACTTCTTCGAAAATCATCACTGTCGGAGGCAGTAAGTATGGACCTGTTGCACATGAGCCCGCAAAACAGCACAATCTTGTGCTACCGCAGCGCCGTGTCGCGGAGTTGCTTTCGCCACGCGTTGGCGAATCTGTTGCGGCTAGTCTTACTTCTTTCAAAACTGCACCCACTGCCACTTCAACTTCGAAGCATAACTCCAACACGTCGAAGAACTACTTGAATGTGGCTACCTGTCCTCGACGACAGGGTGACTATCCCGATAAGGAAAACAGTGTGGCCGTTGCAGCTTCTACTGAGGAGATCAATTACCTGCGGGAACTCTGCGAGGAGACCGAGAACCTTATTGGCCATATTGTGGAGCGAGAACTTTCATCTGTACGAAATCTATGACAAGACAGTAGATTATTCTTACTTATTATTGAGGGAAGATCTAACATCTAATTGTAATTTATACTTATCTATAGGTACCAGGGAGGGAGGCCCCTGGGATGGAGCGGTGGTGGCGTCCGCGCGCTTTTTTCCACTGTGGTGACATGTAAGGACTTCCGGGGGCGAAGGCCTCAAAAGGCGGAGCCGGAGTCCCTTGGCGGCTCTCCGCGTAGACCCCACAGCCCCGACTCTTGGACCCTATCAGGGGGACGGCCTCCGGGGAAAGAAGGCCGCCGAAGGCAGTGACGGTCGCGAGGCCTGGCCTCTTTGGCGCTCATCCCGCCAATCGGTGGCAGCGTCAGCCGCCACCAAGCTCCCGGGGGGATGAGGACCCAAAACGGGGAGGAGGGGCGAGGCGTGCCCGCCTGGGTTCTGTCGTTTACATGCAGCACGGCGAAAGGGGTCAAGCCTTGCCGCCAGAGGCACACAATGAACCGCAGGAAGAACGACGTTTTAGCAAACAGTCTCATTCTAATTCTAGCTGGGTCAAGAACGTCCGCATCTACATCCATCTTTTCTCTACAGCACTCATACAGCACCGGCATATACGCAGCACCGAAGACACGTCGGATCTCTATCCATGACGGATGACAAATCAATTACAATTGTTGTATCATAGGCATAGGTATACGATGGATAGTCACACCTCGCAAGCACGCTCACGTAAAAAACGAAGACCAAGACATTTCTTTTAGAAGTTATATAAGTACTTACGCCTACAGTTACACACTCCATTGATTGTAATTTGTACAATATTTGTTGGATGCTATGTAAATGTAAATGTATGTATCAGTTTGGGAATGGCAGTAGAAAACAAGTATGATGATAATTTTAAATGTAGCAATGAAAGTTAAAGATCTACTTGGAAGGCTTTTAGGGAGATCAGCTCTCATGACCAGCAGTTGGAATTACATTCATTTTCCCAGTATCAGACGACCCTGTTGTATTGTTCAGTAATTATGAATATTTTGATGATAGGATTCTGCGTGTTGTTCATAAAGATATGGTTTGCACAGACAACATACTGATCGACATACATATCGCCTTTTCATATTTATCATGCGGGAACATCAAGATGGCGCATATTGTCAGGGTATCTACCTATGTATGTATAGGTATACGATGGATTCGCGACGGGAAGCTTAATGGAGCGCGAATAGATCACGCAGGCGCAATTGCACCTGAGACAGGTCCTATTGAGATTAACTTGTCGTGTTCTGAAAAGACTAGTGATCGCGGGTTGTTCTTCTTGGAAAATACTTGCTTTGAATGAATAAAGAAATGAAGTAAATGATCGACGGGTCAATGACTTTTGTCAGAAAACGGATTGAGTGATGAAAGACGATCTGCGTGATAGCTCACGGAAGAAGTGATCTTGATCAATATTGTGATGATCAAAACGATCCTTTCCAATGATCTCCTATGGCTTCCTCCTCGCAGCTTTTAAAACTGGAATTAACGAAGAATATAGCCAAATTTGTTGTCCTGAAACCGACCCACACTGACACGAGGATTCTCTTTGAAGTATTTAGAAGTGTTTTGCGCTATGATTAATTCATTTCTTCATCAACATTGCAGCGTTCTGAGAATCGCGGGCTCGTTTAATTGACGAGATTCTTGTCACCGTGGAGTCGCATATTAGAGGCTTAGCCTTAAAGGAGGTGTATAAATTGTACGAAAAATAATAGCGACGCGGCCGCTGAACCTGAACAAGTACATGCTTTAATCAGTTGTTTCAATTACAATTTGTAGCATGAGTAAGAAATCCAGCGACGCGCGACTGCGAGATTTTATGGTTTCATCTGAAAACAGAAATATGGGTGAAAAACAAGGAGATACAGCTGCAGCTGAGTCCGCACCTCCAGCAGGAGGTGCTGTGGCAGCACCAGGCAAGAACGCGAAAAAACAAGGTGGCGGCAAACAGAAACAGGAGAACAATGGCGGTGCCGGTGCCTCCTCTGGTGCAAGTGGTTCCTCGGCTGCGAAGAACCAGAACAAGCAAAAGCCAGCCGCGCCAGTGAAAATCACGACGCATCAGGCTGTCTTGCTCGCGGACACGACGCCATCCCTGGTGTTCAACGTGTTGCAATTAAGTGCTCAACATCCTATGCTGTTGCCAATTGCCGGTGTGCCGCTCATCGATCATATTCTGCAGTACGTGAAGGAGTACAACAGTTTCTGTGAGCGCCGGTACAAGGAAGCGATGATGGCAAACAGCGGAGCTGTATCCAACGGCACAGGCAGTGCAGATGAGATGGCAGCCTTTCCGCAACAGATGGGAGAGCTGCTTGTCATGACGCGGAGTAAGAAGCTCAAAAATCACGTCGAGAATTGGGAGAGAAAAAACATCGACCCGACAGTCGATAGAATCGCTTTCAAAGTTCTTGTGCCAGTAGCAGGCTCTGCCGATGCGGAGAATCAGGTGGCGACACCATACGCACAGCAAAAACAGAAACTGGTAAAATCGAGATCATGAAGAGGTGGCACTCAGGATTAGGATTAGGTGTAAGCGATATTTCGCCTGAGCTTCACACTCACAGCTGACATCTACTTCTAGGTAGAAGTATTCCAATCCCACTGCAGCTGTAAATCCTCAACGAACGCTGTCGCACGGCACTACCACTAGTTGTAATCCTAATCGAACTACAACATCTTGAAAAACATCGTCTTCTCGTATCTTGTCATTTCAGGTCGGAGACGTGTTGTCTTTCTTGCGAGACCTCCATGGCCGGAATGTGATCCAAGGGGATTTTCTCTTGTGGGAGCCGATCTCTCTGTTGTCGAGTCCTGAGATCTTGTTCGAATTTTTCACGCAGCATCTGCAAACACGACAGGACAGAGCGCGCAACTGCTCTATGTCTAAGCTCTTCTCTGAGTTGCCTCCCGCCTCTGCCGAAACAGAGCTTTTCCCGTTGACTCATAGGGGAGAAATCTACTTGGAGAAAATGGAGCATGGGTCGAGCAGTGCGACGTATGAGATTCTGCACAATAACCCTCAGTCCAAGCCGCAATTGGATGTGATTATGGCGAACTTGTTGAAGCGGGAGTCACGCGGCTGCCTTGAAGTGTTGAAAAACGTTGTAGACCTCTCAATCTACATCTTCACGCCAGACGTGCTGACAAAAGTCGCGAACGAAGCTGTTGATCTGGTAACTTTTTGCCTCTAATGTCTACTTTGTCTCTTTTCATGAATGTCGATTCATACTAAAGGGAAAAACGCTAGAATCAGAAAAAAACTAAAATTGGTTTTTGATTCTAGCCCCTCACCAGTTTAGGACACCTTCCAGCAGCAACCGCAGCGACGTACTCGAAGAAGCACCAGGAGGCTGGTTCCAGATATCGTTATGCGCAGCAGGCGCGCGAACCGATTTTCGTGAGGCTAGTACTCTTTTGGCCCTCGTGTGCGGGAGGCGAAGGCAGGCGACCCAGGCCCAGCAGCGTGTGAAACAGAGAATAAGATAATACCCACCACGGCTTTTGATGAATAGAATAAACGAAGCTGTTAAATCTCGCCTATAAATGATCCCAAAACATACTTCCTCAACAACAAAGCTCAGCAAACATACCCTACAGCTACCCTCCTTCCAGACCAATCAAGCACCAGCTCACAGCGTCGCGCTCTTCTTGCAAATATCCACTGGCTAATCCGAATATCTGGTAGAGTGATCTGCTGCACCACCTTGGTGCAACAGCTCTACGGGCTGGCGACTTCGTTCGGCTTCAGCTGTTGGCCTATTGGATATACCATCAGATAAAGGCTGGGACTCAGAGTAAGCCTGAAGGTAAGACCTGAAAGGGTATCTTTTATTGTTGTTTGGGGATCGTTTTTCATATTCGATACTGTGGCATTGATCTGAAAGATAACGAAGATGATTCTTATGTAAGCCGTGGTGGGTTCAGGCATTCTCTGTTTCACAAAGCGCGAGCGCGCGCGAAGCAGCAGCGGGGCGTGCCGTGCGGAACCCAGCCCGTGAAGAAGCCGTTGCTCGACAAATCGACGCCGATGCAGGACGAGAGTAGCCTCCAATGACCAGCGCCATTAGCTGTCGACTCGATATTTCCGTAGCATCCCACTCGAGTGTGCAGAAGTTCTCAGAGGGTTGAAGTCAAAATGCAATTTTAGTTTTTTTCTGATTCTAGCGCTTTTCCTGTTAGTATTCAATCGATCATTTTATCTGCACAGGATATCTATGTATGTTCCAGGCGTGGACTCCAGAACCCCCTTTGGAGGCGTCTGCCAGGGGTGGAAGGCTTCCAAAGGCGGAGCCTGCTCCACTCCCTTCCAGCTGCCTGCGTGTACCCTACCCTACAGACTTCGTATGTGCTGGCCCCTCGCCGCAGCAGCACTGTGTCGGGTGTGGAAGGCCTCCGAAGGCAGCAAAAAGCGCAAGGCTGGAGCCCCTGAGCCGTGTGGCCTGTACCCTCCGGGCCCTTGGAAAAAAGGCCTGCCGGCTCTTGTATGTTGCCGCGCATTTGATGAGGGCAACCCAGCAAAAGAGGCCAGGCCTCGAGACCGTCGCCGCCTCCGGCGGCTTTCTACCCCGGAGACCTCTTGCGTGCGAGGGTCGGCAGATGCCGGGATGTCTGTCGGGAACATACAGAGAGACGCACGTGGGCGCCCGCTCCCAGTTTTGGCGCCTTCCACCCCGAGAATCCGCGAAAAGCCGCGCGGAAAGGAGCGCGCAAGCGCCACCGCAGGGCCATCCACAGGAGGGCTGGCCGTGCGTCCCTGTATCATACGAGAAGATCTAAAGTTTCAAATTATTCAACTACAGAATTTTTGTGTCCAGTGCTCTCTTTGCTACATCATCTACCTAGAAGTACTTTCCTCCTGTGCCACCCTATCGACTTTTCTCCTTTTCCCTAACTCCCCAGACTGCCTTGTCCGACATCGTGAACCAAATGCTCGTCGACAAATTCGAAAGTAAGTTGTCAAGTGACTCTGCCTACGCGCACGTTACATACAAACCCGTCCGTTCTGTCTGCTGGCCTAAGTCCCTTGCCGCGGTGTCGAAGGAACTTTGTCAAAAGCTTTCTGGTGCTGCGAAGAAGAAAACTGCGAAAGGGGCTGCAGCGTCGTTATCCAGTGTTGTTCCAATTGTCGAGGTTGCGCGACCCGAGTGGTTTTCCGGAGCTGCGCTCGTAGCGCAAAGCCAGCGATTGACACTGCAAAACGTCGATGCTGCTCTGAACACTGTCTGCATTTTTTCACAGAAGGATAATACGCAGGAAAACGTGAAGACAATGACACTCCCGAAAAGTGAAGAGCTTGAGGTGAAAGGAGTTGTGTTTGCTGGAATTTCCACAGTTGGGCCCGATAGCGTTTTGCAAGAGTCGCACTTCATGGATGGGTGTGCGATTGGCAATGAAACTTTCGTGGAAAAGAGTTGGCTATGCGACGACGTCACACTGAAGAAGCACGCATCTGTCAATACGGGTACCAGAAGATACTTATCAATTCTTTAGAGGTCAGCACTTCTTTTTTTTTGTATCTTGTATCTATAAGTGTGTTTCTGGTAATAGCACTACATTTTGTTGTTCACCGCGCGTCAAAATCAAGACTCTTCGGAGATACTACTTAATATTAATATTTTTCCTCGTCCTTCACAGTGTCAGTGGAATATCACTACCACTCTTCTCAGGTTGCTTGCTTGGTCCCCAGACTGCGGTTCCGGAAAACGCTGAGATTAGCTCGGGTTCCATTGCTTTCTCTTCATCTGCTGCATTCCAGGGTCTGGCCTGTAAGGAGGCCGGCAGCGGCTGCGTTTTGCTGGACACCGACCGATATCGCGTATCTCACATAGTAGAGAACGAGATGGGCTGTCTTTCGCTCCCAGCAGCGGGAACAGTTGCTAAAAATGCTGCGGAACAGGGTGCTCAGAACGACGAGGACGACGACTGCGCAGCAATGGAAGTATTCGATGCAGCCCGATGGTGGACGGAGTACCGAGATTTGCGCAAATTCTTTGAGGAAGTGGACGATGGCGACGTAGACGACGATGCTAGAGACAGCAATGAAGACCCCTTTCGACGAGAATTGCGTACGCTTATCGAGGACTTCCAGACGAGATTTCAAGACTCTTCCCTCTTCAAGGATGAAAACAATAGCAAGAAGCGTCACCAGGGTGAAGAGGAGGAAGATTTGGATCCCCCAGACGAAGACGATTACAACGCCGCCCTATTGGAGTTGAAGTCGTTGAGAATGGCGTCAAGAAAAGCCGTACCAGACTTTGCGCGTGAAATCATGCAAGTGGTGCTCGCGATTATCGCAGGTGACCTTAGAAAATTGCAAGCCGCGGCTTCTGGAAGTAGTTCAGCAGCTGATGATGCCGTATTGAAGAAGACAGCAACGAAAAAACAAGTCGACGCTACAGTTGCGACTGTATCGCGAATGGGCCCGTTCTTAGCGAACTTTACCACAAAACTCGAATCTAAAACCTTCCTCGTCGCAGAGATCCACGAACGACTTTTCGGGGATAAAGGTGAAGCCGACAAGGACAAGGCGCAAGAATCAGCACCCCCAAGGCCAAGCTCTGCTGGTGCAGCTCCAGGAACGTCCCCAACCCTGTTTGTACACATCCTCAACGCTTTCCGCCAGTTCGGTGAGGAAGACCAGATCATAGATCAAAAGAGTATCGTTGAATGGCATGCCGAAGCCATAAGCGGATTAGAGCAGCAGCGCGCTGTGCTCGAAAACGGAAACCTTAAAGCACTTGTTCAGTGGTGCCTACAAGACGAAGACGACGACTCTGATGATTCTGAAGATGACGACTCCGACTAGAAATTATGGAGACGGTCTTCGGCCTTACACATCACACACAACAAGCTCAGGGTGTTGGCATGTAAGGAAGCTGTTGCTCGTTGAAATCATTTTTACTGGACACTGACAAAACTTTGCACAAGACCTTTGTTCAGACATTACCTTATCGCGCCCGCGCATCTTCGACTTCGTCTTTACTTTTTTTTGAAAACGCTTTCCATTTGTACACGTTAAGGAGAAGACGAAGCAGATGAAGCCCATTCTATTCACAGAATTGCGAAAATTCCACTTAGCTGCATTGTGCGATGACTGCGCATGAATTATTTTTTTGTGTTCAGGGCCAGGGACCCCACGGAGAGCTTCAATAGACCGATTGAAGTAAGTATGCGGCGTGATTCAACAGCTAGTAATTCGACGTAAAATCCTACCGCTATTGTTATTCGGAATGAACGAAAAATGCCCGAATGACCAACTGAAATTTACAAGACATAGGAATGATGATAATTATGCCTCATCCCGAACTTTCGAATCGTGGTCCTGTAGACGCCATGAAAGCAGAGAGAAAATGTCTGATAGCTTGGAGTTTTACATTTTTTTATGATTTCTTGTTAATAAGAGATCAAAAACAAAAATGCGCAATGGTGAATGTTGTTGTTGAATGCTGAGTCAGCTAGAAATAGCTGCTCTCAAAAGTGGAAGTGCGTGGTGAATGAAAATTGTTACACAGACTTAGAACTGAAATATAGCATAAGCATCATGTCGGCATTGGACGAGAATGGGTCGCAACCCGAGCTGATGGAAATGGTCCTCGAGGATGGTACCCATATCGAGCTCTCCTTGTCTGACGAAGTCGATGACTTGGGATCCGCTCCTGGCGAGGATTTCGGAGGTGTCTCTACATCTACTAGAAGAGGATCTGGATTGAGTAGAATAGGTGGATCAGGAGTGGATGGACGATTCTTGTCCGACGTAGACGAAGCAACATCGAGTAGCATTGCACATCGAGCAAAACCTGGGGAAACAGCAGTTTCGTTTCGCAGCCCGCTCGAGAGTCCGTACCTCCTCTACGACACCACCGTGCCACAAGAACATCCCGACTTCGAGGGGGAGGGCGCTGGGTCGACGACAGCGGAATCCCACGGCGGCGATCGCGGCCCTTTCGCCGCCCAGACATCAAAGACCAAGGGTAACGCAGGAAATAAGGTGCAGATGAAGATACCGGTCAGCGCTAAATGTCGACAATGCGATCCACCAGGAGCGGCAGTAGCAAGATGCCTCGTGTGCGAAGACTATCTCTGCCTAGATTGCCGACAGAGCTTCCGTTGCAACTCACCGTTCGAGTTGTGCTTCCCGAGTCGGAGTCTCAGAACTAACTCGTACTGTAACGGTTGTCACACAATGGTCCTGCAAAATCGGATTCGGCGCCACACGACAAGCTTGCGGACACCAGGGCCTCAACTATAGTACTAGCTACTTACTCGCCGCAAGCGCAACAAGAACAAGATGACAAAATCAAAATTAATAGATACGTCTGTCTTATAGATACTTCTTGAACTTGATTCTCAATCTCATCAATGTCATGTAAATTTGTCACCAGGTCGTGTGCTGTAGAAGTTGTCAGAAAAAGAAATGAAGAATAGTTAATATTCAATGAACAGTTTTTGCATATTGCTTTGTCATGCATCATTTTTGTCCTTCTCGTTGCTGCTAAAAATACGAAATGGCGTGGTTCCGGTTGCTTCTTGATCCTCAGAATGGAAAAATCCATTTCCCTGTTGGTAGATCAAACCTTGCCTATTGCCCCTCGCTCCAGTATCATCTATATTGAGCTATTCACACATCTATCGCAGTTGCGGCGCAGATGTCAAACTGTGCTTTTCTTATCTAAGTAAAAAAATGTATAGATTTGGATATATTTATAGATTTTCCTTTCAGCGCGACTAACATCAACTACATCGTCAATCTCCATGTTTAATTCTAGTAGTACTATGTCGCACAAGTTTTTTCTGCGCAAAAACAAAATGTGGACTACACTTACGACGACCACATTTCTAATGAACATTATCCTTGATTTTCATACTTTAACATCAAAATAAATATCACCCCGCGAGGGCTTTCGCTTGAAGTAGCAAAACTCGAGTGTCCTACGTAGTGTTCCAAGATATCTACCTGATATTTTCGGACGATATTTCGGTATTCGACCAGGAAGTAGAGGATCACGCTGAGTAAAAAAAGGTGTGGAGATTGTAGCATGCATGCAAGAGGAATTCGGAATTCATTCAACGTTACTGCTCGCGTAGAAATAGATATCATAAGACAGGATTTCGACGTGGGTGGTCAGACCTGATTTCGAATTCAAAGATCTTCAATCTATACATAAAGTTGTTTAACTATCAAATGTCTGTGGAGCTACTTGTCTACTGATGTATAATACATAGGTGTTCACAAACACAATGATCACGAATTCGAAGAAGGCAGAACCCCGAAGACACTCCGGCTAAATAAGTAGTTGCCAACTTGGATTAGACTTAGACAGTGTTTGTTTGTGAGTCGATCTTTTTTTCGTTTTATAATTGTATTTCCTCAACATGACGACAAGCGGAAGTTCTTCTGCAATATTGCATGGTTCAGTTTCAAGCGATTCGGAGTTTGTCGAGGAGGTGCTCCTTGGATTGGCAGGCTATACAGGAAGAGCTGTAGTGGGGTCACCCGACTCTTTCGCCCTACACGCGAGCGTTGTGGTCCGACCAGCGGAGCGCCAACTATGCAACCGCCTGTTGCGCGCCGGTTTCCTGTGTCACGAGCTCGAGCAGTTTGTGACGTGTGCCCACCTGAATCAAACACAGGCTGCTCTCTCGATTGCTTATCCAAACTCGGGCAAGAATCGTGCTGGGCCCTATGGTGGCAGCGAGACCGTGGGTGGCGCGTCCTCTTCATCCTCAGTTGGGCTGAAGACAACCTCAGATGGAGGAGTCAACAACGGACCAGGCACAGCTGGAGGTTGTACAACGAATAAAGCGGCGGCGCGCGCAAGTGCTGCATCTCCATCGATAGGTCTTTATGGCTTTGCTGTTGCGGAAACGGTAGAAGCGTATTTAGAGCAATGTTATCGCCCACTCCTCGAGCGCTTGGAGAATGAGCTGGCGTCGTCGACTATGGTTCAAGTCAGTGCGCTAGTGCAAGAACCACTCGTGGTTCTAGAAGTGCTCTCTGAGCTAGTCCGACACGTAGAGACGATGAACAAGGCGGAACTCGAAGGAAAGTATGGTCTCCGGCCTGGTGCGTCGTTGGGGTCCATGCTCATTGACCATGTTGCCAACCTCGTTGAGACGACGCGTGACGCAGCGCGCCCGGTTTTGGGTCTTTGCTTGACGAAGCTCACTGAAGTATTCGTTCGTCAATTGTCAGCCTGGTGTGTCCACGGCACGCTCTGGGACCCCTTTCGCGAGTTTCTTGTGCACTATAGGGAGCCTGGCTATCAGCAGGAAACAGCTGCACAGCGAGCATCTAGTTCAGAATCTCCGACCAGGCAGGTAGCGTTTTCAATTTCCGAATGGCTAGCAGATCTGGACGATGTCGAGGAGTTGTCGCCTTCTTACGTGCGCTTTCTGTGGACGCGTCAGTACGACGTGGACCCCGCCTTTGTACCGCAACTTTTTGTGCCGCCAGAGGAGAGCGCGAAATTCGCAGACAAGGTTCTCTTTCTAGGCAAAGCGGTTCGGGCGCTTCTGCTCTCTCGCGCTGGTCTCACTGAGGCAGAGGCGCACTCCTGCTTACAAAGGTTAGAACAACTAATGCTGGCATTGCGGGCGAGATTTCCACCACTTACCTCGAATCTCGACGATGATGAGAGGAACAGCTTTGACATTAAAGACTACAGGAGGATAAGATTAAGAAAGGCACAAATGCCAAATTCGGTGCACGTCGACGACTACCACGCTGAGGTCGGCACAACGACTGACGTTGGCGAAGAGGATGAGGACTCGTCTGTCTCGACCGTTTCAGAAGAAGACCTAGCAGAGGACGCTGCTGGAGGCGGTCCCGGGAAGAAGAAACGAGACGTGGCACGACAAGGCACAAGACTGAGTTCCGCCACCGTCGCTACGACCAGGCGGCGCAGAAAGTATAAGCCGAGCCAAAAGAATACGATTTCGTCGGCGAGAACATCAAGTCATCATGCGCAGTGGAAAGCGCGACAGAAGAACGAGCTCTCAGGCTCTTCTAAAAGTTTTGTGGGTATTCAGAATGACACTAGTAGTCATATCCCACCTGCAACCTGGGTAATGGAAGCAGCGCTCTCCGGAATTCGTGACGTCGTTGGACGCAAGCTGCGACAGCTCGTAGTTACTCGTGGAGACCTGATTCATCACCTGAGGGACATGAAAGGGTTCTTTGGTTGTTCCTATGGTCCATTTTTTCAAACTTTTCTTGACCAAGCGCACGAGCTGTTCTTGAATCCACCAACGTTATTCGCAGAGACAGAGCTGGCGCATGGCGCGTGGGCTGCAGCAGGCCACACGGAGGGTGGCTTCGAAGACGCAACCTACTACGATAACGTGGACTTGCTTCGGAAAAAGGAGAAACGCTTCTCAGCGTCGATGGCAGAGGAAAGAAATTCAGCAAAGCAGCTTAAGACGAGTACGACCTCAACGAAGCGACGCGAGCAACAGATTAGAACGCGTGAGCTGCAAAGTAGGTATGACACGAGACACGCGGACTCCCTTGAGGATCTTGATTGTATCCAGCGGCCACTGGAGGACGTTGCCTCGAGACATCGGCGATACCAAGTGCGGCTGTTGAACTCACGTGGATTCAACTTCCAGGACTTCATAGAGTGCGGACAGCTTATCGAGTGTTCTGGAGGCGCTCGCGCAAGTGCCAATGGCAATCTAGAGCTCACACCGGCACAACCTGTAGGATCTACTTCGTTGAATAATTATAACCATGGGTCTTTAGCAGGAGCAGGAAAAACAAGGCAGGGTCTGTCGTCCTTTGATGATCCCGCTTTTTCCCTTTCTCCTATGGTTTGGGTGGCATCAAAGCACATAATTGCGGAACCTTTCAGGTCGAGCTTCTCGTTTCGGTTGAAGCCTTCTCAAACCCGACGATATTCAGACGAACCCGAGTTGGATACGGGAGCTCGATTTGCACTTTTGTGGCAAAATGCCGCTGATCCAAGTGAGGTGGTCAAGGATAGCCGTCGAAGACAACTGGTGGCGCAAGAACTCATGTCTGCTTTCTCATCACCAGGAGCTATGACTGATGACAACGCGACAGGTGGGCGCGGTTGCGCACCGGGGCAATATCAGAAGAGCGATCATGGTCCTGGAGCAGAGACATCTTCACGCTCATTAGAGGAGAGACTCTTGGAGAATACATTGGGGCTGGAAATTGTGGTTCTTGGCGACCAACTCGCAGCTCGGGTGGCTATTAAGCGGAAAACCAACCACGAAGTCTTTTGTGAAGGCGTGACTACAATTGGCGACAGCAGTAGCGAGGGAGCGCATCTAGTACGTTCACCAAGCCATGACTCTTCCAGCACAGACGAGCGGTTTTTCACCATAGATGTTAGCTATGACCGGAATCGCTTTGCTGTTAGGCTCGACGACCGCTGCTTGGTGTGCGAGGCACGGGATGTCGACCTTTACAGTGTCTTGGGTGCGGATCCGTTGGGCTGCGGGTACGTCGGCCTGCTCTCTCTACCCTGGGAAGTTGGGACCTCAAGAGCAAAGCTGGGTAACAAGCAAAACGACACGCAGACTACACATAGACGTAGTGTTCGAGAGGACCCTGGCAGCCATGTCGAGCAGTACGGCGATGACGACGAAATCGGTGTGTCCCTGGCCTCGGTCCTTGTTCGTCAATGGAAGCACAGCGTTGTTCAACATGGAGCCGAGGAAGAGTTGATGATCGACCCCTGGCATAGGGATTTGAATATTTCTTTTGATATTCCCTGGCCATTGTCACTCATAGTCTCATACGAAAATCTTCAGAGCTACAACAGGCTCTTTCGACTGCTTTTTGCGTACAAACGAGCGCTGTATGGACTCTCACGGATCTGGCTTGTGCGCAGGCAGCCATACCGACCTTCCAATCCAGAGAGTACTTCTTAGAGGCTATCTCGGTACGACGTAGTGAATACTGATCACTTGGTTCTAGTACGTGAGAAGGAATTAGGCGGTAATAGAAATAACACCAAGTGGGTTTCATCCAACTACGATTAGTGTGTTCTTGTATGATAATACACAAATATTTATTTTTATTCTTGGTATTCAGAGAAGGCAGTCATCCCAAATCATTTTAGAATGAATTGAACCACCACAGCGCGGCTACATTTCCAGCACCAGTTCCAGAGCGGGCTTTTTCGGCACCGTCTGTATTTTTTCGTAACGCAAATTCTTCAGTATCTGCAACAGGACGTGATTGAGTCGGCCTTCTGCGGTCTCGAAAAAGAAGTATCTCGCGTGGCATCTCTATCGACTTCCTCTTTGTCATCGAAAAAGGGTGGAGATCATGGTGCAGGAGGAAGCCAAGAGGACGAGCATGTGGACTATAGTGATCATGAGGCATTGTATGAGGAAGATCATATCAGCAAAAGAAGCAGTTATGAATTGGCAGACTTCGAAGCGCTCGCGCTTGGGCACCAGCATTTCCTGACCCATGTGATTGGAGATTGTTTCCTCCTTGAACCGAAAATTCTTCGATGCCTGTTGGCAATTGTGTCTATAAGCAATCGCTTTGTGCGAATAGGAAATGTTGCTGCATCGGCTGCGACGTCCTCAAGCAGTACTGGCGCAAGATCAGTAGGCAGCATTGCACAACAACAGCCAGGAGGAGTATCGGGTGCGGGAACAGCGCCTTCGCAGACTGCATCATCAACGCAGTACTTGCAAATGGAAGCCCGTCTGGAAGCCAAATTGCGGCAAGAATTTCAACAGGTAACAATCGAACTCTTCCAATTATTGGCTAGATTGCAGTCTTCCTCAGCGAAACTCCAGTCACTACTTTTGCGACTGAATTACAACCAGGAACCAGGAGAAGTCGACTGCTGAACAGCACCAGGAAGAGCGTGTTGGTGTTGCAATTAGCATTAGTACGTCGAATGGAGGACTCTAGGCGTTTTGAATTCTGTCAAGATGCATGTGGCTAGAGTTATGTATGACGCACGACGTCGTGAAAACAAGAAAAATATTTTCATTTCTGACAGCAGTAGCGGCCTGCGATTGCCCTCGCTCTGCAGAATCTGAGCCTTCGTCCATAGATCTATTATAATACTGGCAGTAAGAAGCATAGTTCTTGTTATAAAGGAATTTATGAATTATAAATATATATATATCTGAGGTGTTGAGGTTGACTTATTCGTGTCTGACATTTTTCGCCTTGCAGCGGGCGCTGTGGAATTTCGAAAAATCCATTACACATCTTATGGATTTGTTTTTATGCGCTCGCGCTGAGCGATCCATTGTCTGGAGAAATTGTTGAGCGAGTCAAGCATGTGTTCGTAAGTAGAAGAAGGCACTTTGATGTCGACCTCGACACAGATGAGAACACAAAGACAAGCAATAAATGTACGATGATGATGCGGAGGCGATCGAGGGACCACGACTTGCATTAACACTGTTTTGTTCAAAGTTGTGTATGTGTTAGTCATTATCGCCGTCCAGTTCCATGCTCTGAGTATCGCGTTTTCGGGCGGGAAGACTTGTTATGAGGTCGATCAATGATGCTGGAGAGGCGAAAAAAAAATTTTTGTTGAAGACATCCAGCTGTGCTGATATAGCTACATGTTGTTCTCGACATCCTCGGGATGTGCTCGACCACACACCACCACTGAAAATCACACGACAAATTTCACATACTCAAGGAAGTTTAGGATAAAGATTCAGATCGTATGAAAGTGAAAGAAGCCTGCTGTATGACATAGATTATATTATATTGTAGCCTTAATGTTGAGTACCGTAAGATTTGGGCTGTTGGACATCGACATGGATCCTTCGAAGATTTTTCAAAAATCAAGAACGATGGCCAGGTTATTGCGATCATCATGATGCTGCATTCAAACATCTTGTGAAGCGCCTCGCTGTGTCCTTGGTAGCACCTTCCCCAACAAAAGCAATTGATTGTAATTATCCTGCTGCTTGTTGTGGCGAGTGTCGCCGCGACGAGTGTGGATCACAGTCGTGCATTGTGGATCTTCCTCTAGTTCAGAAGTATTTGTTGGCGGTGAGGGAGAAGCACGACGTCAAGGTGAGGCTTTCTTGTAATTACGTTTACCAAGATATCATAGCGTGGCCTGTGTGTACATAGGTGGTTAGACGTGGCCTGCCTTTGGCTTGCATAGTGCCTATCGCGGGCGCAGCGTGTAGTTGCAAAGTCGGGGCTACCGCCATTCAAAACGTTTCTCTGCAGTTGCTCCTGCTAGTCCGCCACTTTCATAGCAGTTTTTTGGTCCCTCTTTATTTCGGCGAGCAATGATGTTTAGATGATCACACAATGATGTAGTATATTAGGCTTTGTCTTTGATGATTACGATTTAGGAAGCTTACATATTCATTTACCGAATACATAGAAGACAGCGTTTTTCCGTAAAGCGTAAAGGCATGTGGAATTCCAATACCTTTGCCACCACTGCTTTTTATGTTGAAGGAGCCTGTTGCCAATAGGATAGTATATTACGGCATTTTTCCACCATCTTTCAAGAAGGGCGCGTTTTTGTATCTCTATGTTAAACTCACTCCATTTATTTTCAGGTTCGTTATCCTTTTTCATATTTCCGAGATTTCGATTGACTAACATCGTCGTGCAACTACAAACTTTTTGCAGGGACGCAGGAAGAAACAATGAGATACGTATGGTAGTTGTACCACAGCACATGCAGTCGTGTGTCAATTATTTATTATGATCATCTTTAATTATGAAATTTTTTTTCTTCAAATATTTTTTTCCGTGATTGGTCTGACCATGATCCATTTGATGTTCTGTACTTAGATGAAAGCATAGAATTGAAAGGCATCCACGATTAAAAAGTTCCATTATATTGCTCATCTACTCAGCCTGCACTGTATTACAACTCAAACAGAGACTAAAAAGAGGTCAATGATTTTGCGGATTATTCCATTAGTATTTTCATGCATTCGCAATCGCATTTCAATAGGCTTTGAAGATCTCTATGTAATTACAGTGTAAAAAATTGGACCTGAGTAGGACTTGATCTTAGAAGAAGTAGACTTATGAATGAATATTTATACCACATCATTACCATTACGTTACGTAACGAAAAATATGGATATGGCACTGGATAAGGTGATAACTACAGTATCGGTAGCATGTCCATGTCGTGGTCAATAGAACGCATATAATGAAGAACTACATTTAATATTAATTATATATAGAGAAGATTATATCTTGTTTATCCTCATCGAGTATCATAACGAAAAGGCAAGTCGAACTACTAGTCTAAAGTAATCAATATCAGACGGCACCACTAGCCTGCTGTGGTGGAGCCACATAATTTTCGAGGAGTCGTTTATGGATCCGAGAAGACGCTCAAAACAGCTCGGGGATTCTTGAATATTAGTAAGGGCACGATGAAGCAGGGTAAATCCTAGACTGGCGAAGCCGCGCAGCTCTCTGCCGTGACTGAAAAGTGGCAGCAGCACCAGGACGGAAAAAACGTACTAATCTAGCTTGTCAGGTTAGTATTCATCGATCGTGTTCGGGTGCTGATTTTCTTTCCATTCTGAGACCAACCCACTGGTGTGGTGTCCCAGGGTGAGGATTCGATGGGAGCAGTATTCCCCTGCTAGATATGCACTCACGCGGATACCTGGCACCTTCTGAACCTTTCAAAATTTCGTGCGAGGCCTGCGCGCGCTCTCTCGGGGGAACGGCCGGCGACGGGGCTCGGCTTGCTCTCGTGTTTCTGCCTCAGGACGCGCCGACACCAGAGCAACAAGACCGCCCGTTTCCGTATCCTCACGGGGGGACAAATACACTCCAAGCCTTGGACGCTTCTTTTTCTTGGTGGTGGTGGGACGAGTACAGGGCTGAGGCCATGAGGGCCCGCGAATCGACGGCGCAGGGCGTGGCCTGTTCGTAATTCGTGGCTTGCCCGCTTGGCTCAGTGGGCGAGTGTTTGCATTTCACTCCGGAAGCCCTCCGGCTCGAATCTTGGAGGGGACTCGACTCTCAGGGGCATCGGCCGTGGCCTTCAGGGTCGCCACCGTCCCGCGTGCTTAGGGGGGAGAGCTGGGGAGAGCCTCGGCAAGTTGGTGCGGCGGCGTCAATGCGTGCTGCCTGTCGGTCGATCGTGTGGCCCCTTTCTGCCATTTTTCATGTCGTAGGCTTCAGAGTTCGCGCCCTAACTTTCAAAGTTCATGCCTTAACTAGAAGGAGCAACTTTCAGGATTCATGTCTGAAGCTTCAGCATTCACGTCTCAGCTTTCAAAGTTCACGCCTTGACTTCCAAAATTCACGCCCTAACTCTCAAAGTTCGCGCATGCCCTAACTTTCGAAGTTCTTTCATGCTCTGTCTAAATTTCGTTGAAGTCCACCGCGGTGCTGCGAAACAAGATGGCCACGAAATCTTCGCGAAGGAAGAGGGGCCCTGGTTGGTCTTCGTTGTATCTCTGTTTGTAAGGACGAAAAAGGCGCCGGCGCGGTCTCGGGCGCTCTGTGTTCGTGTTGTGTTTCTCCGTTGTTAACAGCCCTGGCGCCAGGTGGGTGCGGACCGCCCGCACATCATTGGCATCGGCGCCGCCCGAAGTGCAGCCATGGCACACCTGTGCAAGCTCCTCGAGGTGTAGAGAACCCAGGCGCGGGATAGGGGAGACGCAGGCGGGGAAGCAGTGGCAAAGCGGGACGGCGTTGGCCATTTTTCTGCGCTTGAACACCTGGGGCGGCTCTTCGTTTTTTTTTGTCTATTTCTTTGAAAAAAGGAGCCACGCCTGGCGGAAAGTGTGCGAAATCTTTCGAAAGAATCTCGCGGAATTATTCCGAAAAGGTTAGCCCATGGAGCAAGCTGAGTCCCAACATTGTCAAAACTTGCAAACATTCCGCAGCCAAGCACTCCGCGCAGGAAGATTCTGAGGCCTTCGCCTTCTGTGTTTTTTTTCTGAAGACATGGAAACGGATCGCCAAGAACAAGCTCGCAACAATTTGCAACGGGATGGCGCAAAGCTCCGCGCCTTCTGTCTTTGGTTTTTGTGGTTTCTCTGTCTCTCTCTCCAGACTTGGGAGGCCTTTGTCGTTGCGCATTCGTTTGAGAATTTGGCGGGTGGCTCTGGCTGCGCCGCAAGCTCACTGGCTTGCCGGCTTGTGATGCTCTCGGCGCAGTGGTTGGCCTTGTCGTGTGTGGTTGGCCTGGTCGTGTGTGGGTTGTGTCGGTTTCGTTTTCGGAGCTTTTGCGGCCCTCGTGTTAATGAGACAAGGACAACGACAAGGGCCGCGCGCGTGGGTGTCGGCAGCTTTCTGCCGGCCAAGATTTTCCGCCGACAGACTGTCGGTGATTGTCGGGCGTGGCGTTCTCCAACTTTCGCAACTCGTTCCTTATCTTTCGCAATTCCTTCAATCATTCAATCATCCGCATAGCAAAGCGCTGCGCGCTTTACTTTTGCAGTGTTTTCGCCGCGTTCGTTTACTTTCAAAGTAGTTCAAAACTCAAAACTTAGAGTCAAAATGTAGAGCCAAGACTTACAATCAAAATGAAAAGATAAAGTCAAAACCTAAAATCAAAACTCAAAATCAAAATTCAGAATCTAAAATCCAAACGGAGCGAAAGAATTAAAAGTGAAGAGATTTCGCGACTCTTCTGTTAAGTGTCAGTCGGAGTTAGAGTTTGGTGGACGATCGTCGATTCGATCGTCTCATCTGGGAGGAGTTCTGGGCTGTTGATTGTCTAAAATCATATTCGCCAGCAGCTTCTTGAGATTGGCTCCTCACCTCGACCAGTAAATCAGGTTAATGGCAGGGTCGTCGTCTTAGTTGTGAAAGAAGGCACGACAGTTGCTGTGGCACGTTTAGTAAAGAACGAGCTACGCGAAAAATACGACAGAAACAACTTGCTGGCTCGCTTTTCTGCATATCGAAAGAGAAGTCAAGTCAAGCTCAATCTCAAAAGAGTGCTCCAAGTGACGATCATCATCATGATTATACAACATAGCACTGCATCAAGTGTCGGCGGTATAAGGACTATACAACCTGCTTCTACATCGCAGAGCTGTCTTGGACAACAATCCAAGCCGATGGTTACATCATCTCCAAGCCCACCTGTTACAACACGACATCACCAGCAACAAGGCCATCAGGTACCGTCGCACGTTAGAGGTGGCTATTATTCATCATCCAAGGATCAACAGCAACGACAACCTTGCGCAAATAATGGTGCAATGTCACAACATCATGTGACCCCACCACCTGGAAGTGGGCCCTCGACGGGTGGAGCTTCGAGTACCGGCTCTACTGTCACCAGTCATGCTAATGCTGATGGGGGATCATTGTTGAATAGTACTAGTAGCTCAAGCTCGATCTTGGGCTCGATCATTAACGCGAGTATGGGAATGTTTGCCCCGGCTCGTGGTGGACCCTCTGACAACGGTATGGCTGAAAAAAGTCCATCTACTTCCATATTGGAAGGAGCACATTGCTCGGGAAGTTTTAAAACGAAGAAGGGAACAATCTCGCTCCCCTTGAATTTGAAATTACAAACAAACAAAGGCCCTCGTCGAGTTAGAAGACCTGAACCAATCATCTGCTGGATAGTTTTTGAAAGAAGATGGATTTTCGATATGCATTTAGTTTTAGACACAGTTCTAACGAAGGTAGTGGGATGCCACAGCCAGGTACCGGCTCGAGCTCGACGAATCAACAGCAAGACGGCAATCTCTCCCAAAACCAACAGCAAGGTTACAGCGGAGGCAGCAATAACTGTAATGGAAATATTATGCATGGGTATTCTAATTCTTTCGCCTTCGCGTAAATTGAGCGGCTTAAGGATTTTGAGCGCTGTTGCGAGGTTGGTATGTGTCCTCGGAGTAGCGAGAACCTCGCTAACCCGAGATTCTGGTTTTACGTTTACCATCTTCATACTTCTAGACGTGATACACAATTCTTTATCGAGCAATACAAGTATCTGATCTGGCCTCTTCTAAACAGAACTCCCAAATGTACAACACTCCTGCTCTCTCCGCCACTCCGCCCACGACAAGCGGGACTACTGCGTATCCAACGCCTTCTCTTATTCCTACCGGCTCTTCGCTCTCCTCTACTCCAGGCGGGCTTTCTGTTGCTGACGGCCTCGGCAACATCAAGAGCCTTTTTTTGGCAGACGATGCCAAACAACAGCAGCATCTTTTGAGATCAATATGTCAAATGAGTCAGACCAGACAAGTGACGCAATCGAAAGCAGTGGGAGGCTCCGAGGACGTGGGACAGCAGCTGCATCAACTGACGACAGGAGGAGCAGCTTCTTGTCCTAAGGGTGGAGGACGACAAGCGATTTCCACAACGTTTAATCCCAAAAATCACTTGCAGCCTATTCGGACGACCATTCAGCACGCAGGCAGTACAACGATGCCCTCAGCAGCAGGAGAGTTAAGACTCGCAAACTGTCATATTCATCGACTTCTAGGGTCTGGTTTAGTTGTAAAAAATCTGTTGTGAACCTGCTACTTTTTTTTTTGTATTACTTCTTCTATCTCCGGCAATTATTATCTATCACGTAAACGTTAACGTAAAGCAAGCAAGAACGAAAGTACCGCCAGGAATGTAAAGCAATACAAGTTCTAAGACAACCGTACCAACATCAAGAGAATCAAGCGGTGCAGACGAACGGAGGTGCACAACAGCAAAATGCTGGTGGAGGACCTTCCGCAGTGGCTTCCGGGGTAACATCAGCAGTGCCATGGCTAGCCGCTTTGCAGCAGTTAGCGGGTGGAGCGATAAAATCCATTACGCTCTTCAAATTTGAACTTAGATTTACCCTTCGCAAAGACGTGCTGGACCACAGTAGACGTGGACCACAGTTGTATCCCTCAACAGACTGAAATTTTACGAAGGTAATCTGATATTCTCAGACATGTTGTTCTAATCAAACGACTGTGACAACATCATCAACTACAACAGACTCATCCTCGATTTCGACAGCCAACGAAGTCGAGCAAAGAAGTCTGGCAAACAGGAACATCACAGCGGCTGCAGCGAGTCAAGCTGACAATTTGAAGCAAGTAGGAGGGACAAAAGGAGCATCGGGCGGAGGTCCAGTTCCAAATATCGGGTTAGCAGGAATGGAAATCCAGCAGGTCGAAGGCGGGAGGCGGGAACGAGAACCGATTTCCGTGACGATTTCAAATAATTATGGCTCTCAAAAAAAGCACCAATCTGACTTGTGTGTGTACTCTATTTGCATCAGAGCAAGGAGCGTAGCGCCTCCTAAAGAAATTTTCGACCGTGTCACTCACTTAGAGGATATATTGAGACATAGATATTTATATATACAGTATTAGATGCGGACGTCCTCGTCGACAATTGAAAGAATAAAGATGAGTCAAGCCACATTAAGGGTAGTCCATCTTCTAAATTAAGAGCAGCACCACCTTAACGACAGGAGGGGCACCGATTGGCCAAAATCTGTCAGCAAGTGCGACCACAACTAACATCCAACAAGGAAGTACCAGCGCTAACGCAGTGCTGCACAATCGCCTAGACAACAATGTCTTTGCCATGGACTGTTCGTCTTCTACCTCTAGTTCCGGGCAGCAGGATGGAGTATCTCTGCAAGTTGCTCAAAACTTCTTCTCGACGACAACTGTATCCGCGAAAATGGAGAATCAAACAACAACGAACAATCTGATATCCTCAACAGCATCAGGTACGAATCTCAACATGATGCCTCGTCAACTTCCTTCCACCTCAGTGGAACCTTCTAGCGCTTTGACAAAGTCCAGAATCATGTCGACGACCGCGCCAGGCGGTTCTGCTGCAGCATCCTGTGACGGACGCCGCTCCACGGCTACTTCTGCGAACTCTGGCGGGGCCGCAACCGGATGGGGAACCGGCGATATGCAGAATTCCTCAACGCCTCACATGAGCATGCTGCGTCATAGTCGCACCGTCGGTCTCCACAATGCTGGCCTGCGAACAGGCAGTTGTAATATGTCAAACCAACAAAATCTCAACAATAGAACAGCAACAGATCCGCGAGACAGCAAAATGACAGCGGCTTCTGCGACGCGACAAGGAGAAGAACACCTTCCACAAGCTGCTGCAACCTGCACGACGACTTCATCAATTACAAATAACTGCGCAGGAGGGGGCAATAACTTAACCTCAAGTTGTTCCAACACAAACAGCACCAGTGTGCAGCACCAGTATGGGCAACACGTACAATACAATCAGCAAGGAGCAGGCGTTGCAGGCGCTCGGTCTTCGCTTGACAGCAACTCCGTTGTGCCTGCTGGCCTGATCTCTTCGCATTCTACAGTTTCGGGAACTCCGTGCAGAACTGAAGCAGAGATGATGTTGGTACGAGCAACCTCTATTGGCTCAAACGCTTTGCAGCAGGCGTGCAACACTAACAACATGTCGTCTGGCGAGCACCACCAACAAGGGACGCAACTACAACCTGGGAGTTACGCGCAGCAGCGCCAGCAAGAGCAACATCATAATTATCAACAATTGAATAGAATTACATACACATCTTCGCAGCAGCGGAATAGCAACATTTCGATATGCAATCAGCAACAACAGCACCAAATTTCATCTACGTATGATTGGCAGCAGTTGCACACCGCATTGGACCAGTACCTTGGTGTACAGGACTCTCCTCCACTAGGACATCACCCGCACCATCAGGTTACGTCCGGGCCAGGCAGCGTGAACGGGCACGAAGGAACAGCCCTTACCGCAACATCGTCAACATCACAAGTGAGCATGTATCCGCTTGAGCAGCTTCAGCAGCAGATCAACCACGTCTTGGGCTGTGGGCCTCTGCATGGGATGGGCGGCGCCGCTAGTGATACCCGATACAGTACAAACACGACCTCTTCACCGGGAACTGGACCCGCTTGTACTGCACTCGGACAGCAGCAGCAGGTTGCTAACGGGGCGACGGGGCCGTCTTTATTTAATACGAACACCATGGGCAACCCGATGCCACCAATGAGTGCGGGAACCATGCAGCAGCATCTGCAGTTTTACCCCGCGCCGCATCAGCAGCATCCCAGCTGCAACTATGATATTTCCTCGCGTATCTCTGGAAAGTCGGCGACGGAAGAGCTTCTGGGACCGGGTGGCCCGCTTTTCGGGAGTAACAACAATCTACAGCAGGCTGGCTATGGAAGTAACGGATTCCCCCTGCCTGGTAATTGTACAAGCGACGCACGCAGCACGCTATCATCAAATCAAGCGCTGCCGGCTTTGTTCGCGGCCACTGGTGGTCCGGGATCCCTTCATCTTGGGCATGCAGCGAATCAAACGAATCAAACAACGAATAACATTGCTCCCAACGGCGCGATCGAGTCGACGGCCCTGGGAGTCGTTGGCGGGCCACTTCTCCCCGACCTTCCACCACCTATGCCCCCGGGCTTTAACCACCCTGGCCCTCACTCGCAGGGTACTTTTGGCGGTAACACTGTACTTCCGCTTCCGGGGACAGCGCCAGATCATATCATGGAAGGCCTGCGATCCGGCGCACCTGCAGGATACGGTGCTCCTTTCGGCAACGATATTACAGCTTCTGCGGGTGGTAATTACAAGGGTAGTAGCGCAGGGTTGCCGACGTTGCCTGGTGCTTCCTGGTTTCCGATGGCTTCGCACATGCCAATGTTTCCGCCCGCACCGTCGTCCATCAGCGGGATGCCACCAGGTTTGAACTACCCCGCGCCAGGCCTGCAATTTGCTGCTGCTCCAATGCCACCCGTCTCAGACCATCAACGCGGGTTAGCTACTGGAGAGCATGGGACAGGCTTGGCCACAGACGGTACTGCAGCGCCTTCGGGTATGCCTTCTTCCAACAGCAATGCTAACCGCAATAGCTACACGAAGAAAGAAGTGCCTGATCTTGATTATGCGTTCACTGCAAATGCACTCTCGCGCACCGTCAGCACTCCGATGGCAAGTTGGAATGGTAATGCGGGGAAAGGGACGCCCGCGAACGGGATAAGTAGTAGAGAAGGATATGGATATGCGGAGCCACATTTGCGCAAGAATGGTGCACCACCTAAAGTCCTTACACGAGATCATAAAAAGGCAACAGAAGGAGCAGGAGTGACCGAGCGTTCGTGGACGAACGTAAATTTGATTTCGCTCATGGTACTTAGGAAAACGAAAACGACGACGTTGATGTTGAAGTCATTATTTTTTAATTTGCTTTGTACGTGTGCCTGACCCTGAGTATACCTAATCGTAACATAATCACAATTATAGAGCCAGCACGACACAGATGAAATATCATACGCAGAGCAGTTTATAGCACGCGTGGCGCATGGAGTGCATGGAGCGCAAACCCATAAGGGACGCAAGAAGCGCCCCCTTTAGCTCCATGCGATCCATGCACTCCATGCCGTGCGAGCGGGCAAACCTTATAAGTTGCTCTGTCATGATAGAGATGAGCGACGCTATCTTTATCTTCGACGACGCACGCACTTCGACCAACAATTTTGCAACATGAATACAGGGAACACGGTCGGAAGCAAGAGGCAAAGGCGCGGCCACAGGTTCGGGCGGTGCATTGCAGGATAAGAGCCCTCATGTGGTAGAAATTCAGCGATCGTCGCGGACTGACTTGCGAAATGGCCTGCCTCCTCCACCTCGTAATACATCGTCTTATGTCATTGACATTTTTAGGTAGCTGAAACTGATACCTGCACGCATGAACGCCATGTTTTTCTGCTACGGGGGTCAAAAATGATCTGCAAGATGCCGATGTTTTTTATGTTATTGTTAACTTCAATTATCAATGAAAAAATTGATTGTTCCAGGTGGCCGTCATCCTCAGCCTCCGCCACCACCCCCGACACTTTTACAAGAGCAGGACATATCAGCCAAAAAATCACCTTGCAAGGATCCTCCGCCGGCACCGGCTCCGCTGCCACCTGGCAGTGCCCAAGCCAACTCCCAAGGTAGATTGACTGTAGTAGATGCAGCTAAAAATAGTTTGTTAGCCTCAGCCTTACTTTAGGTGTGCGCCCTACATGTTATAGTGGTTGTAAAAGTGCTTGAAACATGACAATAGAAGCAGTGGCACCTATCGTTACACTCAGACTCATTAGCGTTCGAAAACGTACCAACAAAATAGAGAAAAAACCACTATGCCACTGTTGTACTTGATAGGTTGTGAAGATTGAAAAGTTTCTTTTTATATCCTCTTTTTACGACAGCGTCGAAGTACCAGAGGTTTGAGGCTGATGGAGATGGCAAGACTACGGTAATGATCCGTAATATTCCGAATGTATTAACGCAAGATGATCTCCTTGATACCATTGACCTTATGGGCTTTGCGAATAAATACAATTTTTTCTATTTGCCCATCGATTTCTCGAGTAAGGCAAATTGCGGCTATGCGTTCATCAACTTCTTTTTCGAGTGTGACCTCGAGCCTTTCATGAAAGGCTTCCATGGGATATCGCTGCACAGCAAAAGTCAAAAGGTACTACAGCTTGAACTTAAAGATGAAGTTCATGTGATCCTGACGTTGATCAAGGAGTCCGAAGCTTAGTAAGTCAGATAGTACTTGTTGGTCACGGCTTTTAGACTCAGAGACGTAAACTTAATGAGAGGAACAAAACGACATAATACAGATAACGCAGTGTGTTCCAGCACAATTGCAAGGGTATCAATCGAATATCGCTTATTACCGAAACTCGGCGATGAACCGAGACGTGATACCTGCTGAGTTCAAACCAGTCCTCTTTGCGCCCGACGGTATTTCTCCTCCTCGTGTTTTTGCATTATATTTAGTTTGTTTCATGCGAAGGCGAAGTGATCCATAAGATTTATCTACCAGCACATTTCAATTGTGCACAACATATCTGTAACTGTAACCTGTATCAGGGATATTAGAAGCCTCTTAAAAACCTAGCCAACGCCTGATTGCATTGTTTTGCCCGTAATATCCAGGTGAGCGATTACAGTTGCCGCCACCAGATCAGGACTTGCGGCCAATACTGCCGAAAATGAAAAAATCGACCACTGGCGGACGTGAATCGGGTCGACAGGGTGATGGCGATGCTCCATCGGGTGGAGGCTTTAAAAACGTCGCAGGGTACAGTCAGACTTCTGGATCTGCGGGTCCTCCGCCCACGCCACCTCCACCACCGCCGAAAGCAGCCAGAGTTGGAACATCGTACCATCTATTGTCTAAGTAAGTCATCTACTCTAGTATAAGTAGAAGTAAGAAGACCCGTGAGCACGAGAAGCATGGGGTTGTAGTGAGGAGATCATCGAGATCGACTAACAGTGTCGTACACGTGCTATGGTTCTCATATGGAAGGTAGAACTAGAAGATGCACTATATGGAAAATGAAATGCCTTTTTTTGTCAATTCACAGGAGATATCAACAGAAGCGAGGAGCCGTGGGCTCCGGAGCAAGTGCAAATCACCACGGAAGCGTCAGCGCAGCACCAGGCTATAATAACCATCAGAGTGCTGACGCCGGCCCAGCTGCGTCGTCTTCTTCGTCCTCATGCTATTACGGCAAGTATGCGACCACCGCCGCCAATTCATCCTATGTTGACCATCAACACGCAGAATTGTCTTCCGGTGCAGCTACAGGGTATGCTGCGACGCATCAAAGCAGCAACCCGTCTGGCGCTGACCACATGTACTACACCAGTTCAGCATACCATCATGGGTCGACCACTGCAGCAAACTACTATTCGTGGTATGAGTCGGGGGCCTGAGTAGAAGCTGGCTGCACTGAACAACGCACGGGCACGCTGGTAGTTCGACCTGAAGTTGACTTTTCCGAAATTATATCGGAACGGGGCAAAGGCTCTCTCTTGATTTGCAGATTCGTGATTCTGGACTCGGATGACGATGACCGTCTTGCTGTCAACAAATATTTTATTACCTACGAATCAGCTTCAAAACTACATCGATCTATGGCAGAGAACAAGATCAGACTCGGAAACACGAAATCGTGTTGAGTCTTATAGCAGGAGTAGCTCAACAGAAGATAACTCGTGGTCGTTCTATAATCAATCTGCAGTCGTGTGACGGGGGATGGCGGGAACCGGCAGACAGGAGTTGCATGCTGATCGTTGCACGTTGTGTTGTTTTGATGATGTACAGGCGATTACTTACAAGGCTAAGCAAGAAAAATATCACTGCTAGTTAGACCAAGACGAAGTTGAGAGCCTGGTCCTGGGACTTCAGGTGAAAATGAGAAATGGAGACGTCACCAACAGTGGTCTTGTTTGAACAAAGAAAACACACGGAAAATCTTGCCTTCTAGTGAGTAGTTACTTACATGCAGAGCTTGCAACGCAGTTGTCACCTAAGCATGGACCATTTCCTTGCTTTTTGTTTTAATTCGTTAGGATGTACGGTTGCCGTTCCTTACTGACGCCCTCGTCTTGAATTCGAGATACATAGAAGAATTTACGAAGTAGTTTTTTAAGTTTCTTGCTCGAGTTCGAGCCACCTGGATCTTCCACAAGTAATTGCTCATCAAAATAAAGGGCGAAAGTTGATTAATACATCTACATGAAGAAGATGATCATCCACCAAGTTTTGCTCCCACTAGTACTAGGTAGAAAGGATTTTCCTGGAGGTGATGTCCTCCGATATTGTACTAGCCTAGAGAGACGTGTAGCGCTTCGCCTCACTAGAGTCCACGCGCACCAGAAAAAGACACGACACGACGTCACGCGCGCACCCACCGACAAAAGCCCGAACGCTGCCACGCCGCGAAAAACAAAAACGCACGCCCAAGCATGCCGGCGCGCGCCTCTAGCGTGTGCGCAATATTGGGGCGGGGAGTGGGCTGCGTGTGGCCTTTTGGGTGTGGTGCCGCCTTGTTGGGGTACTCGTTGCGCCCGGGGGCGGGGCCCGGGTGGTTGTTCGGGTTGGCGGACGGTTTCTTGTCTGTTGCTTGCGGGGACCACTTCCCACGAGGGGGAGGGCTCGGGCCGTTCTAGGCTCACCCCCCGCCATCGCTGAGGCCTAGCTAGGCCCCCACGGCTTCCCCTTCTGTGGGTTCGTCTGTGGTGGTGGTCGGGGTTTCGGTGTTATGCCTTGACAGAAAAGGCGGCCAAGGGCTGCCGCTGCTCCCCTCCCCTTTCTCTTGGTGGATGTCTGAGAAACACCGAGGCACACTGACCAGCGAACAGGGCAGGGACGGCCGCGGCTGTCTTCTTGTCTTCTTCTTCTATCAATTTTCGGGAAAAGCCGAGACAGATGGACAGGGCGGCGGCTGTCCTCCTCTTCTTCTATTAATGCCGGAGAAAAGCCGAGACAGATGGACAAGGCTGCGGCTGTCTCCCTCTTTTTCTGGTGATGTCTGAGAAGAGCCGAGACTGATGGACGGCGCAGCGGCTGCCCTCTCCCCCTTCTTCTTGTCATGTCTGAGAAAAGCCGGGGCCGAACGGTGGGCAGCCAGGGTGGCGGCTGTCCCCCTCTCCTTCTATTAATGTCGGAGAAGAGTAGCCGTGGAAGTTGCCTGCTTCTTCTTCTTCTATTAATCAATGCTGGAGAAAAGTAGGCGAGACAGGTAAACAGGGCAGCGGCTGCCCTCCTCTTCTCTCAATTGTTTTCGATGTCCGAGAAAAGTAGCTGAGAACGGTGGACAGGGCTGCGGCTGTCCTCCTCTTCTTCTATTAGTGTCGGAGAAAAGCCGAGACAGATGGACATGGCGGCGGCTGTCCTCTTCTATTCTTATTAGTGTCGGAGAAAAGCCGAGACAGATGGACAAGGCTGCGGCTGTCTTCTTCTTCTCTTATTAGTGCCTGAGAAGAGCGGAGACCGATGGACGGCGCAGCGGCTGCCTTCCTCTCCTTCTATTCATGTCGGAGAAAAGCCGAGACCGGTGGGCAGGGTGGCGGCTGCCCTCTTCTATCTTCTTCTATATATTAATGTCCGAGAGAAGTAGGCGAGGCCGCTGCCCTCCTCTTCTTCTATCAATGCTTGAGGGGAGCCGACCACACAGATGGACAAAACTGCAATTCCCGCGCAGGTTATCGGAAAGATAGCTTTTCGCGCATTCTTCGCGCAAATTTTTTGGGAATTGGAACAAAATGGGCCAAAGTCAAAAACTTCTGGGTTTTTGGGCAGAAAAACTCTGGCGCGGAGGGGGGGGGGCGTTCGCTTTTGAACTATCTAGGCCAGAAGCATGGCGCCCATGCTTGTAAATTTTTGACAGCAGGCCATGCCTTTGACTTTAAGGCTAAGCCATTTGGGTTAAGTTCAAAGCTTACCGCGTTTAGGCTTAGGGCTCCGCCTTCTTTCTGCGCTTGTCGTTGTCGTTGCTTTTTGGCTAAAGTGCTAAACTTTTGACTTTGAGCCATTTGGGCGAAATAAAATAAAGACTAGCCTTCTTTTGGGGTTTATCCATAAACTTTGGCCAAAAGAGAGCGCCAGCGTTTTGACTCTAAACTATTTGATTTGGGTGAAATTGAAAACCTGCCGCGCCCGCGCGTTAGTAGGGTTTCGCCCTCTTTCTCAACCGTCGGGGCGTAAACCGTCGGGGCTTTTCTAAGCCGTGCCTATCGGATGTAGGCCATCGGCTGGGCTCTGTCTAAGCCTTCGGGGTCTACACCGTCCCCGCCGGGGTCTAAACCATCGGGACTGAGCAAGCCCTCGGGATCTCAGCCGTTGGGATCTCCACCGTCGGGATCTAAAGCTTCGGGGCCTAAGCTGTCGGGGCCTACGCCGCTGGGATCTAATGCCACACGTAAAAACTGGCTCATACTCAAGGAGTCAAAAGTTGGCAGGCAGCACTTAAGCACCAGTCAAAGTAGGTAGTTACCTAGCCAGTGAAAAAGGGGCTGGCACTGGCTTGGGCAGGGCTTGCGGTCTGGTGCTGAGCGATGCTTCTGGCGTGATGCATGAAGATAGGGGCTGAGGAATGCGTGGGAAAATACGTAGGAGGCCGCAGACCTAGTGGGAATTTGCTGATGATTGGCTTCGTGGATCCAGGTGGACCCATGGAGCCACTGTGGGGCAAATTTCGACTAGATCTGGCGTTTTCCACGAGTTTGCCCATGGATGCTGTCTGCCGTCTATTCACCTGCCGCGCCAGTTGGACCACAATGCACGAGGATCGCCAGCCTTTCCCGGACCAGTCTCTTGGAGCCTAACTATTTATCTACCTAGCTAACTACCTAGTTTAAGGGTGCCGGCCAATTTTTGACTTTCTGAGACTGAGTCAGTTTTTACGCGTGACATCTAAGCCGTTGGGGTCTAAGCCGTCGGGATCTGGGCCCTCGGGATCTAAACACTTGGGATCTAAACCCCCGGGGCCTACGCCTTAGGGGTCTAAGCCGTCGGGATCTAGACCACCGAGAACGAAACCATCGGGATCGAGGCCGTCGGGATCCAAACCCTCGGTGTGTAGACTGGCGGGATCTAAACCCTCGGGGCTGAGGCCGTCGGGATCTAAACTGCCGGGATCCAAACTGCTGGGATCTAAACTTTGGGGGCCTCAACTGCTGGAGCCTAAAGCCGTCTTTCGGGATCTAAACCGTCGGGGGTAAGCCCATCGGGGTCCAGCCTGTCGGGATCTAAACCGCCGGGGCCGAAACCATCGGGATCGAAGCCGTCAGGATCTAAACCATAAACAAGAGGGACCCAAACCAGAGCGACTGCCTCAAGGAAACCAGAGGGACGGACCTAAGCCGGAGGGATCTAAACCACCGGGCCCGGGACCCAAGCCGTCAAAATCGAAGCCATCGGGGTCTAAACACTCGGGATCTAAGCCATCGGGATCGAAACCCCCGGGATCGAAGCTGGAGGGATCTAAACCTGAGAAATTCCAGGCGTCGGGCTTCGTTGTGAATGTGCGAGCGCGTGCTTTTTTTGGAGCGTTTGGCATTTTGGTTGTTTCTTGTTGGTTCATTTTGTTTTTGTATACACATTGTCCTCCGATATGACATTACCCCCCGATCAAATTTTGACTACCCGCCCCTAGGTTCTGCTGACAAGCACGAGTAAAAGTGTGCTCTGGATAAAGATAATTACTAGAATTCGTATTGATATTCCTTATTATTAGTATTACCTACCTCAGCAAAAACAAAATTATGATCATTTTTATATATCTGCTCGGTTTTCCATTTCATCTTGACGAGTAGTTTTAGTTGTAGTTTGTCCTAGGTTTTACTAAAAAAATAACAAGTGGCAGGTCATTGCTTCATTTGTATTTCGTTCATGGCTGTCTGAGATCGAGATGGTTCAATGCCAAGGAGTTTGTTATTTTTTAATTTCGTGGATTTTGGGTCATTTATGGGGATGGATGCTGGGGCGTCATCCTGATCCTTTCGGTCGTGGGTGAAGCAGTATACAGCACTGCATCTTTTATGACTAGATCATCTAGTGAATAGACATCTAGCGCATCTGATACGGCTGCAGTGAATAGACAACGGAAACAAGAAAGAACAGAATGGCAGCTGCATCATACTCCATCGCGATTTGCTGTAAGATGCGTGGAAGGTGGCGCTGCATGTGAGGAAAGACGATCGATTCTAGAAAAAGTGAACTCTTAACTTTTGGGCAATGTTCTGGGTAGGGAATAGTTTTTCGTACGGTGTGAAGAAGCTCTCCAGTGCTGGCCTCATCAAGGACGGACGGCATGGGTATGGGTATGGCAATTGATGGCCGTTTTAGTCTGAGAAGGGTTGTTAATTTGTTTGTTAGTGGTCGCCATATTAGAGATCCCGTTCCCGTTTCCAAGCCCGGGAGCAGTCTCTTGATATTTTGATTTGATCTGAGAGTTTGCCACTGCCGTAGTCGCTGTACAAATTATGAAGAGCGAGTGGCCGATCGATTGATTCCTAGAAAAATATAGTTTTTCCACTCGTGCTTCTACTTTCGGTTTCGTTTTTTATTGTACTACTTCAGATTTAGACAAAAAAGATACTAGCTGGCTTTGATCAATTAAAGACTTTTGAGATCGTGATCATTTTATCTTTGATCATTGACTCCTTTTACATGATACTGATGCTACGCGTTCCTCCTCACTGAAGCTAGATGATGACTATGTGCTCCAGCAACTACATGATGCTGATTATAGCAGGTACGTTTTTAGTACAATTGATTCTTTGTGTGTCAATAAAGATGCTACACCCCGTGAGTGGGTACATCAATCAATCAGTCAATCAATCCGTCAATCAATCAATAAGCGCGCGCTTGTCGTAGAGCTAGACGAAGGCCCTCTCGCAGTATCCGTCTTCTCTCTCTGTGTCTGTACCTGTAGAGCGTTTTCACGATTCTGACTCTAAGACTGTACAGTCAGGAGCTGCTCCGACAGTGAAGATCAACTACGTCTTGGAGTAATGCTGTGTGTAGTAAGTCGTTGTTTAGAAGTCGGCTTTGGCGATGAAAAGGGTTAGGGATCATCCCGTGGGCCCATATTTGAATTGATGAATGCCGCAGCGTCCTCACTTCAAGTGAAAACTGCAGTCAAGGCACATGGTGGATGACTTCGCCAAGCTTCTCCACGGGGGCTATCGACGTTGCCACCTGTTGTTTCATCGTGCTGGGTGACGTCAGCACGTCTAGTCTTGATCTTCTTCAAGGGAGCACTACGTTCTTCTGGAATGGATAAGTTGACTGCTTGATCAAGTGGCTGAGATGAGGCCCGAGCTGAAGATGGTGGCTCGCTCGTGTCGCCGGGTAAAGCAAGCGGCTCAAGGGCGCAGTAAGAAGAGAATCAAAGACAGAGACACGGCGTGCACGTGCAGTGTTATACGCTCCTGCTAAGGTTTCTGGGCGTCTCATGAAGCCGCGCCGGAAGGGCGCCGCGCCAAAAAATAGGGTAAACAAGTCGAGCAACCCGAGCAACTCGACCCGATACGGGTCAAAAATATTCCGAATAGGAATTCTCGCGATGAAGATGGCAGTAGCCAAAATAGTTAACCCTTGGCACACAAAAAGCACAGCTAGCGTATACTTAGCAAGATGCCAAGACGCATCATTATGATCGGCGATCGCGACTGATTCTGTGTCTGATGCGAAAAGATGATCCATGATGCATCTACTTTCTACATAGCTTGGATTTGATATTATTGTCACGAATAGTAGTCGTCTCGCACTCGTCGCGCTTGGATCAAGCACGCGAGTGAATAATGCTACGAGTCGCCCTCGTAGTATTTCTCTGCTACGTGAACAATCTAACTTCCCAAAAATCTCAGTCATTTCTTAGCTGCTTGCTGTTATCATCGTCAACGTAAAGGACATCAAAATCATGCTCCACGAGTCAGCTAATTTTTTCAGACTATTTATATTTTGTGAATGTAGAGGCTTTACTAGGTGAAGTTGGACTCTTCAGCTTTTAGGCTCCGGCAATTTCATTTTCATGTTTGTTAGATATAACACCAATTGGAATTGCACAGTCGGCGAGCTGCGAGCAAAGAGGGACTTTGTAACATTGAAGATTATTTTTATGGATTTTGGCATTCGAAATACAATAGAGTAGAGACTCATATTATGACTTTGGCAGTCTGTAGCTGCGTCCTCCGCGGCCAAGTCCACGTAGAAGGAGGCTGGCTCGTGTTACCTTGTATGTTGTATATGAGTAGCATTCGCCGAGGTAGAAACTGTAAGCGACGTATCTGCGAACGTTTGCTGTATCATCCTTGTACGTTTGAGCGAAATACAGGGAGCCATCTACTCTGTGTATGATTAGCCCGAGCCGCCTTTGTCCCATGTTTCATCCTTCTTCATAGTTGGATAGTAAAGATGTTGGTCTCCTTCTGTGTTTTCTCGAGTAAACGCACAAATCGGGCTTGCCTGGATGGTTCGCTGTAGATGGTAGCGGCAGGTCTGCTCGGGAGATGGAAGAAGAAGGGCGATCGGCAGAAGTGACAGCCTTTCTCTCTCTCTCTCTCTGCGTCTAATTGGAGCCTCAACAGCCTCAACAACATTCTTTCTAATCCATAGAATATGAATAACATACTTACATCAATAAAGATGATGAAGTGACTCAGTCATGATAGTTGATTTTTCGATTTCTCTCCCAGTAAAAATAATTGGTCATCCGTGGACATACAGATATTTATGGTTTTCCAGAACGTTGATGCATTTTCATGGCATTTTTTTGAACGATATTGCTTTCTCCATGAGCATTAATATCGTCAGCCTCTACAAAAATTAAACGAAGATGAGAATTGTTGTATTCATTTTTTCGTCGATAAGTAGAATAATGAAAAAAGTAGCATGCCGCACTCACGACATTAAGCTTTTTAAGTGACATTCCAGCTGGATCCCGTTTCCGTCGCAGGTGTGTTCAAAAATAGCGGGTGGGTCATCCGCAACCAGAAGAGCAACGAACAGAACGAAGATAAAAGGCTGAAGCGTAGTATATTCTACTCTTTGTCACTAACAGCTCACACAAAAATGAAGCATGTCAGATCATAGTAGAGTTTCTACATAGTCGATGTCACGATCTACTGGAGCTCCTCCATTATGTGCTTGAAAAATCGTAGAAGCACTCCTGAGCAGTCGTTGTTTGTATGAAGTAGGTGTAGGAGATGAGCGTGTGAGGGTGAGCAAGTACGACGAACAGGTGTCCCTGCTGATGAAGATGTATGGACGCGACTCCACCAAGAAGAGCAAATTCCAAATGAAAATTTATGTGACGATATTCATACTCCTCTTGTTCATAAAACAAAACTCCCAACATTATGGTAATCGCCAATATGATCGACTGACCGCCACAGCGCTTCTCCACACACAACGACGACACCCAACAAAAAACCAAAACCAAGAGGTAGTTTGAGCGAAGTTCTTTGCTGTCTCTTTCGCCCATATTTGTACTACCACAGTTAGGTTGCTAGGACTGGCACTAGTTGCACTTGTGTTAATATCTCGAACAAATATGCCGGCGCTAGGTCAGCTAAGAACTGCACGAAGGCGGTCACCATTGTCGCCGCCTAGTCCTGAAAGTGCTCCTCTTAGCGACTTTCTTTAGTAACTTGCTCCCCCTGGGTTTTTCTGTCTTTTGGTTTCGTTTCGTGTGATTTCTCGCGCGCCTCAAGAGTCCACCGCGTCAGCCTGCAGATGTGTGCTGGGGGATTGTGGAGGGGCGCGGGGGGTTGGAGGGTGCCCGCGGTGCTTTGCTCGCAATTGGCGGAGGGTTTTCCTGAAAGGAGCGCAGTAGGCGCCGAGTGTTCTGCGGATTCACATCATGCCCGGAAAAGCTGGGCGCTGTCTGGGCTTTTGCGGCCTTTGCTTGGGTTTTCTTCATTATAAACACAGAGGCCGGGATCGCTTAAAAATGTTTTAACCATCAGGATCAGGAGAAGCATCCAAAAACTTGCATCCGAATCCACCAGTTGCCCCTTCCCTCGTCAATATCTTTTAAGATTGATTCGCTCTGTTTTAAATTCTCCCGTGTGTCCCTAGTGCATTTGATAATTCTACGGTTTTATTCCCGTCGCACTGAAAAATGTATTTTTTTTGTTACTCACAAGCAACAAGAGTCATCCACCTCGTGTATGATTTCGCAGCCAGTTTTTTCTGGTAGAAATTATTCCGAATGCTCATGTAGAATTATGTGTCTAGTATGAATTGGCAGTAGTTTCTCGTTGTTGTGCAGCATCTTGGTCTTCGTCTTCAGTGGGAATCATTTATAGGCCATTTTTCTCGTCCACATCAAATTCAATATCTCCATTTAGTTCATCAGCAGCTTGCCGCTATCTGATTCCCGATGATCTCGTGCCTCCAGAGATTGCGCCACTTGACGCTTTTTCGATCGGTTTCGCAGCTCTTCGGGAGTGCAAAACAACTATCGAAATCAAGAAGAAACGGGACCGCATTCGTCAAATCTTGACCTTGGGCGACATCTCCTGGTGGCATCGTATCGAAGAGGCGCTCGCGACGGCGTCTGCCAGCCTGGATCCGAATCAAGGTGCCGGTATGGACCTCTTAGAGATGCAAGAGGCAATGGATCGCCTCGAGCGGGAACAAGAGCAACTGTGCCCTCGAGAATCGTTTCATTGTCTGTTGAGTCCTGCTTTCTTGCGCTTCTATGACAAATACCGAAAGGCCGCCCGAGAGCAGGACGTCGACGCACAGACATCAGCAGATGAAAATGAGTTACCAGAGGAAACATTTGATATGAGCACTTTTCTCGCAGAACTCGACCGGCAGCAGGCAAGTGCGAACTTTCAACGCTACTCGGATGTTGGAGGTCCGCTTGTGTCGCTGAGAAGCGGAATGGCCCCCGACTACTTACAGCTTGAGAACTTTCGTCTTTTCCCGCCGTTGTTACGGCCTGACCTGGTTCTCACTGCGCTGGCCGACAGCATTACAACAGGCTCGAGCAAGGACGGCGGCGATACGAAAAGTCGTGCGGCCGGGGGCCATACCAGTGAAGGAGCTTCCGATGAGGAAAACGACGAGGATATCAGGACCGCCTCCGAACGTCTCCGAAATTTCGTATCTGGCACGAGTGGTACAAATGGAGGCGGTCCCGCCTCCGCAGCTATGCGTGGTGCGTGTGCATTCGATACCAATGCGGTGATCGAACGTCAGCAAGCGCGGCAGCGAGAGATTCAGCAGAAGCTCGCGAAAGCTAAGCGACGCATTGCCGAACTGAAGGAGCGCAACCCGGACACATGCCTCATCTGTTGCGAAACAGCTCACGACGTGACTTTTTTACCGTGCGGCCATCAAGTCGCGTGTGCGCAGTGTGCCAACCATAACTTGATGCATAGGTGCCCCCTGTGCAGGCAACCCATTGAGCGAAAGCAGCGGGCGCGCCGAGCGTCGTCCTAATGGTGCACTGAATAAGTATCCCGAGATGGCCCATTCGTGTCCGTCTGAAGAAATACTATGTATGTGAGCGTCAGCGACAGTATCCATCAGTTATAGTTTTTTTCTTCCTAGAAGCAAGCTGTAGCTTTTTTCATTTATTCTCCACGCACCCAGGTGGAGTGGAGTGAAATAATTATACAACGAATGAGTCAATAAACATAAAGTCGGTGATGTCAGTGATTATTTACTTGGAACAAAAAGAAATAAATGCTTCTATTATATTTCGACAAGTAGCACATGTCCTCGTGAGTAGCACCACCGTGGTAAATAACGTGTGTGAAGATATGACTACATAACTCGGGATCAAATGCAGACTATCCAGATAATAGAATAATTTATCTGGGTGTCGCTTTGCCCCAATTCACCGGGATACGAAAAACTTACCACTTACCGAAACCATTACAAGAAAACGCGGCACATGTGGGGAAGCATGCTCCTCCGCAGGTGCCGCATGAAGAGCGCTATTGTTTGCGAGAGCAAAATCCGCATCCTACAAGTCGGACACGGGTGCGGGATTTGGAACGCCGTTCCAAATCCCGCATCCGCGCTGCCGAATACGGACACTGTCCTCGCCAAAGCAAAATCCGCATCCTACAAGTCGGACACGGATGCAGGATTTGGAACGCCGTTCCAAATCCCGCATCCGCGCCGCCGGCTACGGATCCTGTCCGTGCGAGAGCAAAATCCGCATCCTACAAGTCGGACACGGATGCGGGATTTGGAACGGCGTGTCAAATCCCGCATCCGGCAGGGCGGAAGTCTGCGAAACGTGTGAAGCAAGATGCGGCCTCTTGCGGGATTTCCCGATTACAAAGCCTCCTGCCCAAATCCCGTGACCACAATGGTGGGCGCGGGATTTGAAGCGGCGGCTTATTTCCGCCCCCTTTGGAAAAAAATGGATGTGGCTGCAGGGAGCCGGATGGGATCATGGTGGGTAGCTCTGAAAACGCAGCGGCCTGCCCACAAGGGATATGAGAACGACGCAAAACGAGACGCAACCAAATGGAGCGAGTCGCGAAAGTGGTCTGTTTTTCAAAATAGGGGATGTCAGGATATGCAAAGCGACACCCAAAATAGAACGGACGTAGGATGGATCGGGTGGACCCCCCTAGTAAGTCTTCCGATCCTGCTTGAATCGATGGGAAGCCCATCCGATCCATCCCATCCTGGACCTGGCACGCCTATAAATTGCCCGCAGAAAAACATATCAATCTGGAGCTTTATGTTTATGCCAGCAGTGCAAGGCTAGTGGCCGCGCATTATATACGTACCCCCGCGGCTCTCCGCATCTACCCCACAGGCGTCCCGACTCTTCGCACCTTTCAGGAGGACGGTCCCCGGGGGCAGAAAGCGGCCACGGTCGGGACCACTCGCGAAGCCTGGCCTCTTTGGCCCTTATCCCCCCCAGTTGGTGGCAGCGTCAGCCGCCACCAAACGCCCGGGGGGTTTAAGAGAATGAGGACCAAAGGCGAGCGCAGAGGGATGCCGTTCAGATGCCTTGCAGGCCAGCGAGACCACCCAAGAGGCGCCGGCGCAGCATAGGGATACGCACGCGGCGACCGGCCTCTCTGTCTCCGAGGTAGGCGACAGCAAATGCAAAACGTTCGACGGCAGGCTAAGTAAGACGCTAGCGCCCACAGCACACGCGGCGCGCGTTTTGTCCCTGGAACGGCCTCAACGACAACGATTGCGGGAGCAAGCAGAGGCGCGCGAATACCGCCAGACGCGCCGCGAGTTAAAGCTCCACGCCGTCCGCATGGCGTTCACGAACACACGCAGCATGTCGCCTATCAGGTTTGCACGGCTTTGCTGGCTCCTCTCGTGCCCGAGACTTTGCCTCGTCAGGGTTTGGCCTCTCTGAGTTGCCCAAACAACTTGGAGTTGGAGGCGGAGGGCGCCAAACAGCTCGGAGAGCGACAGGGATGGCAAGTGGGAAGAGTCTGGCTGCCTCAGGATTCCCAGGGTTTGCAAGTCAGTGGGTGGAAGCTCCGCCTTCAGGCCAGAAAGTCGTTGGGTCAACGTTTTCCAATCCGGTGCAACGGCGGGGACGGCCGCCCAGCGCACCAACAGAGCACGGCCAGAAGCTCTCTTCCTTTGGTCGCCTTCAGCAAAAAAGGCCCGCCCACGCTCACCTGCTTCCGCGGTGCGGCCGTCACTAGCACTCACGCCCTCTCTCGTCCAAACGCTTCCAATTCACCTCTGAGCCATCGGGTCACCACTGGTATAAATACCACGACGGGTCGGGGGGGCCGACATCTTTGGGCAAGGGGTTTTTAGATACACTTACACACTGCATACACACATTATGATATCACAGTTGTCTGGTCGCGGCGCTGGCAAAGCATGCAAAAGCACACTCGCCGCCTCTAACAACGCGCCCTCTGCGAGTGCAATTATGCGACGTCATAACTTGTCAGCGTCACCAACAACGAGTGATGTCGACCAGTACTCTGTTCTAGTCTTCATCTCTCTTGACGAACTCTCTCCTACAAAAGATGTAATCACTTACATGACTTCACTGACGTCAGCTGTGTCAGAATTCCGAGTGCTTAGCTTAGCGCTGCTGAAGTTGAATGATCAAAACAACATGTCACTGTCCCAACTGCATGATACTTTTTCTCGTGTTCTTGTCCGTTGCTTACTTCTTCTTATCTTTTCGAGTCACAATGATCGAGTCTAAGAACTATGCCCGTGTTGACGGGTACACCTCGTTACCACCACAAGCAACTTGAGATAGTTATCAGCGTTTCCGTGCTAACCCGCATCATCTTCAACTCTCACTGATCTTTTACTGCATCTTCAACTCTCACTGATCTTTTACTGCGACGCCCGTTGTCTCCTGCTATAGATGTTGGTGATCACAATGCCCCCCAACAGGATGCTGGGCCAGCCAAGACCGATACTCAAGATGCACATCCCGAACGTTGAAGTGTCTCTCCCTCGCTGAAATTTCTCTGCATCGCGAGTGAGGTGCAAAAAGATCGGGTTCTGACCTAGTTTCAGCCCGTAATACGCGGCGCAACTCCTGGCTGCCTTGTTGTAAAAAGTCGTTTCCGCCATTGTCGTCTGAGGATCAAATAGAAGACTCAGCTCACTTCTCGTGTTGTCTCCCCATCCGCTTCCGGAATATGAGAAGGCCAACTCCTCGCTTGTGCCCGATAAAGGTCCTGGGTAAGTAAATCAGTGAGGCGCACTTAGATCAATTATAAATTCTCGATGGAATCCAAAGATACAATTTCGATCCTTGAATAACATGATCGTGTACTAGATCAACATCAATAACATGCAAAATTCGTTGGAGAATGATGATGAAAAAAAAATCAAACAGAAACGAACCACGACTACGAATCTCCATTTTTCTTCTTGTAGTAACAATTTTACACTGCAGGCCTTGGCGTTCGCGAAGAAACTCTACTTCATGAGCATGAGCATCTACTTACTTCAATAACTAGAGGGTTAGTGGTTTTGTAGTAACACGTTCTAAATTATTTGAACTCTTGCGTGAAGGTGAAGTTGTAGACATGTACTTAACAAATACTGTCATCTTGTGCCGGAAAATCGATCTGCGGGACCACCACGCCTGCCTTGGGGACCTCTTCTTTATTGATGTTTTCTTCCGTGAGAGTGCCTTCACTTGATTAGAGCTCCTGACCAAAGTCCATCCCTGTAGAAGTGGAGTAGCCTTCATTATTTAGTTTTTCCCTTGTTGGACATGCTGGTTAAGATTACAATACACGTACAAGAATGATCTCCATAGTGCTAGGGACGCCAGATGTATGAATCTGTAACAAGGTCCATAGCCTTAACTGGAATACGCTAGGCAGTCAACGAAACTTGACCCGCAGCAATCAACCCCGACTGCGAAAAATCGCGCGACCAGATTTTCGCCTGTGCCTTTTGTCCTTGCGCTAAGCGGTGCGACGCAATAGTTCTGCCCTTTGTGCCTAAGTAAAGCATATGAGTAAGCATTTACATTTCGTTTCCTGGTGCAGAAGAGTTGATTTGGACGAATCAATGAGCACGAAAATAGGTTGCTCCTTGATCATGATCGATGTGCTTGCATTGCTACATCTGTCTACTGGCTTCTTGCTGCCGAAGATGCTGATTCGAACTCCTTGACTTACGAGGAGCAAGCTTTCCATTCTCGTCCTGCTGAAATCTGCTCACCCCGAACCAAATAATCAAAACTCAACCTCTTCTCTCGACGTCGAAGAGAGGTCGTTCCATTCACTACTTTCATGCCCAGCGTTCGAGTTTATCATGATCATGATAGTAAATACTAACGCTAACCTGTAGGCTCTGAAAAGTCCGACGTCCAATGTCGTGGTCTTCGCGTTGAAGTGGACTATTGCTGCATCGGGCTTGTCCACTGTTTTGGATATTAGATGTTTACCTCCATTTCCCGGACATCCATGTCCTCCGTCAATGTTGTGAAACGCCGATTAAGCTGCCGTGTAGATGAAACTTCTCCTTTCTGATCTACAACTTACAACGACTCTTGTCAAACTCACTACCTACCTTCAAGACGCATCTTCAACAGATCTTCTTCAGATAGAGTCCCAGAATCCTTCCTTAAGTCTAGCGGCGTGACGTTGTTGTACACCGCACCATCCCGAGTGAGCAGAAAGGGAAGCCTGTTCGTCTGAAAGTTCGATCGCCCCAACCACGTGCCGACGATAGCGACAACCAAATTCCATATCGACCTGCGCTGTTGAGGGGGTGTTAGCAATCTTTTTTCTGCATATGCATGTGGAGTATCTAGATAGATATCGATTTTCATTGAAAGGAATTATTTTCACCGTGCGCTCCCTCATGGAGGTCTGCCTCTATCACTATCTGTATCTCTACATTCCGCCCCAACATCTTAATATTCGACGAGGACTACTACACCGGTGCACACGCACTGGTGCTAGTGACGCAGTGGTTCTGGAACTACGGCTACGGCTACGACAGTTATTACCTATTTTGCTTCTAGTTCTACCTGCTCTAATTTAAATTTGAATAGAAGTAGTACCACGCTTTGTTTCGCGAGGCGTTCTGAAAAGGGGCTGTCGACGGGCCACCGTCACGCTCAAGCAACACGCCGTCCTTGCGAATGAGTGTGTCTGCGCGAAAAGTTCGTAGGAACGCACAGAATACTAACACAAAGAGAAAGAAGAAATAAACGAGGAACGGTCGAGCCTCGTATTCGTATGTCCATAGGAAAATCAAAAGCGCGAACGTTACACAAGGTGCAGCCACACCGAGTGTGAGCGCTTCGTGGACAGGTTTCATATTGTTCATACTTCTCCTTCCGTCGATGGTGGCGAGAAGTTTAAGTGCCTAATTTTTATCAGTTGAGTAGGTGAGGTGTAAATACTAAATAACGCGGGTGCTACAACTACAACGATGTTTACTTACTGTTGACTGTGGAGCAAGGTGACAAATACCACTAAAAAAAGTCGATAAGTGATTTCGCATTCCTGAAATTTTTGAAAGGCTCCAACAGCGCAGAGAGCGCTCGCAAAGCTTGGAGAAATAAGCCAGACAATCCTGAAAACAGCCTCCACAAAAGAAATCGACCCACCTGAACCACGAAGGCGCGCCCACCGTGTCACCCGCACAACAACAGCAGATGCGCCTGGCCGCCCACGCTGGCGCATGGGCAAAGAAGCCACCCACCGCACACCCGCCCAAAACACAAACCGCCACCAAATCAAGCTGAAAGACGACAAAACGAAAAACAACGCCAGACACACAACCTGCCAGACACACCAACCACAGGCAATAAACGCAGCCAGCGAAGCAACGCCACCCCTGTCTGTCAGCGCTTGGACATCACCAACGCCGTGCCATGTAAACACACACCCGACCAACTTGACAAGCCTCAGCCAATTCCCTAAACTTTTCACACTTTTCGGCCGATTTGGCCAGTTTTCTGGGTACTGGTCACAAACACAAACACCCACAACCACACACCAACAACAACAAACCAGCGGCAACACCATCGAGCGAGCGGCCACACCCAACAGAGACACGACCCCAAACACACCGGAAGACCACAAGAACGACAACCAACGCCACGCGTCGCCACCGCCCTACCCTTTACACATACACACCCACGCCACAACTCGACAAAACTCGGCCGATTTCTTTGACTTTTCGCACTTTTTGGCTGATTTGGCCAGTTCTCTGGACGCAAGTCACAAACATCCACAACCACACACGCCAACAACTGCAAGCCAACCCCTGCACAGCAACACCATCAAACGGGCCGCCCCACCCGACAGAGCCACCCCACGCACACACTGGAAGACCACAAGAACAACAAACAAAAACCACGCGCGACTACCACGCCGACCCTGTACGCGCACACATTCACCCAATTCAAGGAAGCTCAGTGGACTTCTTTCACTTTCTGCACTTTTTTGCCGATTTCGTCAGTTCTCTGGAAGCAGATCACGAACATTCTCAACCACACACACGAACAGCAAACCAGCAGCAACACCACCGAACGAGCGGCCACGCCCGATAGAGACACCCCACACACAACGAAGACCACAAGAACGACAGCCAAAAGCCACACACGGCAAGCGCCCTGCCCTGCCATGCACGCACACACACACCCGAACAACTTAGACACACCCCCGAACAACCTACACACACACACACACACACACACCCGAACAACTTACACACACACCCGAACAACTCGACAAAACCCCGCCAATTCTTTGAGCTTTTCGCGCTTTTTAGCCGATTTCGCCAGTTTTTTAAACACAGACCACAAACACCCACAACCACACACCAACGAACAACAGCAAACCAGCAGCAACACCATCGACCGAGCGGCCACACCCGACAGAGACACGACCCCGCACACACTGAAAGACCACAAGAACGACAACCAACGCCACGCGTCGCCACCGCCCTACCCTGTACGCATACACACCCACGCCACAACTACTCAACAAAACTCAGCCGATTTCTTTGACTTTTCGCACTTTTTGGCTCATTTGGCCAGTTTTCTGGATGCAAGTCACAAACGTCCACAACTGCAAACGCCAACAACTGCAAGCCAACCGCTGCCCAGCAACACCACCGAGCGGGCCGCCCCACCCGACAGAAACACCCCACGCACACACTGGAAGACCACACAAACGACAAACAAAAGCCACTCGTGACCACCGCGCCAACTCTGTACGCGCACACATTCACACAGCCCAAGGAAATCCAGCCGATTTCTTTCACTTTTCGCCCTTTTTGGCCGATTTGGTCGGTTCTCTGGAAGCAGTTCGCGAACATTCTCAACCACACACACCAACAACAAACCAGCGGCAACACCATCGAACGAGCGGCCACGCCCTGCAGAGACACCCCACACACAACGAAGACCACAAGAACGCCAGCCAAAAGCCACACATGACAAGCGCCCTGCCCTGCCCTGCACACACACCCGAACAACTTACACACACACCCGACCAACTTACACACACAACCGACCAACTTACACACACACCCGAACAACTTACACACACACCCGACCAACTTACACACACAACTGACCAACTTACACACACACCCGAACAACTTACACACACACCCGAACAACTTGGCAAAACCTCACCAATTCTTTGGACTTTTCGCACTTTTTAGCCGATTCTGCCAGTTTTTTGAGCACAGACCACAAACACCCACAAGCAACCACACACCAACGGACAACAGCAAACCAGCGGCAACGCCATCGACTGAGCGGCCACACCCGACCGAAACACCCCACACACACCAGAAGACCACAAGAACGACAACCACAGTCCACGCGTCGCTATCGCCATACCCTGCACGCACAAACACCCACACAATTTGACAAAACTCAGCTGATTCCGTTGGCTCTTCGCACTTTTCAGCCGATTCCGCCCCCTTTCTGGACACAGATCACAAACACCCACAACCACACGCACCAACATCAACCACAAACCAGCTGCAACAGCATCGAACGAGCGGCCACACCCGACAGAAACAGCCCCACACACAACGAAGGCCACAAAGACGACAACCAAAGGCCACACACCACCACGAGCGCCCTGCCATGTACGCACACACACCTGAACAGCAGCAACTACCTGACCAAACTCAGCTGATTCCTTTGACTTTTTCCGCTTTTTGGCTGATTTCGCCAGTTTTCTACAAACTAACACACCAGAAAGATCCAAAAACACACGCACCAACACCAAGCAACAACAAACAAGCAGCAACACCATCGAACAGGCGGCAGCATCCGATAGAAACACCCCACGCGCACACACTGGAAGACCACAAGAACGACAACCAAAGGCAGGCCACGCGTCGCCATTGCCCTACCCTGCGCGCGCACACGTTCACACAAGTCGACCAAACTCAGCTGATTCTGTTGACTTTTCCCACCTTTTGGCGGGTTTCGCCGGTCCTCTCGACACAGATCACACACACTCACAAACACACACACACACACACACACCCACAAGCCATCAGCAACACCATCGAACGAGCGGCCACAACCGACAGAAGCACCCCGCACACACTAGAAGACCACAAGAACGACAGCCAAAGACTACACACCACCAACGCCTTGCCCTGCACGCATATACGCCCACACAACTCGACTGGCTTGCATTTCTTCGCCGATTTCGCCGGTTCCCTGGACGCCGATCATGAACAACATCCACAACCACACACCCCAACAACAGCAAACCAACAGCAACACCATCGAGCGAGCGGCCACACCCGACAGACACCCCACAACACTGGAAGAGCACAAGAACGACGAACAAGAAAGGCCACACACCACCAGCGCCCCCCCCTGTACGCGCACACACCCACACAACTCGACGAAACTCCGCCGGCGTTTTTGGCCTTTCGCGCTTCTTGGCCGATTTCGCGCGCATTCTGTGCGCCCTTTGCCGCTGCTCCTACCGGCTGACCAGAGGCAAAACCCAGCAACCACACACACCAACGAACAACAACAAACCAGCGGCAGCGCCATCGAACGAGCGGCCACACCCGACAAGAACACGACCCCACACACAACGAAGACCAGAAGAACGACAACCGAAGACCACACACCACCAGGAGCGCCCTGCCATGTAGACACACACACACACACACAAACAGCAACAACCTGACAAAACTCAGCCGATTTCTTTGGCTTTTCGCACTTTCTAGCTGATTTCGCCAGTTTTCTGCACAAAGGTCACAGGCATCCACAATCACGCACACCAACACCAACAGCAAACCAGCGACCGCCCGGCAACACCATCAAACGGGCGGCAACATCCGACAGAAACACCCCAAGCAAACACTGAAAGGCCACAAGAACGACAACCACCAAGGCCCACCCGTTGCCACCCCCCTACCCTGTAGCACGCGCAGACACTCACACAACTCGACAACGCTCCGCCGCTCTCGTTTTGGCTTTTCGCGCTTTTTGCCCATCCGATCACCAGGCCACTCCTTGAGGCCTCGCCGGCTGGGCTCTCTTGCAGTAGTCAGGAACACAGTGGCCGACCGCCTCGGCGCGTTACTGGAGCCGCGCCCCTCCAGTCATTCCATTTGCCAGCGGCTCAATCACATGAAGCGAGACGAGTGGGCATCTCGAGAGCAAATCAATGCAGGCGCCAGAAACTTACCAGCCGAAGCGGCGTCTCTCTCGAAGAGTACAGAAATACACTCGCACAGAAATAGGCGACCGCCGTGGTCCTTCCTGTCTCTCTCGAGCACTTTGCAGCGCTGTTCCTCTCGAGGGTGGAGGCAGTTCTTTGCCGTGTCTCTCTCCGGGGTTTGCTCTCCACATAAAAAAACGCGAACACGCTCCAAGACAGATCCGGAGCGAGCTGCACAGACAGCAAGAAAATGGCGAGCCAAGGCCGTGGCGTGTGTCTTGTCGCTTTTCACTCATTGGCCGTTCTTCTGGCTCGACCATCCACATCCTCGAGCCGACTGGAAACGCGACAGCCTTCCTCGTCTTAGCGCGGTGCGCTCCGTGCTCGCCCATATCTCCTTTGATATTGCCCAGCGAAAAAAAACTGAAGCCCAACGCAAGAAGTTGCCGGTAGGCTGTCGCCACACGATCGAAAGCGCAGCCTACTTGGTTTTTGTTTGTTTATGTGCTTGCGCTCCTTCCTGAAGGACCATCCGCGCCGCGCCTAGTTCTAGACCTGAAGGTCCTCACTACATCAGACACGGCGCCAAGGGCTTAGCGTGATAATTGGAGAAGCGCCACTCCAGTTACGGCGGGGGTACATCACTCCGCGACCTGCTTCCCGTGGTCATTTGCTGGAGCCATCTGCTTCGCACATTCTTCGGCCTTCGTTATATCATAAGACGACGGCCGCACTCAATGACATGGGTCATGCCTTCCCGAACCCGATGAACTTCGCAAGCAGCTCCCCTCTGTACGGCCAGCATTAGTGACCACGACGGCCCGCCTGTCTTCGGACGCCGTTGAAGCACTTCTACAATAACCACGAGAACCAAACGCCCTGAACAAGTATCGAAGCAATATGGACACTCATGGAGAATGATAGCAAATAAAGCGAAAGCCTGAGCATGTGCGTTCGATGTTTATGAGAGTCCGCAAAAGAGAGCACGCTGGAGCAAAAATTAGTAGACGCGTGCCGGTGTAAACTCTTGTAAGTGATGCCGTAACATCTGAAGGCCAAGACCCACCACGAGGACGGATAGACGCTCTGACTTCTCCCACAGCTCTCGAGATAACTTCTCTAAAATTTCTCTAGACCTTCCCTAAAATTTCTCTAGATTTTCCCTAAAATTTCTCTAAAATTTCTCTTTTTTTTCACTTTTATGAACTCTAAAGGAGAAACGAAAAGCCTGAGAAATCAAAGAGAAATCTGAGAGAAATCCGAGAGCCGAAAAGGAGAAATTTCCTGGGAAGTACCCTAGCGCACATTTTAGGCAAAACCAGAAGCAAGACGCCGAATCTATCCAAGCACAGACACGAATAGAAAGACGCAGAGCTGTCGCCGTTTAGTACCGCCGCAAATGAGCCCAAGTCATGCCGAATCTTCTCCAGTAGCTCTCCACCATTTGCTACTCCTTGCACTAGGTGAGTGGTGTCACTTTCTTCAAGTCCGCCTTTTGTGGGTTTGTCACGCGCACCCCCTCAGCAATGGCGAGGATGTCACGGCGAGCCGCCTTCCAAGCTGCAGCAAAGGTGGCCCCATCTTTCGCCTGGTCATAAGCATACACCGAAAACCCTGCACGACCTGCGTAAATCCGCAGCGCCATGACTCAGAGCACATTGCTAGCGCGTTTGGGTGGTTGCCTTGCTCCCTTTGTCTTCATCCATGTACACGCTGACGCCCTTGCTTCGTGCGTAGTAGCGCGTGCCAGACTTGCTTTTGACAGTGCAAAAAATTGCCATGGTCTCCCCGTCTTGCAAGCAAGTCGCTAAGGCTTCAGGTAAAGGATGGTAGGTCGGGCTTACAACTACAGACCCCGACTGCGCATCGGCATCCATAGAAGAGGGGCCGTAGCTGTAGTGAGTAGCCGCACTTGTATAGTCTGCCACTTCTGCCCGTGACCAACCAAGCACCAACACCATCAAGAAGTATCAACTA